CTAGGTGCCTCCATTTGGGAGACATGGCAGATGCAGACGTCAGGGGTGGGGTTTAGGGTAAGGTCCCTATCCAAGCACATGCCCTGGCTAGACAAAGTGCCCCCCCAAGCTCGAACCGCCGGACAAAAGAAACCTACGCCTGTTGGGCCCCGTGTGCAACCAGGCCTTGATCCCTGCTCTGGCAACTTTCGATCGATACCACGACCTAACACAGGGACAGCGCGAAACTCTCCGAGTGAGCGAACAGAAATTGCGACAGTGAGCGAGACCGAGAGTGAGCGAGCAAGTGAGGAACAGATGGGGGAGTCATGCGAGGAACACTGACGATCGTCCAGTTCACTCTTCCGTCCACTTCACTCTCTCCCTGGCTCTCCCTTTCTTTCGTGGGGAACCGGGTCAAGCCCCGAGCGAGTCCGATCGCCCCGGTTTTCAGGGTTAGCCAGTTGGTTGCAGAGTGGCAGTGCAGTGGACATGTCCTGTCTCTCTCTCTCTCTCTCTCACTCACTCTCTCTCTCTCTCTCTCTTTCTTTCTTGTGGGCATGGGGGCGAACCCACTGGCTGTGCGCCAGCCCCGGTATTCGGGACTCTCGGTTGGACATGGAAGGAGTGGGTTTGTGAGCTTGGCGCTTTTTGCCACCTTCTCTCTCTCTCTCTCTCCCTCTCTGTCTCTCTGTCTCTCTCTTCACCTCACGACCTTGCTCGGCTTGCTGATCTTGCTGGACGCCCCAAAGCCCCTGGCGGCGCGGGGCCTTCAAACAGCACCTGGCCAAGAAACAACGCTTCTGCAGGATCGGTAGCACTAGGGTGAAACAAAGACGATCCTCCGAACAACCTACCAAACAACTCGGATGGTTGGTGCAAGAAAAGAAGCAACTACCAGCATCAGGGCCAAGACGAGCGCACTGACCAAGAACGACAACTCGCCAACAAAGCCGGATCCGCGTCTGTGACTTTGAAAGTCTGTGCAGAAACCTGGCCATGGTGACATGTAGCATCATGTAGCACCACAAGCCATCAGCTGATGGTCAATAAGCTCGGCCTACGTTATTCTCCAAACATTCCCACTCTGGGTGCTGTGCAATGTTATGCAATGTTGGGCTCTCAACGTATTTGATGGTCGTCGGGGGGCTTGAGCATTGATTCGAATCACGTTCCTTTTGCATGGTGGGGGCAGATGAGCACATTGTGGCACAAGAGTAGGAAAAACCGAAGGTTTGAAGCACGGCGTTTCGACCGTGGCGGCCGCCAGTGTGCAAGTTGGCAGGCCCGATGTCGATGCCTCTCCGATGCAGGCTTCAGGGCACGTGAAGGCTGCAGGTCTTTCATGCCGAGATGGGCCCCCATAAGCCCAACACACCGATTGGTGCCTGCATCCGAGCTCGACGCTCCAAACAGAAGCTCTTCTAGGTTACAACCCAAAAACCCAACACACGTGTTACTGGTGAAGCCCCCCAAACTTTAAATCCTACCAAAACCCCAACCAAGCAACAACCCAAAAGCCCGAAGCGTTTTGGGGTCCCAGGTTGGGGGAACCCTGGGTCAGCAGTACCTGAAGCAGCAAAAAAACCCTTCCTAAAAACCCTAAAACCCCTAAAAACCCTTGAAACCCCCTGAAACCCCTAAAAACCCTTAAAACCCCCTAAAACCCCTAAACACCCCCTGAAACTCCTAAAAACCCTTTAAACTAAACCCTAAAAAAAGCCGTCCGAGAACCCGCGATCCGAAATCAGGTCCAGGCCTTGGATGCCTTGGCCTGAGTAGGGTTTAGGGTTTGGGGTTTGGGGTTTAGGGTTTAGGGGTTTAGGGGTTTAGGGTTTAGGGGTTTGGAGTTTGGAGGTTTAGGGTTTAGGGGTTTGGGGTTTGGGGTTTAGGGGCTTCTCGCCGCGCCGCGGCAGTAGATGTCATGCGGAGACGGCGCCCCAACACACCCAGGGGGTGTGAGGGGGCGGCATATCCCGCGGCGGCGTATTTGCATTCTCGACCCCCCACAACCAGAAAGGTTGGGTTGGTTTATTCTTCCCACCCCCTGCTTACGCAGGCATCCACCCAACTTTTTCCCTTTTAGGGTTTCGGGCTAACGCCCTAGATTCCCACTTCCCACCCCCTGCTTCCTGGGAGGGTTTAAGGCCTGCTGCTTACTGGGAGGGTTTAAGGTCCCCTGAGGCCGGGAGGGGGTTGGGGGGTGTACAGGTCGTGGGGGGGGGGGGGGGGGGGGGGGCGAATGGAGGGGGGGGGCGGGGGGGGGGGGTGGGCGAGGGGGGGGGGAGGGGGGGGGGGGGGGGGGGGGGCGCGGGGGGGGGGGGGCGAAGGGTAAGATGGACACTTAAAGGCTATGCTGCACGTGCGTGCCTTGTAAACAAATACTTTACAAAGGAAACACCCGCAGAATAGACGCAACGCACCCGCAGAATAGACGCAATGCACCCTCAGCATCAGCACCCAGTGTCCTGAGGGCGCGGAGGGCGCGGAGGGCGCGGAGGGCGCGGAGGGCGCGGAGGGCGCGGAGGGCGCGGAGGGCGCGGAGGGCGCGGAGGGCGCGGAGGGCGCGGAGGGCGCGGAGGGCGCGTGCGGAGGGCGCGGAGGGCGCGGAGGGCGTAGGGCGCGGAGGGCGCGGAGGGCGGAGGGCGCGCGCGGAGGGCGCGGAGGGCGCGGGCGCAGATCTCGAGGGCGCGGAGGGACGCGGAGGGCGCCGAGGGCGGCGGAGGGCGGCGGAGGGCGCGGAGGGCACACACGGAGGGCGTTAGGTGACTACCCCATCGTCTTGTCCGCGTGTGACTCTCGTGCCCATCGACCGAATGCTCCCCGTCCGCGCTCCCCCCCATCCTTGTTCCCGAACCCGTGCGTCAACCTGACATCCATGCATGGTCCGCCACGCCCCTCTCCCAGCAAAATGTTCCGACCCCCCCTCCCTTGACGGTGTCGTCTCCGTGGCCTCCCGTCTTTTTTCATTCCGTCATCCCACCGTCCTCCGTTGACCGTCCCCTCTTCGTGGCCTCTTTCGCCAGAAAGCGATCCGATAGAACGCCTTCCGCGTTGAAGCGCCAAACGAGAACCCAATCCCAGAGAGGTTTGCGAAAACAAAGAGCACGCGCAGAATAGACGTTAAGTGTCCAAGGCACGGGGGCGAAGGGGGGGTTCTGGGAGGGGGGCAGGGAGGCCTGGGGGGGGGGGGGGGGGGGGGGGGGCCCGGGGGGGCCCGGCCCGGGGGTTGGGCCCGTTTCTGGTCAGCGGGTTTGGTAGTGGGTTTTTGAGCAATCGCCCAGGCTGACCTGCCTTGCGGCCCTACTGGTCCCCGGACACGCTCCGGCAGGGGTCCGGCTCCAGGGGGCTCCAGAGGGGGGGTTGCAGGGGACCACCTGCAGAAGATCATGGGTCGCCAGTTGAGAATCGGAGAAGGGGGGGGTACCCCAGGCGGGGTACTGCACCGGCACTGGAGGTGCAGCTCACGCTCAACACAACTCTTTAGGCTTGCATAGTAAGTCCAAGCGATGGTGTGAATGGCTGTCGGGTGTAGTTCTGGGTCCAGGCACCCTAGAAAAGGGTGGGTACGGCCTAAGCAGGCCTGGGTGGGAATTTAGGGGTTTAGGGGTTTAGGGGTTCAGGGGTTTAGGGGTTTAGGGGGGGTTCAGGGGTTCAGGGGTTTGGGGTTGAAAGCTTAGGGTTCAGAGGTGAGGGCTTCACCTGGGAGGATTTTGGGGTTTAAGGGGGGCATTTTGAGGTATCGCATGCTTCGGAGGATCTTCGGGGTTGTGGTTTTAGAGATTTCTAGCGTGTCGGATCGGATCTTGGGAGGATTTTAGGCTTTGGGGTTGGGGCCTATAGGGGCAGCTTTGGGGCCTCAAGGGCTTAGGGTTTAACTGCGGTTTAAGGCTTGTCGGGCCTTCGGTGCCCCTTCTAACATTCGCCTGTGCTTGCGTGAGAGAAGCGGCCCCAAAACAGATCAAATACTATCGGGTGCCCCAAAAGCGACTACTAGTATCCCCAAAGCTTGTGTTTTCTCGGCGAGCCCTTCACTGAGACTTCGGGGCCATCCGAGTATCGTGATTTACTTGATCGTACATGTGTGCATCCTGGGCGGATCATTCAGATCGTAACCCCTGAGCCCTACATTCCCTACATGCTTAGCACCAGGAGGCGTCTCATGGGTTTGGTCCGCCGGGGCATAGATTGAACTGCGAAGCTGCTGCCTCTTGAAGCCAAGCTGCATGGTGGCTTGTGGAGCTCGCGAAACCCCAGCCCTTGAAGCGCGACCTTGGCACCAAAAGATTGGTTGGGGGGGGGGGGGGGTGTAGGAGAGGTGCAGGTTCAGGGATGCAGGTTCAGGTGCGCTGAGTCTCTGACAAGCTGGGATCGCCATCTAGGTCGGAGCCTGCCAAATTCCAGGCGCGCCGTGACGCTTCCGACGCAGAACGAGGCAAAGCCATTCCTAGCTTAGGCAGGACAAAGCATGATTGACAAGCATGCTTCAGGCACCCCTGCCAACCCCCTCAATAAAACTCAATCCGCACCAACGTGACAGGCAGATAGGGACCTATTGCAAAGAGCATCGCTACCAGCTGCGGACAGCTACATGGCTTGATGCGACACGGGACAACAGTGGCTTGTCAATGTACAGCACAGATTTAATCATCTTCCCAAAAGAAGGTTCGCACCTGCATGCTTTGAGGTCTCGTCCTCTTTCAGCGGTGGCTGCGGCTGATGAAAGACCTCGTGGAAGTTTACAAGCCCTAGGCAAGGGCTACTGGTTGCCAGCTTCTTGCAAAGTGTATGCCAGTGTATGTCAGTGTACGTGAACAAAAGATGGCGAAATGCTGTAATAATTGTAATATATTGCCAATGTATGCCAATGTATGCCAATGTGGCTACTAGAACAGCCTCCCTCCCGCCCCCAGACATACAAAGGCCTGTTTTGGTGAAGAGCAGGCCAACATTGTTCCAGAAGGCAGAGTGTGGGTTCTGGGGTTTTTAGACGGCTTTGGGGCATCTGCAACGCCAGCCGGCTAAGCTTGCAGCAGACATGTCGCCGCGAACCAGCCGCTCTGCGTCACTCTGGATCTTAGCAGCGGGCTTCCATTGTGCGACCAAGGGCTGGGCTTGGTGCGCTTGGAAACCCATAACTTGTCCAACTTGTCCATTTTGCCCATGGCAGCGTCACGTGCCATGGCTTCTGGAGCTATGAAGTGCTTGGTTGAGGATTTCTGCTCTGAAACCTATCCCAAGGTCCAACCCTCCTCCCAGAGGCTCGCACCCTCTCGATCGCATCACGGCCACCCCAAACGAAGATCGGCCGTGTCTTGGGCAGAGAGGTGGGCGCCTCAACTGGCTAACGTAACCATTTTGGGCTCACCGATTGAGGCCTCCCAACATTCCTATTTTGGAGAAATCTGCCTAGAGGTTCTAGCGCATGGATGTTGGGCATTGCAGCGTAGCGCCGGTTTTGCTTTCGTAAACTGATCACAAGCCCCAACGCTGAAATGTCCCAAACCTTCAGCCCCGTAACCCCCCCTCCGAAAAGCCATCGTGGAAGCATTTAGGCTCCCGAAGTACGCCTTAGCTCGAATGCAATGCCAACCATGCCCTTAAGCCCACCAAGACCCCAAACAAAAACTTCGCCGAACCAGGCCCTCCTCCAAGGAAGCCCTTCAAAATCCGCAAAGACCTAATTCCGAAAAGCAGCGCGCCGAATCTCCGAAAAGGGAAAGCAATGTCAAGAATACAAAGAACACAAACAACCAAGAAACCAACCAACACACAGGCAAAAACACCACCGCCAACATCCCCAAACCCTAAACCCCCCAAACCCATAGACCCGAAGCTTAAACCCCCAAATCCGGCCATATCGTTTCTCTTGCGCTCCGGGTCCGGGTCCGGGTCCGGGTCGGGGGAGGGGGGGGGGTTACGGACTGAGGCGCGAGAAAAGCGATATTATGCCAAATCCCCAAAACCCTAAACCAAACCCTAACCCCCCCCAAACCCCAAAACCCCCAAAACCCCCAAAACCCTCAAAACCCCCAAAACCCCAAGACCCCAAACCCAGCCCGACACCCCAGAAGTCTCTCAAGGCAAGGGGCCAGGGGGTCGCGCGTGGCGTCCACGATGAGGTCGGCGAAGCGCCGGCCCCAGACGCCGATGTCGGCCACGAGGTCGCAACCTTGGCACAAAGGATTTAAGGGTTTTGGGGTTAGTTTAGGGTTTAGGGTTTAGGGTTTAGGGTTTGGGGTTTGGGGTTTAGGGTTTAGGGGGAACCTTAAGGGTCTTAATTGGGGCTTACAGGTTTTCAGGAGTCTTGGAGTGTAGGGTTTAGGTGTCTTGACAGGAGGTTGGCGGGATGAATTGGGTAAGGGTTTAGGGTCTAGGCTCTCTGCATGGGGGGGTTTCAGGGATTAATTCAGGGTTTTGGGGTCCTGGGCTCTTAAGGGGTCTCAAAATGGGCTTGAGGGATTATAGGCTTCAGCGGGGGCTTTCAGGGTTTGGGGCTGTAGGGCTGAGCAGTTCAGGCCGTTTAGGCAGGTGGGGCTTAGATTTCGATAGGAATCGGGTCACGGGCTTATGGCCTTAGGGAGCAAGACTGAGAGCGGACTTTCAGGAAGCCATAGTCCGAGTGCTTCAAGCCCAAGAAGCACGAATGGGGCCATGGTATAAGTAGAAAGGGACGGTAAGGGAATATTATTAGGTAATTATGCCGACCCCTTCTTGATAGCATCCAGGGCGGTGGCTGAGCTTGTCCAGCTTCTTGACGTTCGCCTTCAGCGAGACGAGGCGGTGGTCGTTCACCCCTTTGCGGCGCAGGCTGGGTACAGCGTTTAGGGCTTAGGGTTCAGGGTTTAGGGCTTACAGGGTTTGGGATGTTGGTCTCCGGATTTGGGGCAGCACACCAAAGCTCGAAGCCTACAACCCCTGATCCCCCTATTTTGCACTCCCCAGCCCTAAACCCCCTAACCCCTGAAGCCCTGAACCCCTGAACCCTGCCTGAACCCTTTACATCCTGAATCTCCTGAACCCCCAAACAAAGCCCCCCGAGTCTTTCCAGGGCCCGCGCCGAGGGCGTGGGAGGTACAGATCTGTTCCAATAGCTTCTCTCTTTCAAGCCTCGGAAGAATGTTTGAGGGCTTGTGATGGCGCCTGTTCCTGGTGCCCTATATATAAGTACAATGAATCTCGAACGCAAACGCCCGAAACCCTTCAGCGCCCTGAACCCTCAGCGCCCTCAAATCCCCTGAATCGGTCGCGGTGCCACTTGCTGATGAGCTTGCGCGTGGCGGCTTCGAAGCCCTGGAGCCGCTTCAAATGGGCCTCGGGGGGTCGTTTTGGGGCTTGTATAGTGTTTATACACTCTTCGTATATCGGTTTTATATGCAGGGCTTGCAGGGATTATCGCAAAGGGCGTTTGGAGGTTTCAAGGGTCTCTTGCTGAAGGTGTTGCTTTCAGAGGTCTTTTTATGGATGTGTCGGAGCAGAAGGAGGTGCGGAGGGGGTCCAGGGTTCCCGGCACCCTATCGGAGGGAAAAACACCAACGTCAACCTCCAAGGCCATGTATGCTGTAACATAAACAAGGGGGAGGTTTTTCCCCATTAGGGCGCCTGTTGCGTGCTCATTCTACGAGTACAGGGGACCCCAAAAACACCAAGGGGCCCTGATGAATTTCTAGGATGGCCCCTAAAACCCCCTGAAAAATATTCCTGAATATGGCCCTCTAAAACCCAATAAGGGAAAATATAAAATGTCCCAAGGGCCTACCTAGATTTAGAGAACTGCCCAAAGTGGTCAACAGCAGCCTCCCGAGATTCAGGGGCCTCTCCCTGGCACCACTGGTAGCCTTCGGGTCGGGAGCCTAGGCGTCCTAGAGTCCCGCCCCTAAACCCTAAACCCTAAACCCTAAACCCTCAACCCTAAACCCTAAACCCCGGAGCAGGGCCTGGATCTCGTAGAGGTTCCCAGGCGTGACGCTCGCCAAGGGACCTTCAGTAAGGCAAAGCAGGCTGAAGGGCTTTGGGGGTTGCTGGCATCAGGTATGGCTTCATGCTGGGTTAGCCCTTCAAACCATCTGAAAAACATTCTGAAACTTGAAATCCTGTTAAAACAAGAGCACAAAAACACGTGCACAAATCCCGTCCTAGCAGAAAGTCCGCGGAGGTGACTTGACGACACTTTGGCCCCGGCCATCGTTCAGGGCTGTGCGCAGGTCCAGGGGTATCTGCAGCCTGCAAATCTTTGCAGCAAAATATGGATTTTCAGGCCCCTTTCAACATTGAGCAAGGTCGGGCAGCGTCGCTCTGCAGTACTTTGGACTCCGCTTGGAGACAAAGGGGTTTTCGTGCTTCCTGCAAGCCAACATGACTGACACCATGTCACTTTGCGGCAATGAAGCCCTCAAACCCAAGTCGACGGCGCCTGTGCCACAGCAGCTTCACTTCGCCCTCGACCTTCTTCCAACCTCAGCCAATGTCAAGGTTCACCGTGTTCCCGCGGTATCCACGTCGACCCCTGATCAGCACCCTAAGCTCCGTGCTGGGTACGAGAGTTCCTTGTTCCGTGGCCTCAAGGTCCTCGAGATCCACTGCGGGTGGAAGCGTGTCGCCGCCGCTTTCCTGAGCAGATTGTACGGATCACGGAATCCATGGCTGTTCCGCTCCACATACTTTCAAGATTCTCAAGACATGGGAGGGTTTACGATATTCGGGGCACCTTATTGGGGTCCTTATAATAAGGGGATCCTACTATTTGGGGTCTATGTTGGGGGTCCCGTATTTTCGTAAACCCCCATACCTTCAGAAGATCCGCAAGGCATTTGAGGTGGCGGCCACGATCTCCTCGTGCAAGGAGGAGTTCTGCCACTCTGAGCCTGCACTCGCAGCAACTTTGCCAGCGTAGGCCCCAAGAACAGTGAGAGACCACGCTTGTACCACAAAATCACCCTTTGAGCCACTGGAGCTCCGGACGTCCTCCATGTCATGTTTCTACTACAACAAGTCGACTTTCCACTGCGAGTGCCGCTAGCCGCATGCGCGCGCCGCGTGCTTCGGCCATCTGAAACCTCCTACGCCTGACATTGGAACCCCCCCCCATAGTATTCGGTGCACTGTTTGGGGAACACTGCCACGCAGCTAAACCCTTCACGGGTCACGGGTCTGGACTGAGCTGTCGGCTGCAGAGTATCTGGTGCGAGGGCTGTCCATGTGGCCTTGCCCGCGCGGCTTCGCTTCAAGATCTTCAAGCGACAACCTGCCTTCAAAGCCTTGTCACCCAACATAGGGGGCTTCTTTAACCCCCCCTCCTCCCCCTCAAACAGCAACCCATTGATTTCGCGCGGATTGTGTCCTTGCGATTTAGACTCAGTAGACGTGATGCTTACGGTGCCGGAACATGGACTTTTAAGCTGCACGAGGCGACGGTCACAAGTTTAAAGCCTGTGTATGGCCATCTGGCTTTTTCAGTGCGTGTGCATGTGGCAGTCTGGGTAAAGGCCCAGACTTGGCCGGTGGCAGCTCCTGGCAAATTGTGTCCAAACCTCAGGGAGCACAAAGCTCTACGAATCCCGCAGCTACCGCCGCAGGGCCCTCGCACTCCCGCGCGCTGGGGCTCACACTAATGGCCGGTGGCTTCACCTGGCAACGCATCTACCCAGAATCATCTTTGCCTCTGGGATGATCGCGGCAAAGTTTAGGGTTTAGGGTGTAGGTCCCTGGCCCTGGTGTCCACGCCATCTGCGTCGAAGCCAGAGACCATGCGTTCAACCTCGTGTCCAGTTCTCTGACTTCTCCGACTTCTCACTCAAATGGGCTCAATGGACAGTGCCATTGCTCGGGCCCTGAGGCCCCGGCGAGGCGGTCTGGGTACCGAGGTGGATCTTGTGGCATGGCGCAGGGCTCCTGGGCGGAGTTTGCATCGGGGTGGAGAAGAAAGGGCACAAGCACGTGCATGCTTTTTCGGGAGGAGGTAGGATTTGTTTTCGACTTTCGGGAGGCTTCTAGCCAGAAATTTTCGCTTCTGTGTCCTCTCAAGATCGCCCCTAAAGGCCCAAAGTGTCGCACAACCCCGGCATTAAGAGAACACGACGGTATTTAGCCGATGTTGCCATCAAGCCGCCATCGAAACTCTGAAGTGTTAGGGACCTAGGCTACCTGAAACAAAACGCTGGGTTGCTAAGGGAACCATAGGGATTTGCATTTCACGAGATCTACTTACTACCAGGCAGTTTCTAATGCTGTACCTGCTTTAAAAGTGTGTTCACACCTCCCTACCCCCCCCCCCCCCCCAACAGTCGAAGCTGGTTCTTGCTCTCGTTGAGCGGTCACCGAGTTTTCTACGATTCTTAAAGGGAGGAGTTTCGATGAGTTTCAAAAAGGAAACAGCGAGGCCCGGCAATTGAGTTTAAAATAGCTTAAACGCGCGCCCCAAGAAATATTCTTACGATTCTTACGACACACAGGATCCCACCGCACAGTCAGAGTGTCCTGCATAGCCCAGCAAGCTTGAGAAAAAAGGGTTAAACTTTCATATTACTAAATACGGAAACCCAAAAAGTTTAAAGTTCAACTAAAAGCGAAGTAAGAATCTGAGCCTCTGGCCGGCCGGCTACGCTCGCCAAGTCGTCCATCCTCAACTTGAGGGCTTCAACAGAACGTTCATAAGGCTGAAAGTACATTTGGGGGTATATTAGTGGGACCATGGGTTTGAGAAATGAACACCCATATGAGACCTCGAAAATCTCAGAACTCTAACTCTATACCCTTTAAGCTCCACTCAAGGCCCCAACTCGGTCGAACATCTGCCGATGCTGCTCAAAACGGGCACGGACGATGTGGAGATACCTCACTTCTTGGGGTTCCATGGGTCCCGGGTTTAGGATACTTAGGGACACAAGGGTTTAGAAGGCTTCTCAGGGTGTGGTGAGGGTTACAAGCGTTTCGGGTTGTAAGGGACATTGGTAGGGTTCGCCATGCTTTTGCTAGGGTACTCACAGCCTCACTTGCAGCTGCCCATGACTCTTCAGTGGAAACCATTCATACGCTGCGGGGGTTTAAGGCTCAATGTAGGGGTCATATGGGCTGTTTTTGCTTCTTAGGAGTCCAGGGGGCCATTTCGGGTTCGAGGATTCGTGCTGGCGCCTAGAATGGTTGATTTGCAGGCTTAGGCCCCAGGGCTTGAGGGTTTGTTCAGAACCTATTGCGCCTGCGCCTCTGTCGGGCTTATAGCCGAAGTAAGGTAGAAATTACGGGGTTCAACGGAGCACACCCCAGAGTGCAGGGAAAACGGTAAGGCTGCGGCGCGTCTGGAAGCTCGCGCGTCTCGATGATGTGCCTGCGTGGTCTGCTCTGTTTTCCAGACTTGCTCAGGGTTCTGAGGCCTTTACGGCCCTGAACCCACGCGGCTTAGGATGTTGTTTTGGCTTCTTCTCGGTCAAGTCCAAAAGGGGGGGTGCATTTGCATTGATGTACATCCCATGCGTAGTATGATACATCCCTAGCACTTTACAAGTATATATGCATACTGACGTTACTAGTACTCAATCTGTTTTTATCTCTGGGCCTTGCATTTGGGGGAGGGCACGGTCATCGGGGATGGCAGTGGCCGTCCTGAGCCGCGCCGGGCTGCTCAGCACGGGGCAGTTCTCATCGATGAGCGCATCCTCGCTGCTTTAAGGGTCTCCAGGAACTCCAGGAACTCCAGGGTCCCCAGGGGCTCTAGGGGCTTTAGGGGCCTTATAGGGCTTCAAGAGCTTCTTTGGCCGTGAATCATACCGGTCCCGGGCTGGGGCCAGAACACAGGGTACTGCCCTCAGTTACACCGCGTCAACAGTCGACTGCATGAAATTGCCAGGGCACGTAAGTCGGGATGCGCCGCTGGTGCATGCTGTAGAAAGAAGTGTCCTTGACAGCACCGCGAGCAAGAGAGAATCCATACTGCTTGGACTTGCAAGCGCTGGAAGTACTTGGGAAAGCTTCTAGCCATCATCGCACCCTTCAGCAGATGGAATTTGTCCATCTCTCGTTGGTAGTCCGTGGAATATCACGAAATCTAAACATGATGACATCGTGATGATGGCTTGATGATCGGTCCTAAAGATTCTGAAGCTTTTGGGGTCTCAGCTGCGTTCTGCACATGGTACGGGGTTGATGACTCAGGCCCGTGCCCAGTCGGGTTTGCTAGCTGCCCGCTCCGTCTCTGCAGGGGACTTCGGCTTCGAATCCACGGTGCCGGGCCGCGTACAAACATCGCCAGAAATCGTGCCAGAGGCAGAGCCGACCGTGCCGACCGTGGTGGGGCGTGATGCCATGGAGCCATAGCAGCGGTAGCTTTTCTGGGCCCGAGACGGCATCTTGCCAACAAATGGGCTGGTCTTGGGTCGCAGTCTACGAGGGCTGGCCGGAGGCAAAGGCCTTACAGGCGACAAGTGTGCTGCAGGAGCAGTCGCGCCACGCTTCCCCTCCATGCGTTGCAGGCCCGCCAGCAGGTGCGCTGACTGTGCTTGCTTGTGGGAAATGCTTGGCTTGTCCTCCACTACCACGACTTCGTCCGACTCTTTGTCCTCCTCTTCTTCATCTTCAAAGAGGTCATCGTCGAACATGACCTGGCTGATGTTGCTGAGCTGCACCGGCACCAGCAGGGTCTTCCGACGATCTGCAGCGTTTTCCTCGCTGGCCTCGGAGGCTGCGTCGTCGGGAGCGGTGCACTCTAGGATGGCGCGGTCGCCGGGTTGTCCTGGGCGCGTAGAGACCACGATCAGGTCGCTCGGCGCTCGCTCGGGCTTGTCCTTGGCGCGGGGGGAACCCGGGGACGCCTTCGATTTGTGCTTGGCAGCTTTGGCAGCTTTGGCCTTATCCTGCGAAACCTCAGCCTTGCCATCCTCCTTGTCCGCCTCGTCCTGTGCCAACTCCTTGTTGTCACGTTTTGATCTGGCCATTCCCCTCCGCGAGGATAGCGGACGCTCTTGTTGCTGGTAGTGGTACTGCTGATTGCGGAGGTACTGCTGATACAGCTGATGCTTCTGGAACTGTGGGTTCTGTCGGGTGTAAGGGTCATGTTGCCACTGGTTCTGCTGAGCATACTGGTATGCCGGAGACAGCTGGTTGCTGTAGTTTTGTTGATGACCATACCAGCTCGCCTGCTGATAGGGTCCCTGCTGCCAGTCGTTCTGAGAGCCAGGAGTCCCATCCTTTTGCCAGACGATCTGGCACGCCATGGGGTCCGAGGCAATCTGTGTGGCCATCGGCCCCATGGGTCCCTGCGGAACCGGGCTGAAGGCACCGAAGGCACCGAAGGAGCTAGCGCCCATTGCTGCCGCATAGAGAGCGCCCGCGGCGGCATCGTCGACCGAGATGGTCAGCTGCTTCCCTTGCGCGTAGTCCTTCCAGGGTTTCAGATCCCAAGCCACCCTTGAAGAACGCCTCTTAATGCTCTTAAGCTACAATTTGTAGCCGAAAGTCCTTGAAGCCGGAGGACGCAAACAGATGCCCCAGCTGCTCGCCGGAGATGGTGGCTTCCAGGTGGGCGTGCAAACCAAAGCCAGGGTGCACGTCCGAGGTAGCCGCGGCCTGATGCATGAACTTACCGCAATGCTACCATTGTTCCTGATCCACCGATCTTCAATACGTTACTGAGTATTCTCCACAAAGGAGACATGCAACGTTCTCATGGACCCCAAGCCAAACATTCTGATTCGGCAACAGCAGACGTGTTTACATGGCTTCTTGCCCTGCTTTGCCTCCGCTCGGGATAATGGAGACTCATCCTTGCCGGGCGCTGCCTAGACTAAACGACTTGAGGGCCTGCCCATAACTCTCATCCCTTCTGTTTTGCTTCTGCCTCTCAATCGACATGCATGTGCATTGAAGACAGCGGCCAGCCACTGGCTGCATGGAAATTATGTTGAGCTTGAGTTGCGTAGTCACCCACATTGAATCATGTGGGATGGTGATGGATGATGAACGTTGCTCTGGCAGAATATAAGCGGGAATGCGGGGATTGCCACTTGGACATGCCTACTTGCGCTGTCGCCGGAGCCCGGTTCTGAGGCTTTGGATTCAGGACAATGAGGGCCCTCTTGCAACAGTCACCCAAGGGACCCAAGAGCCCTGTCCTCCTTGGCCTCGCATCTCTCTCCGTCCTCCAGGTTGTCATCGAGCTCCAAACCTCCCGTGAGGCAAACTTTGGGGCTTGGAGCGTTGTGTCGCACGAATTCTGCGGAACACAATGCCTTTTGAGGGCTCAGGGCCTTGCCAGCACACGTGGCCAACTGAACAGCCAAAACATAAAGCAAACCTGAAACCCTAAACCCGAACTCTTGCCCCTCCTCCCTTCCACTGCCTTGAAAGCCCCTCGCTCCGGGCTCCTGCATGGACAGAAGTGGATGAGGGTGACAAGTTTGGGGTTTTACAATGGGGTGTTACCATAAATTAGGGGTACCGTACTGAGGTCCTTCCTACTATTTGGGGTCTATTTTGGGGGTCCCCTCTCTTTTTAGGGGTCCTCTTTCTTCATCGTAAACCCCATGCCAGGCACCTGCAACACTGTAGATTGCCACTCGGCCATGAGACCCGGTTTGGGTAGAGCGAGCGGATCTTCAGCGGGGCGAGAGCTTTCTAGGATTGCTCGCGGATTGCTTTAAAATTGCAGTGACTTGTGTCCTAAACCCTACCTAAACCCTAAACCCCCGCCCCCCCCGGCCCCCTAGTTGATCCTCGGCTTCCGTCTCTAGCTTCAGGCTGTCGTCCCTTCGCTTGTCGTCCTGCCATGCGCGCCAAGATACCAGGACCAGAGCATGCGCAGTTGACCCTAGCCCTAGCCGCCCGAGCCCAAATCCCAATCCCGTTCGGTGACCCATCGAACAATCCGAGCGGCTGTGGCCGGCTCGGCGGCAAGTGCCATCAGCCGGGGGGTCAGGAGGCGTACGCTATGGAGCAAATTATCCGTTGACCGTTTTGAAAGGCTAGGGCGAGGAACCGAGCTTCAGCTTTGGGGTTGGCAGTCGTGTGGAGTGCTAACGTCTCTAACGACATGACCAGCACATTCACTTGGGTTAGAAGGCTTTGCCTGAAGATTCAGGCTTAGGCTTAGGCTTTTCGGATGCCGGTCGCTCTCAGTGCTAAATAAGCCAATGGCTGACAATGCCTGTGGCTGTCACAGAAACCATGCCTTCGTGGTTTTTGCGAGACAACACGGATCGCTGTGATGGTAGCAGCTCTCACATATTGCTATCCCGCTCTCCCGCTCTCCCATCTGTCTCAAGCAACACGGGCTTTGGGGCAAAGACCTCAGTCTGGCGCGTTCTCATCTCCTGTCAGCTCAGTTCAACTCTCGGGCGTGCTTCGACGATTCCCTAGCGTTGAGGGTGCACCCGCCAGGCGAGCCTGCGCAGTGAGGGAAGGCGTATGTATTGCTGACCCGTCCTTCTATGTGAAAACCCTGGCAGCTGAAATATCCGAGCCGTAAAAACTGATGCCAGAAACCGAGCCCCAAATCCCTGTTACAAGACCCCAGGACCTGAAGCCCCAAAACCCTAAAGCCCGAAGTGCTCCTGAAAAAAACACTTAAATTCAACGACTGACTTCTTGTAAAACTGCCCTCGAACTCTGACCCCCACCCCAGGCCTCTTGAACGAAACCCTCAGTCCCCGAGCCCACGGCTCAACCTAGGGGTTTAGGGTTTGGGTTTATAAGGTTTAGGGTTTACGGTTTAGGGTTTAGGGGTTGTTTCCAAACCCGAAGCGTAGGGAATGTGCCAACGCGGGGGACCCTTGAACAAAAGGCCCCTAAACCCTAAGCACCATAACCCCTAAACCCTATACCCTATTTAGATCAACCAACATGCGGCACAGGTGGCCTCTGCAGCCATGAGCTGCAACTCCTGCTGTTCGCGGAGCCGCGACCGTTGCTGGAAGGCCTGCGCACAGGGTTGATAAGGGTATAGGGTCGTAGGCTTTTTCGGGGTTTGGGGCATAGAGTAGGGCTTAGGGCTTTGGGGTTGAATTCTAATGAGATTTGGGCTTGGTGGTTAGGGGTTAAAGTTTTTGAGGCTTTTATGGCTTATAGGGTTCAGAGCGCAAAAACTGCCCTCTCCTCCAAACCCAAGCAGGCTACGGCCTTGTGGGAAAGTTGTCGTCGACAAGATACCGAAAAGAGAGAGAATTGTAACATTTTAGAGGGTAGCAGCAGCAACTGTATCCACATCGGCCAGGAATGATCTGCTCAGACATGAATTGTCAGGGAAACAGCCCTCCAATTCATTCGGCCTTCCACATCTTCTGACACCCCATAGCCTACAACTACCCTAATTGGGCAGATGCCTAAATCCTGGAACACCCGAAAAATCCCCTCAGGGTGCAGGGCTGGACCCTCAACCCACCATTGTAGACCCCAAATCCGGGGTCTGCATGGGTCCGTGTTGGGGCCGTCACACGGACATCCCCGCACCATTTCAGACCCTAGGGACCCTGACCTTTCCAGACCTTTGCATGCAGGACTGCGCGATAGGTTGCACTTACCAAGGGTCTGAAGTGGTCCTGGGGCTAGGGCCTGGAATGGTAGCCCTGACCATTCCAGACCTTGCACATGTTGCGGGTAGGGTGCCACCATTTCATACCCTCGCAAACCGAGGGTATCCCGAAAGCCCAGACCCTACCCCCAATTCCTGGAATCCGCTCGAAAGGCCTCCAAGCGCATGGCCGCGTTCTCCGCCTGAAGAATGCGCCCACGGACCTTGGCGGGAGCCTACCGAACACGCCCGTGCCTAAACAGCAGGTGCCCCTTGGTGTTTCATGGCGTTTAAGTAGGACCTGTAGGGTGCCAGAGCCCCATTTACGAATCTGCCTCAAACTGGTTGTCGCTCTGGGTAGGTCGGTCTTTCAAGCAAGGCTAGTTTGTGTTGGTAACCTCTGATAACCAGCCAAAAAAAGTATCGTAAACCATCCCAAGCCCTACTCACACCGAGCTCTTAGACATCGCCATCTGTTCTTCGGTTTGCTCACGCGAGTTCCATGATGCCATCTTGTTCTTCGACTGTTAGTATAGGGGGGAACATCCCGGACCTCAACGGTAGAAATGGGGAATTGTTGTTTGGGCTATTGATATTGGGGCGGGTGGAAGTTTCACATGGTCCATTACTCGTATCCAAAGAAATCTGGTTTTGGATTCAAGATGCTTCCAAGGGTGCCTAGGCCACAAAGGAAAACAATAAGGGTCCACTGGGGATGCTAGGATATTATTAGAGGGGTCGTGCGGTCAGCAAGCCAGGACCCATGCAAAAATGCATGTACCCCGTATCAAAACCTTCTTCAGGCAGCGTTGCATGTACTGTGCCCAGTCCAGTTGTGACTGGCCTTTCTTGTTTGCAAGACTGTCCACTTCCAAAAGCCTTTTCAGCACGTAGCACCCATAAACCCCGTTCATAAACCCCTTAAACCCCTAAAGCCTTCATAAGCCCCTTAACTCCCATTCATAAACTCCTTAAACTCCTTAGTTTAGAATGTTTAGAAACCCGGTGGACTGCTGTGCCTCCAGGTGCTCCAACTCTTCTCGCGTGACTGAGCACCTGGGCGCGCGCGCTCGCGCGCGTGCGAATGCACCGACTTTAGGGGATCAAACCCTAAACCCTAAGCCCTAAACCCTCAAGCCTAGGTGAGCTCTCCATGGCCTCTGATGTTAGCTCTCCTCAATGGGGCTTGCTGGAACTCCTTGCTACGCCACTCATGCATTTTGCGTCCGAAGGCGTCATATTACACACCCACAAAGCCCTCAACCCGAACCTCAAGGTTTGGGGTTGCAAGCTCTAACCCGCCAGCCCTCAAACCCTTATCAAACTCAGCCCCTGAACCCTAAACCCTGCACCCCGAGCTCTCATAAACCCTGAACCCCTAAACCCTAAAAGCCTAAACCCTGAACCCCTACACCCCAAAATCAGCAACTTAACTCAGCCAGCAAGCGTCGCCGCGCTGGCGGGCTTCACCGGCGCCTGCTGCTCTGAGGGGATATGTATGAACCGCTGAACATGTACGCACCAAGTATGGGACATGTCTAAACCCTATAAGCCCTAAACCCAAAAATTTACTAAACCCCAAACCCTGCGGACTTCGGATGTGGGGTTTTGGGGGGGGCTTCTCCGCTCTCCAGGGCTCAGGAGTCTCCTGAACGGAGTAGATTTTCACGACAGTTGGCAACTTTTGGGCCAGGTCGGATACATTCACACCACATGGGTGGTTCTCTAAATTAAGGTCCCTTTCGGGGGTCCTCATTAGAAGGGTGCCGTACTATATAGGGGAACCTTATGGCACCTTTAGCGAACTACCCACATGTTTTCCGCAGTATACAGGCAAGCGCATGGGCTGCGTCTATGTGGCTGCTGTTAGCAGACATGGGGTGGGTGAGGATGCCCCAATGGAGCCCGAGCATGCTGGCGCAAGCTGTCTGCATGTGGCTGCTTCATCCTGCGATGAATGGTAGTGACACTTGTACACTACTCAAATTTGACCTCATGCTCTGCCAGAGGATGGTGAGACATCTCACAGCACACACAACCCCACAAATGACGGACATACAAATTTGCTTGGTCCTTGATTGACGTTTGGGCTCCCTGAGAAGTTCGTGAGCTACAAGAGTCTGCTCTCATTCCCCGTGGCAAACGGCACAGTGCCATGATGCCAGGGATCATGGGCTCCAGCGTGCAGCATCCAGAGTCGCACCTGCCATGGCAGCAAGGCAAATACCAAGTAACGCAGTGGAACAATCTCGAGGTTCTGTATCAGAATTTTACGGCACGGTATGATCTTTGATGAGTTTTTGTTTAGGCGCTTAGAGTTTCCAACCTGGGCAACGACAGACCTTCCCTCAACGCTGCATGCCATGAAGCCACCCGGCCGAACCGAATGAAGGTACACGTCTTACTTGCTCTTGGTTCGTAGTACACGCAAAGCCGTGCTGGAGCACTGACATCAATCCCCATGCCATCAGACTTTGAGTACCTCGCCAAATTTGCCACCCTTTATGAGAAGGACTCTTTTTTTCTGCAGGCAGGCATGGTTTTGGCCGGCATTGAGGCAGCTGCCTCAGTGTCCCGATTCGGCTCGTGCGCCCCTTCCCTACCTGACAGAGAGCCCAACCCTGAACTACCCTGAAACCGAAAACCGAGTCCCTAAGCGCGCCAGGGTGCTGATGGACATGAGAAGGTTCTAGGGGGCCTTCATTAATCGGACTGGGTTTTGTGTTGGGTACTTGATATCCCATGCTTTTTGGGATTCTCAAGGGGGGACTAAAAGAGGCGACTCTTCAAGCGGCACTACGTTGAAGGTTCGATGCTACAACCCGGTGGTGAAAACAGCCGAGGTGCCGGAGCTGGGCTTTGGTAAAGCCAAATCCTCAACTGCTCTGGCAACCCCACCCAAAACAACTTAAACCAATCAAAGATGTCTTCGTTTTGTGGCCCTCAACCAGCCGCCGGAATGGACCAAAAGCAAAATTTCGCCCAAAGCGGTCTGGAATCGAAGGCCGAATGCTTGCAGCCACCAGCTCCTGTTGTGTGGAGCTTTTCTGGGAAATTGGGGGCTCACGAGAAAGGAGGGAGGCCCCCAGGATGCCGGTTTACTAGTGTAGGGCTCAGGGTCTAGGGCTTTTGGATGCTTTTGGGGTTGTAGGGTTTAGGTTTCTGGGATTTAGGGTTTAGGGTTCAGGGATGATGGGAGTACTGCGCAGCATTCTGTGAAGTCCAGACATCGCACGAAAGGTGGTCACATGTCTAGCTACCCAAAAATGTCCCTCGAAACCAGCGAATCGACACAGTCATGACGGTTGCGAACCTGTATGAAATACCTTGAAACCCTGGCCGCTCCGTATTGGGGCTCGCAGCCACACACTCGCCAACAGCAAGGCCACGTAGAAGAAATGGGCTGCGCACCTCGGGAGACTTCTTGCGAACATTTGGCTGCCCAAGTCGATCGCGAGCCTAGAATGTATTAATAGCTGCCGTCGCGGAATGCCCTCGAATGCTGTTTGAGGGCAATTTTGCACGCCGGAACCTCAAACAAGCAAGGGCCAACTCTCCTTGGGCCATGTGGGTGCCCGTAGCCAACCGTGCCACGAAGCGCTGCAAGGGCGACAAGGCGTGCAGCAGAGACCACTCGCCTTGGTAGTTGAGGTTCTTGCGGATGTGGTAGGTCCAGAACCACATCTGGATCCGCTCTTCCCGGGCGGCCTTGTTTTGAAAGCGCAAGAAGGCGTCTCGGAGCTGAAGCCAGGTGATCGCAGCTGGGAGTCGGAATGGGCGTTTTCCCACACCACTCGTGGTGGACAGAAAGGTGTCCTGGTTGGTGCTGGCACTGTACTCCGAGCAAGCCAGAAGCTGCGGCTCGGGCATCTGAACGCGTTCCCTCAGCTGCCGAAAGAAGGGCAAGCTCATCTGCTCCAGTAGACCCTGCTGCTGCTCCAGGGTGCCAATGTCCTGGAATTCCTTGGCCCGCGGGTCCCAGGCTATGTAGTTGTGAATGTCCAGGACTGCCCAAGACTTTCGCTCTTCCAGGGTAGTGATGCCACGCCACCAGGCCCCGATGGACGCTGTCACTGAGCCCGTCTCTCCCTTCTGGCTGGCTGCGAAGGCTCCGACGTCCTCCGCTCGAAATGCTCCAGCAAAGGCTGTCTCGATGACCTGTCAAGGGAAAGTCGTTCATGAGTTGGACCCTCCTGTATGCTTTCCCCACCCGGATTCTGAAATGGATTGTGAGAGAGTCTTGTCATCCAAGGGGGCCAAAACCCCAAAACGTCTGACTTACGGAGGAACGTGCAATCACTGGACGTTTTTAAGCTTGGAACCTCAGCTTCAACAACGAGGGGGATCCACGCAAAAAAGAGGGTGCACCTTGCGTAAACATGTTTCCATAGCTCCCGGCCGAGTCGCATTCATCAGCAGCATCTTCTTCCCGATGCGCAAGGATGGGCGCTTCCGAAACTCGTCAACGCCTGCAAGGCTTGTTGCTATAGCTGCTAGTTCTCAAGTACCCGGTGGCCAGTACAAAACGAAACCAAAAGCGTTGTGTGAGAATACTACTCCACACTGCCTCTGAAGGCTCTTCACTCAACTCGAACCTTCACAAATCACGATTTACCAAAAACAAAAACAGAGCCCTGACAACCCATTAAGCTTCTATCCCCAGTCTATACTGAGCCCTATATCAACCCTGTCTGGGCACCCAATGCCAGGGTTGCCAGGATCTCGGCTGTGGACACATTGGCAGCCCAGTTCTGAGAGTCAGGCTGATTGGAAGCCTCCTCAGGAAAGGGCTGTTGCGCAAAAGTGTCCCACGCGCCTGCAATGGCTCTAAAAGCCCTGTTCAGCGTGAACTTCAAATCCTGGACTATCCCAGGTAAACCATGATCCCTGTTCTGCAAAGCCGTGGGCCATGCTGCCTTGTAGGGAATGGGGCAAGCTGCTCCTTGGGGATCGAAAAGGCCTGATCGACAATGCCGCGGGAAGGACCATGTACGGCTTTTGGCTTCTGTTAGGACTTTGGGGGCCCAATTACGCCCAGGTAATCGGCCCTGCCTTCTACGAGAAGCTGGATTTCAAATGAAACTACATTGGGCCGCTGTCTGAATTTTTCTTGTACCCAAAACCTTTAAACCTCCTGATACCACGTGACAGTGGGAGCGGCTTCGGGTTCCCCAGCGATAGCTCATAAGATTAAAGGTTTCATCGGCTTTAAGGCGAAGGTTCATGGGCAGCTATCAGAAAGACTCTAAGTACTCCGTTTGAAGTCACACTTGAATCTTAACTACATCTTAAACTACTTATTCGCTACCAGTACTACACCTGCCCCCATGAATTTCCAAGCATGCCCTGGAAGCAACTCCCACAGGGCTGCGGTGTCAGGATTTATCGGGGCTTACCCAGTTCAACAAGAACAAGTTCACATACCTCAAACCCAGACCCCTTAGCCTTCATGGGGCCCGGAAGGGAAGACCTAGAGGGACTCTGGCATCTTCGCAGACTCCGGACTTCCCTGAGGTTGGAACTCTAGGCCAACCTTTGGGATTCTTCGGAGCAGCGCTTTTCGACCCACTAAACCCCCAAACCCCAAGAAAACCCATAAACCTGACCCCTCTAGAAGCCCTAAGCCCTGTTACACCTAGCTACAGGGGACTGGGCCTCGGAGGTGCGCAGGCTCGTTCATGGGCGAGAGCCCATAAAGCCCGGCAAAGGCCTTCCGGTTGGAGCGGCTGAGAGCATCCATCCAGTCGAGAAGGCGACCAACCTCGGCAATTGGGTTCTTCTTACAAGGCGTTGAGAAACGCACATAGTGCGTACAAGTTGTATAGTAAGGGTACCTACCTTATTTGCTAGAAAACCAAAATAGAGGTACTATGTTGTTACATGACCCATTCAGGGCAACCTAGTTCAAGTTCCTCAACCGCGGCCCTGCAGAGGCCGACCAACCTATCGCCCAGGCGAGGACATGTGTGAGGACAGTGTTGGCGTGGAGGGGGGGGGGGGGCGGGGGGGCGGCATGTGAGCAGAACGACAGAATGACAAGTACAACAGAGTACAACTGAACATGAACCAAAGCCACGATGGTCTTGAAGTTCTCCTTCGAGTGGGCGGTCCAGAACCTGGGGTTCAGAGGCCAGACACCATTGAACGTCCCCGCGCTCGACCCGCCGGGAAAAGCATGAAGGTCCAGGAGGACTTCGATGCCGAAGTCTGCCGCTGTTTCCAGGATCTGCTCCAGGGCATGAATTGGGATGCATATCCACTTATCCGAAGGCCTTTTGAGCCCCTTTGGGTCAAAGGCAGGATCGTTCCTTACTGGTTCTTTCTAGGGAAGTAGGGAATGGGGTAATTACCTCATATCTCACCAAATAACCCCGCAAAGGATGATTATTTAGGGTAGCTACAGGGTACCTAATTCCCAACAACCCTACTCCCTACACCTTCTACTACAAATCGCTACTAAGAACTCGTAAGCTTCTCGAAGGGATCCTCCACGATGCCATCTCCAGGTTTGATGGCCGTCTCTTTGCTGCCGCCATCGAAGGCACGTCCTGGAGCTCGCATTGATTGCCCCCCTAAGCCCCTAAACCTTAAACCCCCTAAAAGCCCTAAACCCCTAAACCCCCTAAACCCCTAAAGCCCCCCTACACCTGAAGCCTTTAAACTTTGGCTCTGGGGACACGAGGGTTAAGGGACCAGGCTTCAGAGGGGGCCCAAACATCTCAAGTGGGCTTGACAATATGGGGGAGGGGGGGGAGGCTTCCGTAGCTAGGGGTACCTTCATTGGAGCTCCTACGATCAGGATCTGCCCTATGCTTGGGTAGATGAGGGCAATACCCCCCTTTATTTGGGAAATACCCTCTGCAATGCCATTCCCGAAGCCGTAACACCCCCCAAGTCTAAGCGCTCAACATCTTGTGTTCCAAGCCCGCTCTCCTTTGATGACGTAGGAGGTATCATAGCTGATGCACCAGGTGATGGGAAGTCGCACCTTCCCTCGGCATGAGCTTGTTGTGTGTGTGTGTGTGCTTGTTTTTATGTTGGGGCGAGGGAGGGGTCGTAGTTAAGCGTGACAGGCAGTTCCGCCACCATGACAACTGACCCGCTAGCTTTTCGTTGTCTCTGTCATGGGCCCGAACCCCAGCGGCCCCAGCCATTCGCTCTTCGAGGTGAGCGTCTTATCCCAAACGCGCGGATCTGAGCGAAGTCCAGGGGTGTGACGTAGCCTTCAACATGCCAAGGCATAGGAAGTGTCCCGGAAACTTCGAAGACTGAGGGTTGCACGTGGACAAAAAAATCTCTCTCTCTCTCTCTCTCTCTCTCAGTCCCGACTCTGCATACGCACCAGTGATGGGAACCGGCCGAGTACTTCTGCGCCCCACAAATTGCAACTTAGTGAAGGCTCTGTCCCGCCAAGATGCTGCTCCGATGCTGCCAGAACAAGCTGAGAATCCGCTCTTCCTCGGCAGAAACAGCACAGGTCAGCTTGTACATGCAGACACACTACAAATTGAGGTTGTGGTGAGTATGGTTGTCTGTGATTCGCGCCCTTTCTATGCCACAAACGTTTTTTGTTGGGGGGGGGGGGGAGTTATGGGAAGGCAACCCTCAACCCTGAAACCCTACACTCTGAACCCGAAACCCTAAAACCCTAAACCCTAGGCCCTTAATTAAGTCCTAAACCCTAAACTTTAAACCCTGAATCCTGAAACCCTCTAAACCCTCAAGCCCTCTAAAACCCTAAACCCTAAACCCTAAACCCTAAACCCGCTCCTCGTAGCCGCTCCCCAGCAGGAGGTTGACTAAGTCCGACTCGCAGCCGAAATGCTGACGCCCCAGCGTCCCCAGCTCCTGGGAGGGTTTAGGGTACTTTTTGGGGTTTGGGGTTTAGGGTTTAGGGCATGAAGTTTAGGGAGAGGGTTTAGAGCACGAAGCTAAGTAGGACAAATGTACATCATGTGTATATTCTATGAGTCCCAAACATCTGCAGTCGTAGACCGTTTTCCTCTCGAGATATTTGTCGGATCCTGTATAAATGAATTCTTGATGTTTGCACCCAAGTGCTTGAAATAAGGGGCAGCACCCTTTATCAGATCACTGGACGGGACAGACTGCCGCTTTCTGGGAGGAGCACCTGAGGGATGTAAAGGACAAGGAAGGGTGTCCATTGTCAATGTTGGCTCTGGAAGCCGCTGTTCAGTCTGTCCTGGTATGTCTGTCAGCCACAAAGGGATGACAGCGCAGCTTGTGAGGCATTGTGAGGTGCATGCATGTCAAGCAGAAAACTCATCGGTGGCGCCAGCTTCGCACTTCCGAGAGGCCAAGTTACCACATACACACGGTCCGACCCTGCTACCAGCTCCGAAGCAAAATCTAAGAACGAACCTCAGGCTTCCTCTCCACCCTCAGAACGTCCCATTCCAAGCAGTTCTAACAAACACAACGCGGTACCGCAAGGTCTTGTGGCCGCTGTGATCTGTTGTGCCACTAACTGCCTGCCGGATCTGCATGGCGCAGGAACCAAGGACAGCTACGGGTGGGTAGTTTCTGTTTGTAACAGCCTCTCAGTATACAGGCTATAGGGGTTATACCTGTGGGAAACTAGCAACCTGAAACTGTCCTCGAAGGAAAGGAGGAATAGCACAAAGCATGGGCTCCTTGAAATAGATGCGCATCACTTGAGAATCGCCAGAAGCATGTCAAGATTTGTCAAGTGTGCACTCGGATTACTTGCAGTGACATGCTGTCCGGCAGCTTGCCAAGCTCTGCTGGCATGACGCTGACCCGCGCGCTTCATGCGCAAAAAGGTTACAAAAAAGCTCATGCCTTCTCCTGAACTTCCGGAAACAACCAGGAACAAAAGGATGAGGCTGCTTCGTCGAGTTTCAACTAGGGCTTTCAGCTAAAACTGAGATACGGCTCATGACCTGGCCGGAAAGCTCATAGAAGGATGGATGTGATGCGTTCGCAAATCCTTCTCTCAAATGGGTGAGAGATCTTCATTCCTTCATTCTCTTGCCGCAAGGCACCTCTCAGGCTGCGCTGTCAGGCGGCTCAGCGCTTTGCCGTCGAAGGCGCTGAAGCTCACCCTGCAGTCGAGCGCGGAAGGCTGGCTCGAAACGCCCCGTGAACGTGTTCCCAAGCATCGACGCCACCGACATTGCAGCGACCTTGTCCTGAAGCCGGGTGCCGATGGTGGTTTCGGAGTCCCCGGCCTCTGGGATGTAGTTCTGCAGCTCACCCTCGATGATGTCCAAAAGCCCGCTGACTTGTGAAACAAGCTCTGGAACTTGCTCCATCTTTTGCCGCAAGCTGCCGCGAAGCAAGTGCAACATAGAGTGCGCACTCTTACGGCTGAGCTTCTCGCGATTGTGCTTCGAGATTGATGACTGCTGACCATGGAAATGGTGACAGTACTTGCACGCCACTCCATGCGGGCAGTGTCGCAAAGCAAGCAAGACACACGGACGCCGGCAGAAGTGCGGGTGACCAAGGCTTCCCGCCACATCTGCATCTGAAAGAGCCACGTCTTCAGCGGCGTCTTCAGCGGCCTCGGTGTCCTTTTGGGCCTCCTCGGCTAGAGAAGGCGCTGTGTCCCTTGAGCTCTCAGTGCTCTCGAGGCTTTCAGTGCTTTCGGCCACGAAGGCAACGGGTGACATTCTCGCCTCTTGCAGCAAGCCCGCCAAGTACTCGTCCTCGAAGGCCTCGAACACGCTCGAAGAACTCTGCAGCCCCGACAAATTTCCTGGCATGCTGGCGAAACGCCTAACCGCCGGCACGTGCTCCTCGACATCGATGAAGGTGAACTTGGACTTCAGGTTCATCTCGCTGAGCTGGGTTAGCGGGACCATGGCCCAAGCAAGCAAACAAGAACTATCAGTTGGACAGTTGGCAGCCCTTTCACGACAAGCGATGCTGACGAGCACCAAGGATGCGCGCACAACAAGGGTTGCAAGTCTTTGGTGTTGTGGTTCAAGGCGCCCTGACCTTGTTGCGTATACGAAGGACGTCCTTTGAATCCTAGAGGGCATCGTACGGCGAGTCTCCTCCTGACTCAGCTGCGGGAACAACGTACCCACGTGCCCGACAAAGCATCCCACGTCCAGCGAGGAGGTGGCTTTGTTGTACTCCTAAGTCGTTTGCAAGTCTTGCAAAGCTGCAAAGTCTAAGGGGTAATATTCAACCTGTTTTGCTGTGCTCGCACCAGACTGCTGCTGAGCAGCCGGATTTCGTGTTGCAACAAGGTGCCCAGCCTTTAGGGACGTACACGCAGAGAAGCTTCAAGACGGTACATTGATGTGGCTGCTGTGGCTTCGGGGCAAAGCGTGCGGAGAGCCTCTGGATCAGCTCGGTAGACGTCAGGTGCCATGAAACGGTCGAAACCTGCAACATATCGAACCTGCCCGATGCCCGAGCTGCGCCTGATGGCCACGAGACTGGGAGTAGAACCAGTCTTCTAGGCAGAACCATCCCCCAACGTTGACCCCATCTGGCCTTGGAGGAGAGGGTTTAGGGTTTAGGGTTTAGGGTTTAGGGTTTAGGGCTTAGGGATCCAGGGGTTTATAGGGGTGTTTGGGTTGCAAGAGGTGGCTTGTGCCCACGGTTTAGCGTTCTACGTCCGCGCCCTGGACTATTCAGGCACAGTGGCAGCTCCCAATCGAGCACCGGGAATTTTCACACAAGAGGTGCTGATGGACGCATGATTCTGCCCAAGACCTAGAATAAGGTTCAACTCTTCTGCAGAAGGATGTGCCACTATGCTAAGCTCCGTGGCACAAAGCTGATGCGATTGGGCTTACGTGTTGGATTTGGTTTTGCCCCCATAGGCAGCTCAGTTGCACCAGCTCCGGATCCTCACGCGACATCCGGGCGGATCGGGCGATGCGCGTCCCAGTTCGGGTATGGAAAGGATTTTCAATCTTGTTCCAGTCTAATCATATGAATGAAACCACAAACTAAACAAGGCACACGCTTGCAAGCACATCCAAGGACAGGGGTCAGGAAAAGAGAGCAGCGTCAGTCTGGAAAGGCAGGGGTAGACTCACCGGGTCCCTGACCTTTCTTGCTCACCTGCATGTCTCTTCTCATGTGGGCTCTTAAAGAAGACCTTGCACGCAACAATTTGGCCCAAGCTTGCTGCGGAGAATAGACATTGACAACAGCACCCGTGCACCACGTTGGAACCGTGTCTTACCTAAACCCCGAACCCTATAACATCCAAGGCAGACCCATCACGGCCTGTGTACTGCGGGGTTTCCCTTCTTGGCTGCACTCATGGCCATGAAGACAAACAATCGTAGCCTCAGTCCAAATTCGCGCCCATGTCACAGAATGCTGGACGTTTCCGTATAGACACGAAATCCTAAACCCTGCAAACTCCGGCTTCTTGTGCGTAGGTTAATGATCGACCCTGAACCCTCTAAACCCTAAACCCTACACCCTCCAAACTCTAAGCCCTCTAAACTTTAACCCTAAACCCATGACAGGCCTTTGTGATAAAACAGCCCAGCGGGCACATGTCACATGCTCAGCCACAGTGTCGCCACCTTGGGTGGCGCAGTGTGGCCCGGGAGCCGCTGTTCAGCTCCCCGTGTGGCACACAAGTATAATTACATGGGGGGGGAGTTCCCGAAAATCAGGGGTTGTGCCCTGTTTTAAGGGGGTTCTTGCAGTATGTTGGGGTATGGAAGGGCTACCCCTAGTTTGGGAAATCCCCTCTGGCCGGGACAGCCTGCTACAAGCCGCAATAGTCACTACACCACGCGGCTAAAGACCTCATGAACCCCAAATCTGCACCTCATGTGCGGTGATCTTCGAACTCCTGCACCACAGCAGTGAAGGTGCAACCTTCGGACCTTGTCCAATTGAGGTTTTAGTGGTTTTAGCACTGCTGACGGAAGCCTGGCCACTTTCAAAGACCAAAACTCGCAATTTTCCGGAGGCAGCTTGCTGCGACAAGGGGGCTGAGATCTCGTGTTGGCCTGTTTGGGGCAAGTGGCCGACCGATGACCGGCACGAGCTTTCTTAAGGAAGTGCCTGATGCTGTGTGATCCTCGTGAGCTGGCAATAGAGGCTCCCACAAACCAGCGGACTGCTTTCTAGTGGAGACCCCCAGCAACATCCCGCAATGCGACCCTGCCCCTCAAGAAGCCGCATGCGTGACACCAGTACCCCATTTTGCCCCGCAAACCACAAACTCAACAACCCCAAGAAGCCACGCTCCGTGTCCACCAAGGACGAACGGCTGCGGATGCCCAGGGCACGGTGTCGCCGGGCCAAAGGGGAGCTGCAGCCCTGACACACTTGGGCACTTGGGGTCGAGGCAGTACATGAAAGAAAGCTGTACATGAAATCGAAATAGCCTGGTACTGTATGTATCTATCGAAATGTCTATCCGCACGTGGGACATATATATATATATATATGTGTATATGATGTATAATGTATGTGTGTGTATGCGTACTCAGCATTTTTAGGTATTTATTTATATACACATAGACAGCAGACGTATGACATACGTATGTGCATATCTCTATATATATATATATATAAATATTATATATATATATGGTACCCCCCCCCAGTGACCTACCCTTTTTCGCCTTGTCTCAAGTCACCCAGCTGCACTGCAAGCAAACTCGGTGTGCAATATAGCGTATTTCCTAGGGCCTAGACTAAAATACAACTAAAATGGCATACACGGGACAGTAGAAAAACCCAAAATACCAAAACCAAAAAAAACAAAAAAAAAAAAAAAAAAAAAAAAAAAAAAATCCGGAACTCTCAGGAATCCCTATGAGGCTTCTCCAAGAGTCCCGGAAAATTGGTATGTTTGCTTTTTTGGTTTTGTTTTTTTTTTTTTTGGTTTTTTTGGTTTTGGTATTTTTGGTTCTCTTGGTTTTGGTATTTTGGCTTTTTGGTTCGCATTCACGGTCACGAGGCAACAACTACGCATTTTTAAGTGTGCTTATGCTAATTGTGCTTTTCAGAAATAGTATACAAGTGGTCTTTCTAGTGCTTCAGAACTATTTGTTTCGTTATTATGTACGTAGAACCGCTTCGCTTCTTTTTCAACTAGTGTTCAGTGCATCTTTTGGTTGTACTCAAGTGTAGTAGACCTTCTTCAGCCATCACTTGGTGCTCTGGTAGCTAAGTTCGCATGGGTAATATTTGCCTGGTAAAAGCGATTAATTATCTAGAAGCAGCATTTGCAATACTTGTCTTGAGACAAAGCATTTATTGCTTAGAACTGTTTGCTTAAAAAGTGACTCCTACTCGTCCAGGGATACCCCAAAACCCTAGAATCCAAACTTCACCAGAGATTCTCCTGAAAAGCTTGCGCTTTTGGATGTTTTTTTGTATTTGTGAGTTTGCTTGTGTATGGCCTTCACTAAGTACTTTTCTAGGATTCTTGTGCATTTTTTTAAGCATGATTGTGCAAGTTGTGTTTTTCAAACATAGTATATAAGTGGTCTTTATTGAATACTTCACACATCTTTGTTTCATCGTTATGTAAGTAGAACCTCTTCTATTTCCATTATTGTGCATTTTTAAGCTTGCTTATGCAAATTGTGCTTTTCAGACATAGTATATAAGTGGTCTTTATTGAATACTTCAGCAATCTTTGTTTCATTGTTATGTAGGTAGAACCGCTTCCATTTCCGTTAGTGTGTATTTCGTATTTGGTTAAGTATGGTCCTCTAAATAGTATTCACTTGAGTCAAACTGGGCTATTTGCTTAAGAATTACTCTAGTAGTTAAATTCGCATAGAATGAATATTTCAAAAATAAAAATTGTTTCATGAATATGTAAACGTAAGGTATTTCAGTGGACTTTGCAGATAGTATTTCAATTATACTTTGCCTGGTATAAACACAACTGTTTCAATGCATTAGTTGCTCAACAAAGCACTATTTTCGCTTTAAACCACACTTTGCCATATTTTGGTTGAATATAGTGCTTATTTCGTATTTTGGTTGAGCACGGTCCTTTAAATGGTATTCGCTTGAGTCAAATAGGGCTATTTGCTTCATACTTACTCTAGTAGCTAAATTTGCATAGAATGATTATGTCAAAAATAAATAAAGTTTCATGAATATGCAAACATAAGGTATTTCAGTAGACTTTTCAGATAGTATTTGATTCATACTTTGCCTAGTACAAACACAATTGTATAAATACAGTAGTTGCTCAACAAAGCATTATTCGCCCTTTAAACGCACACTTTGCCATATTTTGGTTGAGAATGGTGTCTATTTCGTATCTTGGTTGGGTATGCTCCTTTAAATAGTATTCACTTGAGTCAAATTGGGCTTTTTGCTTAATCATTACTCTAGTAGTTAAATTCGCATAGAATCAAGAAAAATGTTTCACTATTTGATTAATACTTTTCCTCGATTGTATCAATAATTTAGTTGCTCAACAAAGCATTGATTGCCCTTTTAAACGCACAATTTGCATAGAAAAAACACAGATCTAAACATCTGAAAACAGCATTGTCCGCTTCAGATTCAAAATGTAGATTAATCCAATGCTGGCTCATCGGGGTCTGTGAGGTGGGTGTCCCAGTAACTGTCCTTCATCACCCGGTGATTAACTACGCGACTTTTGGGCCTTCGTTGTTGTTTTTTGCTAAAAAGGCCTAAAAAGGCCTAAGAAGGGCAGGTCGCTGGGGGGAGGGGGTAGCATATATATATATATGTATATATAATGGCCCTTGCCTTAAAGGGGGGGGGGACCCCGAAAAGTTACCGGTAACATTTCCAGGTCTCTCGCCGGGCATCTGGGAAAAACATGCAAACCCACAACACAATCCGTGTAACATTTCAAAGACATGAAAGAGACAAAGAACTAAAGCACGCATGTGTAGGTCTTTGCGTGGGTAAGACACACAAGCTAAAATGTTACCAAGCCTGGGGGGGGAGGTCTCCTGATAACAATTCCGACCGCCAAAAACGTTTCCACGAAACCATCGGTAACTGACCCCCCCCCCCCCTTGGAAACATTTCCTAAAGCAGGGCCATTAAATATAAATATAAATATAAATAAAAAAATAAATAAATAAATAAATATATATATGTGACGACGGACAAAATTACTTAGGAGAGCGCAACGTCGCGGAATCCCAGGTTCTCGCTTTACGACTGGCCCATATCACTTTACATAGTGTGGGACTGCCGGACCCCATCAAACTTAGGTGGCGCCCATATCGCTTTCCATGGTTTGCTGATGTTCGCAACAACTCGTGTCCACGGTAGTACTGGCTTAGACAAACATAGTTTACGCAGGCGTTCATATAAAATGGCCAGCCAATATGCACATAAATACATACACATATATGCATGTATATATATATATACTGAGAAAATATATATCTATATATATATATATATATATCCTAGATATGTATGTATGTATGTATGCATGTCTATTGGACATGTGATGTTGGCAAAAAAAGCCACTGCAGCAGCCCGGCCTCGTCCTGATTGCGCCGCTTCGGCTTCTGGTAGATGCCTCAAGAAGGTTTGGTTTAGGGTTTAGGGCCTCAGGGTTTAGGTTGGCAGTTTTTTAAAGACAGCGGGTGGCTCTTGATGCTGGGAACATGGCAGAACCTAGGAGTTCATGGTGCACGAAAAGGTAAGCCCTATAAGCCTCAGTACGCCCTGTAAACCCTCAACCCATTTCTACCAGCGTAGTGCCCAAACAGTGAGAGGCCATGTGAGCCAAAACGTCGAAAAGTGACGACAGCGTTGGCATTTCGCGAACGTCCAAAAGCGACATTCAGCGCACACAGAAAAGTGAGCAGGCCGCGAGGCCACATCTACCCTACCCCTTCTTACCCTGCACTTTGCAAACTTTTTTTCGTGTTGACACACCGGGGATCACAAAACCCGCTGACACCTATAGAGCCTGAATTCGATCGGGCGGCGCTCCGTGCTGGGATCTTTGAAGAGCTGCTCCTGTGGGAACCGCTTAGGCGCAGAATCTCCGACACGAAACACTCTTAACCCCCGCCTAACAAAAACTAAACCCTTAACATGCTAGATTTCCATCTGTGAAGTTCCCGGTTTGAACAGGGGGTGACGTGTGGCGATATTCGGAGAAAGGATAAAGCTTTCAGACAAAACGAGCTAGCGCTTCTCCAGACAGATTCACAGGAGAGCGAAAAAAGAACTTTGGGGGCCATACTATGGGAAATGAACTACGCCCAAAAGGGTACGCTTTTCTTGCAAGAGCCAGGACTCTGGCTCAAACAGCACGATCCTTCTTATAGGCTGGATGCAGGCCCGCGAAACGCGCGGCGTCGAGAATGGACTGCCGTCTTCTCAGCCAATGACAAGAGCAAAGTAATGGCAACGTGGTCATACGCGCCAGCTCTACATGAAATGAATGCCCGTTTCAGTGTCAACGCCCTGAGCCCTGAAATCCGCAAAAACAATCAAGCAAGTGAATTCTAGGGGGCGTCTCCCCAAACAGACGTCGGACGCAACCCTGCAACCTGCAACCTGCAACCCTAAACCCTAAACCCTAAACCCGAAACCCTAAACCCTAAACCTGCAGAGGGAGGGGAAGCCGGCATGTGAAGCCCTTGATCCAAGGTGCCGCTCCCTGAACCTAGCGAACCCTGGCCCGTCCTGATGCTTCAAGAAGGCGCCATCCTGACAGAGGCCCGTGCGGGTTTAGGGTTTAGGATTCAAAGTGGGTTCTCCTCTGCCTTCCTGCAGCTGTACTCACAGTGTATACCATCTCATACCCCTCTTTGCGGCTGCCGGAAACCCCCCCCCCCCCCCCCCGCTTCTCTTGTTTTGAACTCTCTTTAAGAAGGTGAAAATCCCGGCCCTCTTACATATATATATATATATGACTATATCCGCCGACCCCCTTTGTCGCCGTCAAGAAGCTGGACTCGTACCTTTCCCGCTGCCCTTCCCCATGGACCCGCGCGGCTTGCTTCCTACCTGGATGGAACCACGTGTATGGTAACCCACCTCCCTCCCGCGTTTCGTGACCCATTTCCCTACCCCCCCCCCTCCCCTGCGCCCCCGCAAAAACCCACCCCCCCACTCCCTACCCCGCCTGCCTAGCCGCCCCCCCCCAAGCGGGGGAACGCGTTTGTGTTGGTTGCACCTTACCCCCCCACAGAAAAAGGACCAAAGATTTTTGGGTGATCATCCGCAAGATGCCCGGCGGTGCCCGGACGTCCTTGTCCTGGGGGTCGGCGGCAGCGGCGTCAGCCTTTAAATCGGGCAGCGCGAGGTCCCCAAGGACCGAGCAAATGCGGACCTTTTAACCCGGGTCGTCCCGGGAATAGCCTTGCTGGCCTCCAGAATTAGGCCGAACGCCTGTGCCGCCGACCTTTCGCGGCCCGGTCGGTTTTCGTGGGTTGAGGCACGAAAAATGGGACGGGCGCGGATGCCCCATGATGCCCCCCAAGGGGCGCGCATCATGAGCATCAGCGGGTTCAGCCCGGGACCCCCAGGCGCGCATCAGGGGACCCCGGGGGCGCATCAGGAGCATGATGCCCCCCAAAAAGCGGGCATAGAACCCTAAACCCTAAACCCTAAACCCTTGACGGATCTGCTCGCCCCGCGTTTCTGCCTGCGCTGCCCGCCCATGGGCGCAGCCCCTTAAATAACTTACTTCACTGATGACAAGCCACCCATAAAGCCAAAATCTCAAACCCTAAATCTTTGCTCCCCTTTTTTCGAGCCTCAATGAACACAGTTTTTTTAGATACTCCAATCATCTCCAATGAAGCCGGAGGGGTTTTGTACAAAGCAAAGAACTAAGTAACTAACACGCATCCCAACAAGACAATCGAAGCCCGTCCTGCCAGGCCCAGGGCATGCCAATGCCGTGCCTCAACTCCTCGCTGCTCTCGCTCCTTGGGTATGGGGTGCGAGGGGGGTCATCGTCTGTAGGGCGCCAGGCTTTGGGGGGGTGTACCGTCACTTCAGTAAGTTGTGGTCCCCTTTTTTGGGGCTAGATGCAGAAGATGGACGTGTAAGGCTTAAGCAGCTGCTTCAATAAGTGGCCTTGGGCTTTTTGGGAGACAACTTCAGGATCCGGAACCTCCCAACCTCCTTCAACCCTAGCACCTAGACCCTCAATGAACCCCAAAATTCTAAACCCCTAAACCCTAAACGCCAAATGCCAAACCCGAAGGTCCCCTCTTCAACTGAGGCGAGTGCAGGCCAGGTTCCCACTTTCCTCAGACGACGCACTTGGAAGATCAAGACCCGGAGCTGCGGGAGACTCCTGCATGCTGCGTTTCTACTACAACTAGGACGACGACGACGACGACGACGACGACGACGACGGCTACTGCTGCTGCTACGACGACGACGACGGCGGCGGCGACGATGACGACGACGACCGACTACCGCTACTAAATAGTACTGCTTACTATCATGATGGCAGAGTCTTGCTATGATGACAATGATGACAACAAAAGAATCATTACAGCTCGTGTTTGAGGAGTGGGGGGGAGTGAGTAGAGGTACTGGTACGTGGTTAGCAACGTTTGCTGTTTTTAAAGGGAGTTCAACAGGGAAACTCGGCTTCAGGAGTTCATGTTTGGACACTTAGGGCTTTGCGGCTTTGTGGGGTGTATATGCGTTCGCGTTCCGCGTAGTCGACCCCCCCGCCCCCACTGGCATCCCCCCCCCCCAACCCGGCCCTTTAAACCTCAAAAAACCACGAAGCAGAGGGGGGTGGAGAGAAACCCTCAACCTAGCCCCAAACCCTGAACCCTAAGCCCTAAAACCTAAACCCGCCAATTAACCACAGGGGGGAGAAGGGTAAACCCGAAACCTTAACCGCTTTAGCCCTGAACCGTAAACCCAGCACGAACCACAAGGGGGAGAGGGGAAACCGTGAACCTAGATTACCCCAAACCTTGAACCCTAAACTCTAAACCCACCGTGAACCAATGGACCAAGGGGTCAGAGTGAAGATCCTGAACTCTACAGCCTAACCCTAAACCCATGAACCACAGACCATGAACCCTGGGGGGGGGGGGGGGGGAACCCAAAACCTGAACCACGGGGGGGCGGCTATATGGTGGGGGCCTAATCTCTGAGTGCTGGCTTTGGGGAGATGGCAGCCTCGTCACCCCTTCTTTTTTTTGTCAGAGTGCTTGCAAGAGATCGAAGCACTTGGCAGGCTCACGAGAGAGGTCACAAGAGTCACAATGTATGGAGCTGTCACACACGTCGCCGTTGACTGAAAGCAGCGCCGCTGGTGGGAACAAGGTCTTGTTGTTCTGGCAGGTTGCCGAGTTGCCCTGTCCAACAATGAAGCTCCAGCCAGGCTTGCTCCAACATGTCTCCAGTGTCGTTCCCGAGTTCCACTCAGGACATACCCCGCATGCTGACATGAAGGCACTGAGCGTCAGGTTTCCAGATGGTGAGATGGCTAAGGGATGCGACAAGGTCCACCAGAATCCACATCGCTTCGCAGGTCCGCCCCACACGCGATGAAGCTTCTGAGGCGTCGCGGATCGGACGATCACGTAATCAACGATCCCACCGGCGCCCGGATCTTGTTTGAGCGCATACTTCTCGGCAGACTGCTTCAAACTGTCAAAAGCGGGATCGCTTTCGTCTACGATTTCAAGATCATCCGGCACTGGGAAAGCATAGACCTCTGTCAAGTTGCGCACGCCCCGGCCTATCTTCGAACTTGGTTGCAAGGCTGCTTTGACTTGCAACATTGTCAGGTGTTCCACCGAATCATCGATGGCAAACGCAGCACAGACCATGCTGTGGATCGCAAAAGCTCGCATGACACGCGACAGGCCCCAGGCAATGCTATATGCCTCTAGACAGGCCAGATGGTACGGTAAGATTTGATTTGGCTGACAATGCTGACGAGCCAAAATGCACCGTCAAAGCTGCTAGTTCAAACCTGGTGAGCAAGCATGATCGACAACGGGTTTTGCCCACAGGGTGCTCCGTCCTCTGCATCCGCGGACGCTTGCCCATCTTGCTCGAAGTCATGAGGGCTGTGCACGTCCTCAGACCTGCTCCGAAAATCGTAAGGTTCTTCTAGGGTTTAGAGTTTGTACATGGTCTAGGAGGTCTAGGAGTCTAGGAGTCTAGGAGTCTAGGAAATCGCTGAACTCCATTTCTGTGCCACCCCGCCCCTTTCATTACTTCCCTAGGATGGCCCTCAACTTAAAACCCTCAGAAAAATACTCCTGAATATGATCCGCTTGAACCCAACAAGGGAAAACATGAAATATGCCAAAGGCCCACCTAGTTCAAAGTTCCCCTGAACCTTAGAGGTTCCCTCAGCCCTTCCTTCGGGTGTGCTCGTCTTCGGGAATCGGACGCGGAGTCCTTAGGCTCGGGCTGTGGTCGCCTCGGCTCGGCAGGTGGGGTTCTTCTACGTTCGGGGTTCTGGGCGGGAATTGCAGGGGATTGGTTCTGTGTTAAAAAGCGGGCCCGTTCATTTGAAACAGGTACTCTGGAGAGGAGCCTAACCGATGCCAGATTAAAAAACAGCGACTTGGTTTTTGATCATTCCCCCAAACGACATGCAGCATTATGCAGCGGGTCTGAAACCGAATTGAAGGATGTTGCTCAAAGCAGCCATTTTTGACAGCTGAGACGCGAATGATGCGTAGCGGCGGCATCTCTTCACCCAGGCCCAAAAGGCGCCTTGGCAGCAGCAGTATCGCCACGACTTGACGATCAGCTTGCCAACCTTACGAGTACGGAGTACCATGCATGGGGTGCGTTATCGAGCCGAGAGGCAGCCGATCGCGACCGTCAGGAGCCATCTCCAACACCATGTCTGGCACGCTGCCATCGCAGCTAGGGCCGCTAGGACCAGTAGGGCCAGTAGGGCTTGGGGCTTCGTCTGCGAGAAGCAGGAGATCGTGTGTGCCACTCCGTGTGATGGGAGCCACTGCGCTAGTGGGTCTGGAGAGTCGTGGGCCGATGGAATTCTGACCGTGGCTGCCGTGGCTGCGGGTTCGCAGCAGTTGCCGGCCAACCGGACTGGCGTCGCCAAGTGGTCCGATCGCCAACCGACTTTGGGCCGCGCTCTGCGGACGACTATGGGCCGCGCTCTGCGGCCTGCTTTTGCGCTGCTCATCGAGGAAGCCTGTGCTGTAGGAGGGCAACCTCTTGTCGGCTTCCCTGAAGACGATGGCGCCGCTCTGCATCAGCCTTTCCTCCGAGATGGAGCAAGGGGGGGGAGAAAGGGCAGAGTGGGCAACGGAAACGTGGAGTGTACGGGGTGTCGCAGGATGTCTCATGCGTCTTGGTTTTCGGAGCTTGGGTTGTGATATATGGACGATAGGAACATGGGACATGCGCTCAGTTGAATCTCGGTCTGCGGCCTCTCTACGTTGGCGTCTTTGGGAATGATCCGCCTGATCGCCTCTGCAATCGCCCAACCACGATGGTTCCAGGCAATCCCGACTCTTCGAGTGCAACCTACAACCTCACCCTAATTTGAGCCCCTAAAACCCCCTAAAAGGGCTCCTGCATCCGCTGCGATGGGGCGCTCTGAGGCCTTCGAAGCCGCGGCTTTGGCTTGGCGCTGCGGAGGCTTTCGTGGAGGCTCCGGATGACCTGTGAAAGGTACGGGGGGGGGGGGGGGGGGGGGGGGGGGGCCAATGTGGTCTCCTGATTAGTGTGGGGGGCCTCCCCCCCCCCCCCCCCCAAACGAAATCCACCCCGCAAGAGGGTCACAAAAAAAGGGACCCCCCCATACTAATTTTCGGCCCCGGGCCCCCCCCACCGGCTCCTCTTCATTTCCTCTTCGCTCCTCTTTCCTCTCCTCTTCCCTCTCCTCTTCCTCTCCTCTTCCTCTCCCTCTCCTCTTAGGTAATTACGCTCAGGTAAGCTCAAAACTCCGAGTTGAAGCTGCTCTTCTTTTGCTCTTTTATTTCCTCATCTTGTTCTCTTTTTTTCTCTGTTCCGAAACCCATGCCCGAAAAAACTTGTCATTATTGTAGGGGGGGTAACCAAATTTTTTTCCCCTCAATTATTGTTTGAAAACTTTTCATGATTTGGAGGGGTCCACACTAATCAGGATACGACATTATCCGAGAAAACCAAACCATCGACAGTGCCCCGGTGTAGGCCCTTCCACCCCAAGTATAACTGTACATATAACCCAACTGAAACCACATTAGGGGCACTTCAGGGGCACAAGTGGGTTATAAGTACAGCTATTATCGAGTTATGAGTCCCCTAAACCTCTAAACCCCGAAACCCTAAACCTAAGTAGCATGAACCTCCAAGTAAGCCTAAACCCTAAACCCTAAACCCTAAACCCTAAACCCTAAACCCTGAACCCTGAACCCTAAACCCTAAACCCTAAACCCTAAACCCTAAACCCTAAACCCCTCATAATCCCTCAGAAGCGTTTTCCAAGAGCAGCCTCCTTGCTCGCCTGGGTGGCCGAGGCCTTGGCTTCGTTCCGAAGCTTGGGAGCCATGAGGCTTAGGGTTTAGGGTTTAGGGTTTAGGGTACAGGGTTTAGGGTTTAGGGTACAGGGTTTAGGGTTTAGGGTACAGTGTTTAGGGTTTAGGGTTTAGGGCTTAAGCGGCCTACAATCCCTAAAGCGCTCAAAAAAGGCTTCAATCCAAGCCACCGGTCTCTTCCTGGAGCTCCTGCTCGGGGATTGCGGGGGCGCTCCCCTGACGCGCGCGCTCGGGCTCATGCTGTCCATGCGACGGATCTCCGGCTGGTCGCTGATGGCCAGCACCTTTTGGTCAAAGGGTTTAGGGTTTAGGGTTTGGGGTTTAGGGTTTAGGGTTTAAGGGAATTTAAACAACTCTGCGAGATGTCGACAGCTGATATGCAGCTCCAGACCTCCAACATACCGATAAGAATGGCCGGCCTGCCGTGCATGCTTTGGGCTTTCGGTATCTGCTATTCTTGCAAGAACCCCAAGCCCGAAACTTGAGTGTTGCCCTGATTCAAGTTGCCTGCGCTTCAGTCGGGGACGTGCCTTCCAGGGCCGGAAGCCTTGTGAAGAAACGCGGTTCAGGGATTTGCGGTTTGGGGCTCTAGGGACGGGACCCTACGGGCTATTGGGGCCCAAAGTGCTTTTGACCTGCGGCCAGCTCCTTACACTGTGGTCTCGCTTTGTGGGGTTCCCTTCGGACCACTCGTCTCTTGTAGTGTTCTGAAAAGGTGGCCTTGGACTACTTTATCCGATTGCCATTGCTCCATCAAGTCTCTGGTTTCTGAGGCGTCGCTTCATGACAGCTGCAGCCCTCATCAGAGAAACTACCCCACGTCCACTGCAGCTGCGAAGAAGCAACCCAAGCACAACCGCAGCAAAACGCAAACGGAACAGCCAGGCATGCTTGAAGCTTGGAGCTTGAGGCAAGTAATAACAGATGCTGTCTGCTGAAGTCACATGGAAAACATGAACCGTAAACCCCACAACTCACAAAGGCTCGATGAGCACACAAAGACATGGCCGCAGTTCAAACGAGGTTCCCTTGCAGCATAGGTATGTTTGATCTTTTATAACGGAATTCCCTATACAAGTTCCTACAGAAAGGTAAGCCCTACTCTCCCTGCAACATCCCACCATCCTGTATATGCCTTATGTAAATACCTGCGTCTCTCTGAGTCCCTGAACTTATCAGCCCTGGAGACTCTAAACCCTGAACCCTCCCAAACCTACGCAAAAACTCCTAGCTTGGAACAACCCCCCTGCTGTTGCCCAGAGCTGCTCCAAGAGCTGCGGTTCGGATGGAGGCGGCCTAGGGCCTCAGCAGCTTAAGTTTTAGGGCTTTGGGGTGTTAGGGTCTAGGGTCCTGGTCGAAACGGAAATAGTGTTGGCTCATATTATTTGTGCCCAAGGGCCTCCTATTCTCGGATGAACCTTTGTACACCTCTTGTCCTGGGTGCTGAGGCGTTTGTGGGGTTTTGTTTTAGGGATGCTTCCGGGAGCCTTCAGGCTCCCCCAACAAAAAAGCCCCAGGTATCGTGCCAACTCCTGCTTCTGTTAGCAGAAGTCCATTCCGAGATGCGGGACGGGGACGAGGGTGGACAGGCGAGGTCATCTGCGGACCAGGGCGGTGGGAAGGCGTAGTACTCGTAGACCTCCGAAGTGAAGCACTATGCGGCAGCTTTGAGCTTCAACCTTAAGTGGCAGAGGTTGAAAGCATGCAAGCGCGCCCACGACGCCCCACAGGGCGTCGGAAAGCCTCAAAGATGCACCAAGGGCCTCCGGGGCATTCGCCGCGGCCTCCTCCTGTGCTTCCTCGCCTGGCGGCGTGGACTCGGCAAAACACCCCTGAGAACCCCTTGCTGCGGGCCCAAAAAAAAACCCTGTCAGTCAACCTCTTTGCTGGTGCCGAACTTCCACCCTTAGTTGGCGGCTGCTCCCTGCCAGGCATGGAAAGGTTGCCCAGCTTCCATCCAATACCAATGACATCATGGGCCAATTAAGCCAGAAGCCCACCAAAACCCCCCAAAACCGGAACCCTGAACCATGAACCGAAGTTTCCGGCCTACTCGCTGGCTACTGGCGCTCGTGGGCCTGGCCTGGCTCTTGGCTCACGGTCCCGCCCCCACATCCCTGCAAAAAACGAAGGTAATATTGAGCCAAAAACATTTTGGGCACAGGAAATAGGGTCCTGCGCCAGAGTTGACTTAGGCCACTAAGGCATAGTCCTGGGACTGCTAAGTGAAACAGAAACCCACAAGCAAGGCCTACTGAGGCCCTAGTAGCCTTGGAAACAAAAGGAAACTAGGCCCTAACTAGCCATCACAGAGCCTAAGACCCACAGCCCACAAGCCTATGAAAAGTTCAGTCAGGCCATTCCAAACATATTCTCTGCAGCCACGGACCCCCTGCCGAACAGTCAGATTCAAGTGCGCAATTGCTAAATGCCTGAAGAACGTGCCTTGTGGACAATGGTAAGATCTGGCTCCAAGACTGTGCTGTCTCCAGCCAGTTCTTCTGTGCAGAAGGTCTCCTGGCCAGCTATCGGCTCAGGGTTTACTGCGAGGCTCAGGCAGGGAAACGATCAAGTAGGCTATGCTTCTGGGGGGAGGTGGCCGGGAGTGAAAGCACGTTTTATAGGTTTTCGGAGGTTTGCGACTGAAGAATCCACAATGTTGCACCTGCTTTAGTGCAGGCCCCCCGCCCCGAACAGTCGAGGCTGGATTTCACCCTCTTTAAGCGGGCCCGGGATTTTATATGATTTCAATGGGGAGGAATTTATGTAAATTGAAATGGATCCATATGAGTTTAAAAGGGATGAGTTTATATGAACTTAAAAGGGATCCAAATGGTTTTTACAAGGGATGAGTTTATATGAATTCAAAACGGATCCATGTGAATGGAAAAGGGGTGAGTTTATATGAACGTAAAGCGGATCCATATGAATAAAAGGGAAACCTTAAACACCAGAAACGCCTATAACGACCTTCGACATGTTTCGGAGTGTCAAGGAATCTGACTACGTCTCGACAAGCGCATAACGAAGAGAATGCAAATATCCCACCCCCCCCCCCCCCCCACCCCCCCGGCACTATAATCTAGTAACGTGTTGAGAATTCGCCATATTGAGGGCTTGTTTTCAAAACTCCTGATGTCTCCGTTGGTTCATAGACCCTTTTCAGAGGGCCTGACAGCTTCGAATACAAACCCTGTCTCTGCCTTTGCAGTGCATGCGCTGCTGGCTATACCAAGTAATATACGTTCACTATCTTAAATGTCAAATCATGCTTTTGTTCTTGTATCAACCGGCTAAACTATTCCTATAACATTATTGTCATATTCTCAGATCAGTGTATTAACTACTACAAGTACATACTATACTATAGTTCTGACATTCTATTCCTCTGTTATTCCATGACGAAAGTAATATAAGATACAATTGTATAATCGAACCATTGCATTATGAAATTGTGATATTCTGATATTCTTGTGCTTTTGTTGTATTGATACATTCCTGTATGCTTCTCTTGTTATATTGGTGCATTTCTTATTATAATAATATATTGCTATAATACTACAGGGAAATTTTCATTCGTATATTACGATATTTCCAACATATTTCGGAGATTTTTCAATACGTGAGTATATGATGATAATATTTTATGTATGTTAGCAATATACTAAAAAAGTGCTATACTATTCCTACCCGTATATGCTCAAATTCTCACAATCTTTCATGACATTATGATGTACTCTATCTTTTTATGATGCTATATTATTTTGTGTACTAGTGATTGTATGCTGCATACATATATATATATATATGTATATATGTGTATATTTGTAATATTTATTATTTATTTATATGCTCATTTATTTACTTATGTATGATCAAACTCGTATCAATTGTATACTTTTGCATGTGTGCAGTTTACCCCTAGACTTCCTAGTGAATACGCTGAAGCGTCAGCCAAGTGACGTAGTAGCTCTCGTCCGGCTGCGGCTGGAAAGTCACAGCTTGCACGTCCTGTCGGACAAACCATCCAACAACAGATCGCATCGCTCATAGCAATAGTATATTCATCTGAGAATACGAAAATTATAGCAGTATGATGATATAATGAGTTGTTCATCTCCTGCTTAGTAGAGTCGGCGCCTGCAACTGAGTTGTGCATTTTAGGCTCGGACGACGATCCGCGAATGGTCGCCGCGCAGCATGGACAGCGCTGCTTGCGCCGGCTCTTCTTAAAAACTCTGATCGCTCGAGTCGATTCACGGCCGAGCCTGTGCTCTCCTTGGACTATGGGCCCTTTCTGTTTAGGTCTCTGTATCTCTATCTTCATTGTTGAAACAATTGTACTTACGGTACAGTACCGAACAACGGGCCAAATCCCCAGCGAGGTTCATCCTGGAAAAAAACCCGTTGCCCAAAGCGCCCAAAGCGAGATCCAGGATGTACATGGAGTCTCTAACAAGGTACCCAAGTGAAGAGTGCCGAAGTCGGCAAGATGGACACATGATCATGGTTGCTCTGGGCGCCAGGTTGCTCTAGGGCAGCCGCCCTCTGGGATAACAGATCCCTCTCAGTACTTGCCCCCGCGTAGCGGCCGTTCAGCGGGAAAACGGACTGGTAACGTTGCCGACTTCTCGTTCCGGCTCAGCCGGAAAACTCACCGGCAACATCGCCGCGATTTCTCTTCCCCTTGGCCACCATGTCACCATCTCCCTGTTCGGGAGAACTCCCCAATCATACAAACTGCACGGGGCTGTTCTGTGTCCCTTCGCCGTACAAAGTGTACTGGGATGGGGTTCGGTCTGGCTAAACCAGCATGGCAATACTTGACTCACTCAGGGGAAGCGAAACGCAGGTTTACAAATGTTGAAACACGGGTTGAAACACATACATAAAGTTGATAAAAGCTGAGCCTTATGGCCTCCTTTATGGCTATGCCTCCTGTGCATGTTTAAATTTTAAATTATCACACGGAGACGACGGATCTCTCGTTCCAGGCCAGCACGCACGTCTGGCTCGAGGTGCCGGGTGAACATCTCACCGAACATGGCTGCCACCGGCAGGGATGCGATCTTGTCCCGAAGCTGGGCGCTGACGGTGCTGTCACTGATGGCGTCGTCTACCGTGGCTCCCAGCTCTCGCAGCTCTCCCTCGATGATATTCAAAAGGCCAGTGACCTGCCAAAACATCTCTGGCACTTGCTGCGACTTCTGCAAAAGGCAGCTTCGCAGCAGCTGCAGCTTACTGTTGCTGTCCATCTTCTTCAGCTTCTCACGAATACGCTTCGACAGTTCTGGCTGCTTCTCATGTGGATGGTGGCATTGCTGGCAAGCCACTCCATTCGGACAGTGTCCATAAGCGAGCAGGAAACACGGTCGTCGGCAGAAGTGCGGGTGACCAAGGCTTCCCGGCAAGCCATCGCTCGGCTCAGGAGCAGCTTGAGTGTCCACGTCGGGGACGACTTTGGCTGGTGTCCGTGTTCGGTTGCCTGTATTGTCAACATTCTCGACAAAGGCGATTGGTGACTTCATGGCCTCCAGCAGCAAACCTGACAAGTACGTGTCCTCCTGAGCCACCTCTCGGAGCTCAAGCGAGTTCAAGATTGCAGGGTTGCTCGCCGAACGCCTGAGTACTGGCTCTGCCTGGCGCTCCTCAATGTCAATGAAGGTAAACCTGGACTTGATCTTTAAGCTTCCGAGCTGCGCGCGTGCAATCATGGTTGCAGGCTGAAACGGAAGTTGTGGCAAACGAGTCTATTGTCTGTCTCGGGCCAGCTGGAAAGCTGCGCTGCCCCGCGGAGTCGTTTCATGAATCTCTCTCCTATCTTCTCCTCTGCTGATGTCGGACGGTGCATGTAGGGATGTCACATGCTTTGAAACCCCGCAGTGCCTGCTGCTTGGCTTTCTCGCTGGTGCACGCATGCACAGAGCGCAGGTCCTCCATCGAGGATGAATTCGACTTGTCTACGGCCTAGTTCCTGCGAACAGGCCTCCATGATGCCGCCGAAGGTATCCACGCATGTGGGCAAGTCTTGCAGCTGCTGTAGCTGTAGCTCCTGGCACACATGGACCATAGGCCAAACCACTCTTGAAGGGATGGAACTCAACGTGCCGCACATAACCCAAACCTTGAGCTTTCTAGACGCGACGTTCACTAGCTTAATCAGGCGCTTGGTACATCTCGCGCACACATGTGCGTTTGCCTTAGCTTGTGCATGCGCCCTTCGTCATTGCCGCTACATGTCAGGAACGATGCGTTCTTGCAAGCAGTCGTTCCTATGACGTCTAGTTGTGGGGTCCAGGCCAACGGGCCTCCGGATCAGATCAGCTGTAAACTCTGCAAAAACTGCCAGCCTTCACCTCCTCTCCATGCCACTCTGGCAGATCCTGCAGGGACTTTTAAAGGGACGTCGTGGCATCGCTAACTTCGGGCTTGGTGCTTACAGCCCATCATGACTGAGGGTTTAGGGTTTAGGGTTCAGGGTTTAGGGTTCAGGGTTTAGGGTTCAGGGTTTACCCTTCAATTTTCGCCTTCTCAAGCTGCCCGGCTCCTGCCTAAGACCCTGAGGACCAATTCACGAGCAGGCTTCTTCTAAACCCCAAACCCGAAACCCTAAACCCTAAACACTAAACCCTATGAACCCCCAACCCCCCAAACCTCCGATAGCCCAAACCCCAAACCCCAAACCCTAAACCCTAAACCCCAAACCCGAAACCCTAACCCCTAACCCCTAAACCCTAAACCCTATTAACCCCCCCCCCCACCTGGCCTCCTGGCATCCCAGCTCCTCGGGTGCCACTTTGTTGCCTCCGCACGACTCTCAGGGACCCAGAGATCGCCCAAGGATAAACTCATGTTTAGGGTTTGTAGGGTTTGAAGGGCTTGTAGGGCTTATAGGGTTTAGAGGGTTTATGGGGTTTAATTATAGGGTTTGCAAGGGTTTGTAGGGTTTGTAGGATTTAGGGTTTAGGGTTTAGGCCCCAAAACCCCAAAAATGAACTCCACCCCTCGCCCTAAACCCTGAAACCCCATAACCCCCAACCCCGAAACCCCCAACCCAACCCCCAAAACCACCCGCCTGACCGTGCACTTCGGGACTTGCACCAAGCCAGTAGGCCGATGACCCCGGCCAGGCCCACAAGGACCTCGAGGTAGCTCTGGGATCACTTGCAGCTCCTTGTGAAGTCTGCTTAGGTATGTGCCGGGGCACTGCAAGGGCGATCGCCGTGGTGGTGCCGGCCACTGGCGTTGGGTCCCACAGGCTCACCCCTTCATAGGGGGCCGGGACCTTTCCGCTCAACAGATTTAGGCTTCAGGGATCTTTAGGGTTACAGTATGGGTGCTGGGTTTCGGGCAGACGTCGGAGTTTGCGGGGTGAGGTTCAGGAATTTCGGGCTGTGTGTTGTTTAGTATTGAGGGCCCCGAGAACGTTCCAACAGGACAGCTGCATTCGCAGACTGATTCCCAAAGCTCTGAGGTCGAAGCCGTTCTGAAAGCGTAGATGCCGACAGGCAGACCAGCAAAGGAGTTGCCCGCCTTGTCCTGGACCTAGGCTAGCTTGGCACTTTGAACCCTCCGAGTTTCCAAGCGCACAAATTCAACGTTGGGATGCGCAGCGGCTTGCGGCGAAGAAGGGACTCTCCCTTGCGGACTGCGCAGGGACCACAGTGCAACGGTGGTTGAGGCGGTTTCCTGCGTTTCCCTCACGATCCTGACATAGAGATCAACATCCTGAAAGCCCTCAACAAACTGGCCTCACGTGAGGCTTGCTTCCCTCCAAGTGCCCAACATTGTGGGATCGCAAACCGTTCTTGTCTACATCTGCACGGGCCTACGGGTTAGGGCGTCAAGACACGACTGCGCTGGAGGCCAGTCTTCAGCAAAGCTACAAGCTTGAGAAGGGGCCGAGGCCATTTAGAAACTTCAACCCTTGTCTGGGAAGGTCCCAGCAAGACAACTAGGATACCAGCAAAAGGTATCTAGGATACCACTTTGAGCCTGTTATGAGACTTCTTGAGGGCAAAACACCTTAAAGCCGAAACCCTTGAAGCACGCCTAAACCTTACTTAAACCTTTAGGGTTTAGAGTTCAGGGTTTCAAAGTTTAGGGTTTCTTTTCCAAGCCTTAAGGGTTTCTTTTCGGAGCCTTAACAGGCACACTAGGGTTTAGGGTACTTTGGGGTTGAAAGTTCAGGGTTTCGAGATTAGGGAATCCTCAGGCACCCTCCCAATTTCAAGAACAAACAACCTAAACCACTCCCTGACCACAGAACCCTAGACCTAGCCCCAAAACCCTGAAATCAAACTTCAAAGCCAAACCCCTCTCCCTAGCACAGTCTGGCCGTCTTGCACGAGCAGATGTTATCCGCGTCTTTTTTTTTTAAGGTTATCTGCGTCTTTAGTTTTGGGTTGTCTGCGTCTTTTTGTTCTGGGATATCTGCGATTTGTTTTTTTACTGTGGTTTTCCTGCAGGGCATCACACTTCTGGCTTCCACAGAGGGTTATCTGCGTCTTTTTTTTGAAGCGTAATCTGCGTCTTTTTCCGGGTTTGGGGTTTAGGCTTAGGGTTTAGGGGTTTGGATAGGGTTTAGGGTTTAGGGGTCAGGGCTTAGGGTTTAGGGTTTTTGTAGGGGTAGGGGTCAGGGTTTTGTTTTGGGGGGTTAGGGTTTAGGGTTTAGGGTTTAGGGTTTAGGGTTTAGGGTCTAGGGTTTAGGGTTTAGGGTTTAGGGTCGTGGGTTAGGGTTTGTTCTGGGTGCTTAGGGTTTAGGGTTTAGGGTCGTGGGTTTTAGGTTTAGGGTTTAGGTGTTTTGGGGTCGGTTTGGGGGGTAGGGTTTGTAGGGTTTAGGGTATAGGGTTTTAGGTTTAGGGTTTAGGGTTTTTAGGGTTTAGGGATTTAGGGCTTAGGGTATAGGGTTTTAGGGTTTAGTTGTATGTTTTAGGGTTTAGGGTTTGGATGTGAAGTTTGGGCTTTAGGGTGTTTAGGGTATAGGGTTTAGGGTTTAAGTAGGGTTCAGGGTTTAGGGTTTAGGGTGTTTAGGGTTTTAGGGTTTAGGGTCTAGGGTTTTGGGGTTTAGGGTTGTGTTTTTAACGTTTGGGGTTTAGGGTGTAAGGTGGGGCTTTAGGGTGTTTAGGGTTTAGGGTTTAATTAGGGTTCAGGGTTTATGGTTTAGGGTTCAAGGTTTAGGGTTTAGGGTTTAGGGTTTGTTTTGGGGGGGTTTCGGGTCGAGGGTCGTGGGTTTAGGGTTTAGGGGTTCAGGGGTTTAGGGGTTTCGGGGTTTATGCGTTTAGGGTTTAGGGGTTGGGGGTTAGGGTTTTTAGGGTTTAGGGTTTTTAGGGTTTAGGGTTTTTAGGGTTTAGGGTCAGGTTTAGGTTTTTTTTTAGGGTTTAGGGTTTAGGGTATAAGGTTGGGCTTTAGGTTGTTTAGGGTTCAGGGTTTAGGGTTTAAGTAGGGTTTAGGGTTTAGGGTTTGGTTTAGGGCTTAGGGTGTAAGGTTGGACTTTAGGGTGTTTAGTGTTTAGGGTTTAGGGTTTAAGTACGGTTTAGGGTCTAAGGTTTCGGGGGTTTCGCAGGGTTTTTAGGTTTTGGGGTAGAGGGTTTATGGTCTAGGGTTTAGGGCTTTTTGGGTTTAAGGTTTAGGGTTTAGGGTTTAGGGTCTAGGGTTTAGTGTTTAGGGTTTAGGGCTCCCTGCTATCTGGGAGGAAGCCAATGTGTAAGGTTGGACTTTAGGGTGTTTAGGGTTTAGGGTTTAATTAGGGTTTAGGGTTTAGGGTGTAAGGTTGGACTTTAGGGTGTTTAGGGTTTAGGGTTTAATTAGGGTTTAGGGTTTAAGGTTTAGGGTTTAGGGTTTAGGTTTTGTTTTGGGGGTGTTTCGGGTTGAGGGTTTAGGGTCGTGGGTTTTGGGTGTAGTGTTTAGGGGTTGAGGGGTTCAGGCGCTTAGGGTTTAGGGGTTGGGGGTTAGGGTTTTTGGGTTTAGGGTAGAGGGCTTCGGGTTTTCGATTAAGGTTTAGGGTTTTTAGGGTTTAGGGTTTAGGGTTCAGGGTTCAGGGTTTAGGGTTTAGGGTTTAGGGTTGAGGGCTTCCTGGTATCTGGGAGGAAGCCAATGTGTAAGGTTCGGCTTTAGGGTGTTTGGGGTTTGGGGTTTAGGTTTTAATTAGGGTTTAGGGTTTAGGGTTCAGGGTTTGTTTTTTAGGGTTTAGGGGTTTAGGGATGCTGGCTTCTGGCTACAGTTAGGGCTACTTCCCTCCCAGTAGCTTCAGGAGAACAAAAAGACACGGATAACGCCCGCAAACACCACCGAGGCAGCTGTTCCTCGATACATCCGAAAAAAAACAGAGGCAAAAAAGACACAGGTAACGCAAAATAAAAGACACAGATAACGCGAGAAAAAAACGACAGTATATACTATGAGTGTGATTCTATATAGGACTGCAAGATAGCAAGACTGCAAACTGCTCACATAGCAATTCAGAAACAGCTGCTCCTCACCATGCAGAGCTTTAGGCCCTATAAGCCCTAAACCTGAAACCCCGTTTATAATTCGGCACTAGGGCTTCAGTTCAATGTATTATCGAGCCTTTCATCAAAAGAGAGAGAGAGAGAGAGAGAAGGGTCTTAGGGTTTCAAACCCCCAACCCTAAACCAAAACCCTAAATTTAAACCCATTCTTATGTGGGGACACTAGGGTTTTGGTTTAGGGCGCCGGAAAGACAACTGGTGGTACTACTACTTCTACTACTCTAAACCCTAAACCTAAACACCGAATTAAAACCCTGCTTATGTTGGGACACGAGGGTTTCGGCTTAGGCGCCAGAAAGACAATTGGTGGTACTGCTACTCGTATTCCTACCCTAAACCCTAACCTAAACCCCCAAATGTAGACCCTTTTTTTAGGTTGGGACACTAGGGTTTTGGTTTAGGGTGCCAGTTGTCTTCCACCTAAACCTTGCAAATTTAGTCTCTTTTTATGTTGGGACACTAGGGTTTCGGTTTCGGGCGCAAGAAAAACAACCGATGGTACTGCTACTACTGCTGCTACTCCTCCTCCTGCTGCTGCTGCTAATGCTGCATGATGGTCTTGTTTGGGCATCGTTGTGTTTTTGTTGTTTCGGCGACGTCTTCCTCATCATCAGCGCGGCCCCTGGATTCCCGAAGCCCCTCCCTCCAAGATTTTTCTTGTCATCATCAGCGCGGCCCCTGGATTCCCGAAGCCCGTTTGGCAGCGAACCGGCCCAAAGCGAGTCGGGAATCTACCTCTAGATTCCCGACTCGCTTTGGACCGGGTGGAACTTCCAGAAGTCCCTTTGGACCGACGGGGCCGGTTCGCTGCCAAACGGGCTTCGGGAATCCAGGGGCCACGCTGATGATGACAAGAAAAATCTTGGAGGGAGGGGCTTCGGGAATCCAGGGGCCACGCTGATGATGAGGAAGACGTCGCCGAAACAACAAAAACACAACGACGCCCAAACAAGACCATCATGCAGCATTAGCAGCAGCAGCAGGAGGAGGAGTAGCAGCAGAGTAGCAGTACCATCGGCTGTCTTTCTTGCGCCCGAAACCGAAACCCTAGTGTCCTAACATAAAAAGAGCTTAAATTTGCAGGGTTTAGGTTCGGGTTTAGGGTTGTCGTAGTCGTACCAGTACCACCAGTTGCCTTTCTGGCATCCTGAACCAAAACCCTAGTGTCCCAACCTAAAAAAAGGGTCTGAACTTTCAACCCCAAAGTGCCCTAAACCCTGGTGTGCCTGTTAAGGCTCCGAAAAGAAACCCTTAAGGCTTGGAAAAGCAACCCTAAACTTTGAAACCCTGACAAAGTGGTATCCTAGATACCTTTTGCTGGTATCCTAGTTGTCTTGCTGGGACCTTTGGGGTTGTTGATCGAGGAGCTGGTGTGATTTTGAACGAGCGCGTTCTACGAACAAACCCCCTTTTAAGCCCTCCTCTACCCTACAAACGCCCTAAAACCAGGAGTTTCCTCTACACTCTATCAACCTAAGCCCTCTACACCCTAAACCCGAAACCCGATGAACCCCCAACCCCCCTGAACCCGAAACCCTAAACCGTTTAGGGTTTAGGGTTTAGGGTTCAGGGTTTAGGGTTTAGGGCTGAACCCTGAACCCCAAAATCCCCATTCCGGAGCTGCCACGGGGCCAAGCCCGGGTCCAGGCCGACGGAGTACAGCACATCATGGCTCCTTAGAGTTGCGAGTCATGAGGATGTCTTAGGGTCTTAGGGTCTTAGGGTCTTAGGGTCTTAGGGTCTTAGGGTCTTAGGGTCTTAGGGTCTTAGGGTCTTAGGGTCTAGGCCCTCGATGCCTTGGCCTGAGCCTGCGTGGGGTTTGGGATTTGGGGTTTGGGGCTTGGGGTTTAGGGCTTAGGATTCGGGGCTTAAGCCTTGCAAAGTTTCAGATTTCAGTGTTCAGTATCTCCAGCCACGCCACCCCCCCCCCCCCCCCCCCCCCCCCCCCCCCCCCTCCCGCCCCCTTTGCTGGCTTTAGGGCTTAGGGATAGGGACTCTTGGCGCCATTTTCAGGATTTGCAGCGGGTCCCGCCAAACGCTCACCCGCGCTTTGAAACATCTCAAAAAATCCCGTCTTATTTAAACATACCTCACGCCATATCACGACATTCATCCATGCATCAATCAGAACGAAACCAGGTCCCTAAACCCTAAACCCTAAACCCTAAACCCTAAACCCTAAACCAGGTCGGGATGCAAAAGGCCGGCCAAGTCCACCCGCAGGGCCCGGGAGTCGAAGCGGAGCCGCGGGGATCCGGCCTTGGAGGGCTTCTTTTGGTTGGGGGCTTTTGGGGTTCAGGCTTGTTTTTTTTTCAGGGGCGTGTCGGGGGTGTTTCGGGGTTCATGCTACCGCCGAAGTTTGTAGAACAGGGCCTAGGTGTTTAGGGTTTGTGTTTCTCCGAGGGCTCGAGAGGTTGTCTCAGTTGGGGGTGGTTTGGGTCAGTTGGCAGACTCCGCAGCGTTAAGGCTTTTGGCCCGCTGTAGCTCTTCCAAGCGGGAAAAGCTGAGGGGCACCAGGTCCAGGCTTGTCGAGAGGTTTGTAGGGGCGTAGCTTTCGAGGGGGTGGGGGCTTCAAAAAGGGGGCGAGTAGGGCTGCTTGGGGGCGGGGTTTAAGGCTTATAAGGCTTATAGGGCTTGTTGAGCGTCTTCATGAGATTAGTTTACCACCAAATGAAAGTTGCCAAAAGGCTTGGGCCATGGGCGTCAACTAGCTGAAGCTCATAACTCGAAACCCTCACCCTCTGTCATCCTTCTGTCCTGCAATCCTTTGCCTCAATTTGCTTAAAGGAGTTAGGAAAGACTCATTGCGCGACATCTACGAACTCGCAACACCCCGACCTTAAAGCCATGATGCAGCCTTATGAATATACATCACCCCAAATAAACCGAAAACCCCTTTGAGAACCCTCAGCCCTGAACCCTACCTGGAGCCGGAGCCTGTATCCTGCAAACAAGGGAGATGTACCAATGCCAGAATTGTAAGCTTCCCTTCTTTCACTCCGAGCTGGGGACAGGCAAGCTGGCCACCAGCTCATCGGCCGGGCCCTCCTCACCGTAGCTGCCCATCGTCAGCACAGACACCGACCTTTTTGACATTTGCGAGTATCAAGTGCCCAAAAAAAATTGTTCGCGCTCTGTCTGTCAGCATGTCCGCTTCAGACCGTCAGTAGCAGCAGGCTGCAGAAGAAGCGACATAGATGGGCGTCCTTGTTCAAACCCTTGCCTGCCACGAAAACCATGCAAAGTATGTGGCTTCTGTGGGTCTCAACATGGCGTCCCCCGAGGCTCTTAACTAAGATCCCTCAGCTCAGGTCTGGCAGTCTGTCCGTGCAGCGGAACTTAAGCTGCTCCCACGTCCTCCGTCCTAACTACGGGGGGGGACATTGCGTGCATTTTTCCAGCCAGCCCAGTGAACACAACATCATTCCCGATATGCCCAAAACACACACAACGTTGTCAGTCACGCCACCGGTTCGACAGCCCCAGGCTGACTTCCTCGCTGAACTGGAGTTCGACCTGTACGTGGAGCGGAATGTCCCGAGCCTGCAAAGCAGGAGAGCACAAAAAAAATGTTATGAGCTGCACTTGGCTAGACAAGCTTTTCAGAGCAGGTGGCGAGAATAAATCGCCAGACCCCCGTCCGTAAGCCCTGAAGCCCAAACCCCGCCAGGTAAGCCCGGAAAGCCCTCAACCCTGAACCCAAAGCCCCAAGGCGTGCCAGCCATGATCCCAAAAACCTTATATTCATCCGACTCAAGCAGCTCCCAAAAACCTCAAAAAGAAGCCCGAAGTAACATGAAACCCTAAAACCCTAAACCCCAGAATCCAGAACCCTAACCCCAAAACTTACCCCCAAGCCCTAAAACCCAAAAAGCCCAAAAGCCCGAAAAACCTCCATCCGAGCCGCCGAGTTCTCAGGCGTCCAGGTGCCAAGCGTCGGAGCCACGGTGTCTCCCAAAAGAAAGACAGGGGAGCCCCAGGAAGCCGCCATCGGAATCCAGTACCTGGACTGGGTCCCACAAGTTGAAAAAAGTGGGCAGCCTTCTCTAGTTGCCAACTTAAGGGATGTATGAGGGAACCTGAGCCGTAGCAGAGGGAGTAAGGGCCGGGCGCTTGAAATAAAATGCTTTTTAAGGCTTGGTTATGGGGTTTCAAAAGCTGCATGGATGGGCTCCAGGAGTCACTTTGAAGAAGCATGTATGTGTGTGTGTGTGTGTGTTTTGCTTGGGGTAGCGCAGCATGCTTGACGGGGGTATCCTGAGGTCTTTATGCCTCGTTCGAAGTGCAATCACGCTGCGCGTCCACCACCGCGCCCTCCAGAATCTTGAGCTCACAAAATCCTGGTCCGATCCATCGGTTCATGCAGGAAGCCATGCCATGGTCCTTCTACGATTCTGTTGCGTGCACTCAGCCAGTGCATGCCCGGCGAGAAACGGTGAACCGAGCCAAGGAACTCATGCGAAGTGGATTGGGCACCTTTCGAGCATCCAAGAAGAGCGTGTCCTGATGTTTGCATCTGTTGCACTGCAGCAGCAACACTTTATTTTGATTGTGCCCTTCCAGCCATGTGATCCTTAGGTATTTCATAACCTGAAACCCCATGTAGTAACGCAGTAGGTACAACACACTGCCTGACCTCCCCCTCCATCCTGTCCTGCACAATGGTCAGGTCTTGAGCTGCAAGGTCAAAGCGGACGAACACAGGCGGCACCATGCCGGCTTCTGCTTCGCTTTGGCAGCTCATGTGAATCGCTTGCTCGGTTGTCTGCATCAGCGGCCCGAAGATGATGTGCCTTCCAAGGGACCAGGCAGGGGGGAGGGGATGTGGAGGGAGGAGCAGCCCTGCAAGCGGATACTCAGTGGACAGAATCTTCTGACAATGGTGAGCCCTCTCTCTCCGTCGACCATCATGTATTGCAGATTGGCACTCGCCGGCCTGTTAAAGGTGACGTTGATGAACCATCCCACATCGTCATCCCCCAAAAGAGACCAACTTTCCGGGCGCACTTCTTCCACTTCCAAGCCCAGGCAGTGCGGCTGCCTTCGAGGGATCTTGGGGGTGACTCGGGTTTCTGGCGCCTCTGCAGCAAGCGACCGCTACGTGGGGTGAATGGACTCAACAAACGCAGCCCAACTCCACCTGGCGCACAGCAGGCAGGAGAGGGGTGCTGCGTCCGTGGCCGGCGGCTCGCAGACGCTGCGACCAACATCCCATGTGCCTAAAGATGGCAATTGTGTTGCCGCTGGGGTTTGGCGTTTAGGGTTCGGATATTCGCTGCTCTTTTTTTGGCAAGATGAAGCCAAGCGACAGTTCCACCAAACACACATGCAGGGCGTGTAGGCGTCCTTGCCTCAGTGCAAGGACCGTCGCATACCAAAGATGACCGTGATGATTCCAGAATGCGTCCCCGAAATCCGCGGAGCTTCTCAGAGTATTGCTATCTGTCGGTGACGTATGTACAGATCTAGGTGTAGACATAGATATGGACATGATTAGATATGGATATGAAAAAAGATCAAGATATTTGGCTTTTACCCCCCCCCCTTCGGTTGGTGAGGCGATGTGTGTTGAAGAAATACACAATCTAGATCTAAACATGTGCAATATTTACTGTGATAGTGTAGGCAGACCCTCAGGTCATTGCATGGGGATGTAGAGTCTATATGTCGCGCAATATGTGAACACATAGCAGCATGTCGCACAAGCGCCTCGTCTTAAAGCCCCCCCAAACCCTAAACTCGAAGACCGAATGCCTCTAAACCCGAACTAAGCCCCGCATACCCCCGACACATCCTGAAACCCTAAAGTTTGCAGACCTCTCGTCTACCCCTCCTACATCTCCCCAATTCTAAATCCTTTAGGGCTCGGACAGGTTGGCGGGCAGTCGGCCTGGTAGGGGCAGTCCTCGCTTGGGGGCGCAACAAGGTCCACAAGAAGATAGGGTCATTGGGCCACGACAAAACTACGGGGCTCCGAAAATAGGGGTACCCGTTTGGGGGGTTCCCTATACTGGGGACTGTAGCTTTTTGGTGCATATTGAGGGGGGTACCCCTGTTCAAGTACCAGTACTCCCACTTGTGGCCGCCCCGAAGTCTGTGTTGAAACCCTGCAAAACTCCCGAGTTGAGGAATTTAGGGCTTAGGGTTTGGGGCAAGCTTGGGGCTTAGGGATTTTGGGGTTCAGAGTTGAACCCCACAAGCCCGGAGTCTCGATGTGCCATACGCTCCTCGCAAGTCACTCGCGTGAAGTCGTTCGACGTCTCCCAGCCTTTTCAGAGGACTACGACTACGAAAGCTTCTACGAGGATACAGCATCGAACGAGAACGTGTGGTTCCAAAAGCTTACCTTTGTCGGTCAATCTCAGAACCCAGGAACTCCAAAGCCAGAAAACCCCAAACCACAAACCTTTAGGATCCTTTAGGCCTAAAACTATGGACCCTCATCGCAAGCCTGTGAAAGCACCCTAGGATGAAAACCTCAAATACGGCAGCATGGCACCTTGGGCACAGCGCTTCCCGCCAGAAGAGTGGGGAAGGTAACCTGTGCCAACTCGGACCCGAACAGGTACTCAGAGTTTTTTTGGGCTTACAGGACATTCTGTATCATTCTGTAACGGTTTTGAGGGCTTGTAGAGCATCACGCCATAAATCCTGAGCCAGCCCCCTCAAAGTGCCCTCGATGCCGCCCCTGGTGCGTTCTGCCAGGGCGCGGCAAGTCCGGATTGATGCGCAGATGCATGGAGTGGGTGCTGCCAGACACGGCTTCTCCTGCATGGTCGGACTTGGAGTTTAGGCCTGCTATGCTGTGATCGTAGCATTTCTGCCGCGCCAGCCGCCAGCTACAGGAGCACCATTGACCAGCTCTACTACACCGTCCTCCCAGGGATACTTGACAGCGGAGGCCGGACTCCACTTCACCTGGATAGCCTCTTCCAAAGGACCGCAGGGAGATGGCTCTTCGCGGCCGTCCCAGCGGTTTGGCATCGTCGAACGCTCCAGCAGCAGGGGTGGAGCATCCTCACCGGGGCCAACGGGCGCTTCTTTTCGCGTTGAAGTATCATACGATGTACCTGTATAGTTCTGTAGTCAGTGCAATCCCCGAGCTGTACAACTTGATGCTGGAAACGCCAGGCGACCTCCATGCCGTGGCCCACCAGGGTTTCGCGGCACAGCACGTTCCTCGGATGGCAAGGAATGGGAGGAAACTTTGCCACCACAGGAAGGGCAAGGAGTAAAGCCAAGGCTCCCAACCTCAAGAGCCCAGTAGTCCATCTGCTCTGTGTCCAGCGTTGTGTATTGCGAAAGGGCTGCCTGCACATGGGCAGGGAGGCACAGCCCCTAGTCGGCCATGGGCCATGGGAGATCATCATGCTGCCCTGGATGAAGCCGAGACACCCAACACAAAAGACTGCCTTGTGCAAGACAGATCCTCCACATGAGAAGTCCCGAACACAAACAGCTGTCTGCAATGTTACACCATGGCCCGCATGGATGTCGTCTGCAGTTCGTACTTGCAGCAAGATCAAAGTCTTCGCCCCATGTGGATACCAGGTGCGTCCAGGCACTTGCGGTCGGTTGCTGCTACGGAACTCTAAGCAGGTCACCATGAGGAGAAGCTATTAACTCCAGAACCCTTTTATGTAAACTTCATTGGAAAAGTTCCTGGCAAGAACCCAGGAAAGGCGTCCTGCTTACATTATGGCGACTGTGGGGGTCAGGGCCTCCATCAATGGCCGGATCGGTGGGGCCTCGAAGTTGTCGTCGAAGGGCCCCTCGCTGGGGCCGTACCTCAGCGGGACTCGGCAGGCTTATGATATGATATATGGGATATATATATATATATATACATATATTCATATGTACTCAGTTGTTTATCTATCTATATATGTATGTACATATATGATACGAATAGCATAGTCATAGCTGGACTGTTCTTTGTTTGCTTGAAATCCACATCGCACATCGTAACGCGATGTGCGCAGCAGCAGGGTCGGCTTTCGTGCTCAAATGCCCGGGGCGCTTCTGGGAAACAACGGGGGCGGAGCTGAGGGTGGCTTTAGGAACCCAAACGGGGTACAGGACCGGAAGCCCTAAACCCTAAACCTCACCCAACACCTGAGAGCTAAGAAGGAGCTCTAACCATGTTGTGGGTATTTACGGGTATCTTTTAAGGGGGTCGCGGGGGGGCTGTGGTTTCAGGTAAACAGGCCCGCAGGCCCCACGAAGCGGAGCGTTGCCACGCAGTAGTGAGCCCAGCCCGTCGGCGCCAGGATATAGAAGGTCATGTTCAGGCCTTGGGTTCAGGGTTTAGGGTTTAGGGTTTTAGGGTTTAGGGTTTTTCAGGCCATGAGCATTCCACAAGTGGCTCGGTGGTGGGCCAGGGTCTCGTGGCCATAAAACCCGAAACCCTAAAGCCCGAAAGGGTCCGGTACGAGTTCGGGTTCAGAATGCTTAGCATGTGGACTCTATGATAGTCTGCGGAACATGTGAGCCACAGACCCACGGTATACATCCCCAAGGACGTAGGTTTCAATAAAGGATCCTCCAGGACTACTCTAGCGAACATAATGTCCGCCCATGGCCCGTTCTAGAGACGCCGAAGTGAAAGGGACTCAGGTTCGCGAGGGATTTAGAAAGGCTGCAACAATAAGAAGCCGCCGCGCCACTCAAGAGAAACTGAACAAGTGCGCGAACCAGGCTATAAGCTAAGCTGTCTTGACCCTGGCGGTGATTGGTATTGAACTGATACGAGCAAGACTGTCAACAACTAGCTCAAACCTCAAACCCTCAGCACTCAGCCCAAAAACCCTTAAAGGGCCCTCAACCCTTGGCAACCAAGGCCGCGACCGACCTGTGGCTGGTTCAGCGTGAGGATATCTTGCCTCCCGAGCTTAGGAATTAAGTAGGGCTTAAATGGCGCGCGGTTCGGATGCAGGATGTTTGGGGTTTCGGGGGGGCTCCAAAGTTTGGCAGGCTTCCGGGTTGGAGGCCTCGAGAAGCCCCCCGTATTTTAGAGACAACCCCATTGGCCCTCGAAAACTTCAGCATCCGAACAATAGGTACGTAGGGATGCCAGAAGAACCCTAAACCCTAAATCCTAAACCCTAAACCCTAAACCCTAAGCCCCAAACACCAAACCCTAAGCTCCAGGCCTTGCAATGACGCTGGTTGGAAGCCGGGTGTCACACACACCTACCAGGTTCTAGGCTTGGAAGGTAAGGGTTTTGGGGTTTAGGGTTGTGGGTTTATAAGGTTTAGGGTTTAGGGTTTCGAGTTAAAAGGGTTAGAGTTTAAGGTTTAGGGTTTAGAGGTTCGGGTTTATGGGGCTTCGGGTTTTGGTCCTAACCGGCAACTGAGCTGCTGCTGGAAAATGAGGAACCCATAATCGTCATACCATAGTCCTGTGGTCCATGCGTTATGCGCCGGGGTATCCAAAATATACACTTGCGCATTCCTATCGTTCTTCAGCTTCTCATTTTCTACTCGTATTCTTGCTGCTGCTATTGTGATTGTTCTTGTTGTTGCAGGTTCTTTGTTGAAAGGGCCTAAACCAAATCCAAACAGCCCCCACATGTGTAGGGTGGGTCACAAAGTTTAGGGTTTAGACTTAAAGTGCAACTTCTCAGGAACTCTCCCCCCCCCCTTCCTACCTCCACTTTTGAGCCCTAAGCCCTATAAGCCCTATAAGCCCTATAAGCCCTATAAGCCCTATAAGCCCTATAAGCCCTATAAGCCCTATAAACCCTGTAAGCCCTATAAGACCTATAAGACCTATTAAACCCTATAAAAACCCTCTAAACCCTTTTTACCCTATAAACCCTATCAACCCTATAAACCCTACGAGTGAACTCGGCTGCGTGGAAGGCCTGCCAGCATCTCCTTCGTGGCGAAGGCGACATCTCCCAGGGAGTTCAGCTGAAACGGTCCTGAGGACCAAGCTCTCAAGGTGGTGTTAGGGTTCATATCTTTAAACGTACTCCCAAACCGGGAACTCGCAGAAAAATGGGAATGCACGTGGCCATGGTCTGGGGTAAGCCTTGCACAGCGGCCCAACAGAAGCTCGCAACACCAGAAGTCGAACCTGAAACTTCTCGAGCCCGGTCACAAGGTCGCAGATCCCTAAAACGCTGAAGCTGAAGAACCCGAAACCACCCCAAGCATGCAACATCACATATGACTCACGAACCCTACCTGGAACTTCACTGCCCATTTGCAAATGTAGAAAACAACTCGCCTCCGGGACATGCTGGCCGAAGGCGGCCAACATTGACCAAAACAAATGCTATACTAAGCTCTGCTCAGATGGATTTGCCGGCAAACCCTGCACCTGCCTCGGATGTAGAAGTAGCCGGTCACAATCTCCCAAACTCCCGTCCGGAAGCGATCCGATGGCGACATGTCGAAGTCGACTTCGGGGATCTCCTGGGGGTTCAAGGTTTCGTCGGGCTACGGGGGGTTGAGGGCCTTCGTGAGTTTTGTGCTGTTTTTGCAGGGAGGGGAGCTTTGGGAGGGGGGAATGGGGTTCTAGGTTCTCATGATGAGCAAGGATACGCAGCAAAAATCGCCGACCCGCCCCTTTCACACCCACACCCTGAAACCGCGGTAAACCCTTCCCCCCGCAAAAAGCCCAAAGCTCCCTTGATGGGGGGACCTTGCAGGTCGGAGGTTCACCTATTCAGGGTTTTGGGGCCTCTGGCTCTCGATGTTTGAAGGTTGAAGGTTTAGGGCCAGGGTGTAGGGTTCAGGGGGCCCGGGATACTTTGTGTGTTTGGGGGGCCTCAGGGGGTGTTCGTTCAGGGGGGAGGGGGTTTGGGATGATCCGATTGGCGCGGAGCTGATTCCTGGCTGCCACTGTTGGGGTTGCATCTACTAGTACATTACGGGCCCTTCTGGTACAACCCAACAGGGGCCCGTGGTTTAACCCTAAACCCTAAACCCTCATAGCTTCTGTGATGATTTTCAGTCACGGCGCATCCTCCTGCATGCGGCCTTGGCCCCAAGGGCTTCATATGCTGCTTAGGGAACAGAGTTCAGGGTTCAGGGTTAATCCCCCGAAGCTGAATTTCTGTGGGTTCTTGTTGGGGCTTTTTTTGCTAGGAGTCGTAAAGGTAACCTACCGAAAATACATGTTGGCATAAGGAGGAACAAACTCGTAGGTAAGTAAGCTTGGAGGTCTTGCCTTTCTACTCAGGCCGATGGTGTCACCAGCCTAGGCTTGTTGACGGAGGGCTCAGGGTTTCGGGCTCATTCGAAGCTACAAGGTCTTTATTGTATAGCCAGTCGACCAAGACGAGTCAAAAACATGCACAAGACCACAACAGTAAACGCAGGCCCGCTTTGGGCTCCCTGCTAAGGCTAAGGTTTAGGTGCTGCTGATAGAGTCTGGTCTAGTAGTTTGGTCTTTCACTTCTGAGTCAAGTAAGTTATGGCTGGATTCCCTGAACAGGTCACTTTGCATCCAGGCCGCGGTGTGTTGCGAAAGTGCCGCGGCTTGGGCCCAGCAACAGGCTCAGGCAAAGCCCACGCAGCATCCAGGAGGCCAAGGGGAGAGGCGGTGCGCCCAACACCCAATGGTGCGAGGGGAAGATCGGCCATGCGTCCGCCATGACCGCAGATCCCCGCCAGCTGTCTCCATCCGGGATTTCGATGCACCCAGGCTCAGGAGAAATGCACACATACGCGCTGACTGGGCCATTAATTACAGTACCTCTGGCACTCACTGGTGGGTTTCATCTTGACACTGTCTCGGATCAGAAAGCACTTGTGATGATGTACATGTGTATACAGTACATATACGTCGCGGCAGCATGCAGCTGTGTTTAGTTAGAAAGACGATCAGCAGGTATGTGCAAATATGTATCGCCGGCAAGACTTCACATGTTGGCTGCAATGCAGCAGTGTTTGTTCCCCCAATGCGAACGTTTCGCCTGTCCTCCTGCTGCGACCTGCAGATTTGACACGGGATCCGGCACATGTTTAAGAGAGACAGAGGGAGAGAGAGCGGGAGAAAGAAAACAAAAAAGACATAAAGAAAGAAGAAAGAAATAAATAAATCAGTAAGAAAGAAAGACAAAAAAGGAAGGAATAAAGAAATACATGAATACATAAAGGAAGAAAGAACGAATTAACGAAATAAGAAAGAAATAACGAAAGATGAAAGACGAAGAAATAAACGCCAGCAAATAGGACCCCTTGCTCACGGGCAAAAGTGTGGAGCATAAACGGTGCGGATGTTGAGCTGCCGGAAGACAAATCTCCGAGAACAGATGCTGTTCGCTTACGCCAAGCAGGCCGGGCAAACATTTGGCAGCTCCGACCATCGGATTGGCACCTGCGCGGCACCACTGACAGCAAGAACACACAGGCAAACTCAGTGTGTCAAAAGGAGGCCTATATGCCCGCTTAGTGCTTTGGCTGCAAGCAAGCTGGCAGTATTCTCAGATTGTCAGACCCACCTACTACCCACCTACTCTCACAGTCACAGCCCGGCATCGGCAGAGTGTGGCAGACTCGTTTTTGCCCCTCGGCTCGTTCTCCCCGCGAGACCGCCCTTCGAATTGGCAGCAAGGGCTGCGGCAGCCCACAGTGCATGTAAAGCAAGCAAGGACGGCGAGTGTCGGAACATGTGGGCAAAATTTCACGTCACCGCGACTCTTCTGTGGTCTGCCGGCGGCTGACTTCGTCACGCACACACACCCACACACACACACAAACACAGAGGCTCCGAACGAGATCGTGCTACTGTCCGCTGCCCGGCTCACTGCCGAGGCGCTTCAGCACCATCACAGGCCCTCGGCCTCGAGAAGTGTCTATGTGTCCACGCGTTAAGCGAGCAAGCGAGCAAGGGATGCAGGCGCCCCTGAAAAATTCTGGCAGCTGCCAGAATTACCAGCGACTGGCCTTCCCTTGCACAGAGGTCACACAGATACGGGCCTTAAACTCAGTGATGATCTGGCGGAGCCGCTCGCGATGCTTCCTCACGTCCAGCTCAAACAAGGCTAATGCAAAACAAGAATGTGTATGATATACATATATACATATATATATATATATAGATAATACATATTATCATACACGTATATATAAATAAATATATTTAAATATATATATATATATATATACATATAGACAATAACAAACACGCATCTTCCCATGTGCATATTTATACAGCGATAACATTATATATATATATATATTTATTTATTTATTTATTTATATTTATATATATATATATCTGTACATATGTATATGATAAATATATAGATAGTACAATCCACAGGTTCTGCCCAAGATCTCGGCCCCGGCGTCTTTCCGAGAAAGTACTTCTGGGGCACCTGCAGCCATTCGTGACCAGCTGAATGCTTTTAAACTTCTGTCTGAGGATTCTGTCTGCAATCAGCTGACACAACAAAAAGCTGCTCCATCTGGACCCTAAAACCCTCTCAAGCACGCGGGCTTTCTCGCCAACCTCCTCAAGAATCGGTCGCTTGGCCACCGGGGCGAGCGGCTTCACCTGAGAATCAGGGACTTCTTCAAAGTTGAGGTTTCTTGTTTGGCAGCTTTTCAACAGGAAATGCCAAGTTAGAAGAAGTATAGGCGCAGATGAATATGACTAATGCGTATAAAGACAGACAGATGGATGGACAGATATCTACACGCACATGGTAAAAAATGTAAATACACAAATTATGTATGTCCATACACACAGATGTCTCTCATTGTCTCTCTGTATATATATATATATATGTATACAGATACATGTATTGTATATACGACAGACATCTACATAAAGAGATACACAGCTAAATAAACAAAGCACATATATGTACTACATATGTATATACTGTATATACATATACATATACTAGATATGTGTGAGTGTGTGTGTGTGTGTGTCTGATTCCTGCATCCTCACTCCTGCTCGGTCGGGCGCCTTGTTGATGATCTGCCTGAACTTCTCGGTCCCACCTGCCGGCCCGGGGGCCTCCTAAACCCTAAACCCTAAACCCTAAACCCTAAACCTTTAAAACCCTAAACCCTAAACCCCAACTTAACCACAGCCAGGGGGCATGGCAGCTTCGACCCCCGCCATGAATGGGTTTACGAAAATAGGGGGATCCAAAAATGAGGCCCTTAAATGGTAGGCCCCCCCCCCCCCCCAATAAGGCATCCTAAATCTCGTAAACCCCCGCATGAAAGTCTGAAAGCCTTGCTGGTTGGAGTTGAAGTCATGGGCATCCATGAGCTTTTTGATCAGCTCGGAGCAGCCCTGCGGCGACAGGGTGGGGAAACAGCCCACCTTCCCCCGTCTCCCCTCCCGCGTACTCCTGAAATGACTCCCTGCCCATGTCCAGTTTCTTTGTGGGATGACAGATGTGTTGAACTCACAACGCCAATGTATCATAAGCGGAGCGTGGTGAGTGCACACATGCCAGTAAAATGGTTGCTCGCGTCGAAATCTAGAGCATGGCACCAGCCTCACGCTCTCGCTCAGAGAACTTTTTACTGGCAGCGGCCTGGCTTCCCAACGGCTGTTTCAGCTTTTTATAGGCTTCATAAGGTGTTAAAACATCGCAAAACCTTACGAGTCTTGTGCTCTGAAGGGCTTCTAGTTAAGTGCTCGGATTGCCCAACTTGCTTCTTCAAGACCACAGATTATTAGGGCCGTTGGGGTTCAGAGCGAAGCTATCTCAATCTTGCTTCGCGAAGCTGAAGGTGTTTTGGGGTCTGCAGGAGATAGGACATCTGGGTCATCATGGCCAACTCATGAAAGCTTCAAACTCTCTGAGCACAACCTGCAGTCTGCAGACCAAAGTTCAGCAACTCCTACGACGCTGCAAAACTGAACCCCAATCCTTCTTCAAGCCCCATACAAGTGCCTTCAGCAATGGACCCACAAATCTGCTCCCATCATCGGGCTTGGAATGGTCAGGGTGGCTTGATTCTGTCTCATTGCAAAACGTTGAGTCCTGATTGATGGCCTGCCGAATCCCGTCTCCTGTACGTTTTAAGGGTCTGAGCCTATTGCGACGAATTCGATGCCCAGACTCTGACAAGCACTGCGCGAGGCCTTTGCAACTGCTCGCGGAACCGGTCGCTGCAGCCTATGCAAAATGGGCCAGTAGGATCATGAACGCCAGTGGCCACATAGACCATACATTGTCTTGCATTGGCCCTTTGCAGAATAACGCGTGTTTTGGCTTCAGGGGGGTTGTCGGCTTCAGGGCTCCTCGTGGAACACCTCGACGACTAGCCTCGAAGCTGCTGTCGCTAGCGCAACACTCAGCGTCCGGCTGTGGTGCGGGCACGCTGCCGGGCTGGTGAGCCACTGGGCGCCTGCGGCGTTTAGCAAAACAGGCGGATCTAATCTGCATGAATGTGATGTATGTTGACGGCTGTGCCCTCCTACCCCTTGGTAGCAGGGGGTTTGGGCACATGAAAAGGCTGCGTCCGTAAGGATGCACTTCTGGTGTCAGTTGCATCCCTGACCTCCTGAAGACTCAAAAGCTGCACGACTGCCTCATATTCCAATGCCCCTGATCTGCAACCCAACGCACTCCGACACTTTCGAAACACATCCCTGTACTCCCTGGCCCTATAAAGGCATCGAAAGGTTCGGAAGCAAAACCACCTCAAAAACCGCTAGCACCCCCAAACAAGCAACGAGCCCTGAAGCCTAGCCCCGAAAACCCTCAACGCTGCTGCGCCCAAGGAGCGCCGTGCGAGCAAAAGAAAGCGGCGGAGCGGGACGGGGCTGAGCCGGTAGAGGCAGCTCCTGGCATACTTAAGGTGGGAGGGTTCGGCGGATGTGAAGGATTCAGGAAATGCACTCGGATCAGGGTGTCGGGTTACTGCTTGGCTTGGCTCTGGTGAGCGGAAGATTTTTCTTGGATCTTCATTAGCTTTTTTTTTCTTTTTTTGGGGGGGAGGGGGACACAGGGTGTAAATAGGCATAGGGTCCAAAGTTGAGAAACTGGCCATTGGCAAACTGGCTTCCTGCAGGCTTTCAAAAGCTGCTGGAGAACCTGCACGTCATTCCGCGATCCTCTCATGCCCCCTGCCTCTGCGCCAGGTGAGCCAGCAGCACGCACGGTCCTGGCAGCTACTCGAGTTGCAAGTTCTCCCTGAAGATGGCACTTACACGTTCATGCAGAGGAATCCGCAAGCTGGGGACGGAGGGCGCAAGACAGGCCTCTAACATCTCTCAAACAAACAAGACACCTCGAGAGCCCTCTGAGCCATCCTATGGGACTCAACATACTGTTTCTTATACGTTATATTTATTGACTACATTATTTCCTTATCATAATTCTAGCACCATTATGAAGACATTTTTTATTCATCTTAGTATGATTAATCAGAATACTATATTACTAGCAATCTTATTCTTATTTGATACTACTACAGGGTCTCCTTCGAGACTTGGCCTCAGGTCGCGTTGAGCTTTGCGGGCTCGAGCTGTGGATGCCTGGCCACGCGTTAGCGGACCTAAGAGTGCTAAGACCCACGAGACCCAGGAGCAACCAAGGAATACAAAGGGTACCCTTTTCTGGTTTTAAGGGGATTATAAGGGAACCCCAACACTCAGAAAAGGAAAGGAAGGCCTACTCCGGGTTCTAGCCCATATCGGGGTGTACGCAATTGGGGGTACCTGATTGAGGTCCTTATTAGAAGGGAATCCTACTATTTGTGCCCTTTTTCGTACACCCCAATATCCCCCAGCCCAAGCAACCACAAGCTTCGGGTTCAGGGTGAAGGGCTTAGAGGCAGGAATACTCCGATGGAACTAGCAGCTAGTTGTGCTGGTTTGGGGATTACAGGGCCTCTAGGGTTTGAGGATTTCCTCAGCCCCTGGGTGGCGCAGAGAGTACTTGCGCTTCCGAACTTCGGAGATCATGTCCATAAGCCAGAGGCCAACTCCAAGCACGACACCCACGCTTTAGGGTTTAGGGTTTAGGGTTTAGGGTTTAGGGTTTAGGGTTTAGGGTTTAGGGTTTAGGGTTTAGGGTTTAGGGTCCTGAAGCCCTAAGCCCCCTGGACTCCGATCTCCGCACCTCAGCCTTTCATCTTGGTCCACTCAGGAATTGGATTCCCTAGGCGAACCAGGACGAACCGCAAACCTTAAGTAATAAATCCTGAACCCGAAGCCCAGAAGCTCTGCAGCCGAAGCACTGAAACTTCAATTAGAGCCTGAACCTCCAAAACCCTGAGACTAAAACCACAACCACGGAACCCGAAATCACACAGTCTCCAACCGAAAAAACCCTTGAAAACCTTGAAAAAACCCAAAAGGCACCAAAGATAAACAAAAAAAACTCCAAGTTTGCACTTTAAACTTGGAAAAATCCGGGCCCGAGGCTTATGGAGCCAGCGGAGTGGCGTTGCCGCTTGGCCGAGGACGGCACCTCCGCCTGGAGGTTTGGGGTTTGGGGTCTTTGGCTTGTTTGTTCTAGGGTTTCGGGTTTAGGGTTCAGGGTATAGGGTTTAGGGATATAGACGAGAACGAATACATGCACAGATAGACTCGGGACTCGACAGAAGTGAAGATGTTGTAACTAGGTATATGCACAATATGGATCGTCTGATTGCTGTTCTGGCTGCCTTGGCGATTTCAAGCTGTTTCTCAATATGTGCATTCGTGTTTAGCGTGACAATTACAATTCACTGCGACCGCCAAGGTTGAGCCCACAGAGGCCCCACAAGACCCTTAGAAGACTATGATGACAACGACTCCGGGGGCAACGGCCAGGCCCCTAAACCCTAAACCCTAAACCCTAAACCCTAAACCCTAAACCCTAAACCCCGAAGAACTCGTCAACGGTGCCTCGAGGGCGCGGCGCACGCTCCGCACATCGTTGAGCGCCGCAGCCAGGGCTGGCAGCAAAGCAAAAGAACATCAGTCTGATGAACATTCACAATATATATATATATATGTATGTATATATATAACCACTATATATATATACATATATATGTACATATATATATATTACGTAGGACAAGTTGTCAGAGACGAAGGTAATAATTCTAGTAGGGCGTTGGGGTGTGCTCAAGGCTCGGGGTTGAAGGGCTTCAGGGCTTAAGGCACTTAGGGCGTAGTCAAAAAAGTACAGCAATGAACAGCTATTCGAAGCGTTCTAGCAATGGCTAATTGTGTTTGAAGCCTACAGGCTTCAAATTGGTTGAGGTTGGGAACTTTATAGGTGTAGGGAGCCTGCAGCTCAGGACAGAGCGCGCAAGACCTTAAGGGCCAGGGGCGGTTTACCCTACAAACCCTTAGGCCCTGAATCCCTAGAGGCCCCATAAGTCCCTATAAGTCTCCAGTCTGAGGCCCGCCTCAACCCATAGCCCCAAACGCACCGGCAGTCCCCTCCCACTTCCACAGTATGAGCCCGAGGTCCATGGGCAGTTCTAAGTATCTTTGATCATCCCTAACCCTATCCCTCGCAGAACGCATGATTTCACAGCGGGGCTTCCATGCTTTGGTCGGGAATAGTTCTGAGCAGTCTGAAGGGGAACAACTTTCTACCCCTCGGCTGCGTGAACGGGCATCGCGAACTCCCCGCTCTCATCGCGATGTAGCCTGGGTCTCTTATCGGCCGCGGCCTTGACAATTCGGGAAGAGATGCATGCCAAAGAATCACGTATGCACCGTTCCCTGCCACTCCAAAACATACATACATCTTTGATCATCCCTAACCCTATCCCTCGCAGAACGCATGATTTCACAGCGGGGCTTCCATGCTTTGGTCGGGAATAGTTCTGAGCAGTCTGAAGGGGAACAACTTTCTACCCCAACGCTGATACACATGTTCACCCCAACGCTGCGACAAATGTACTCACAATCTCCATATCTTCACGAAAGATGCAAAAATCAGGCCGGACACTAAGCGGCTGCAGCATGCCGCGTCTGAGGCCATCAGCAATCGCGGGATCTTGGAACCCGAGACGACTGAGAGGATCTGACACGTTCTGCTCAGATGGGACCCAGTAGTACCAAGGCCGGCAATGAAGCTTGGCAAAGCACAGACCTGCCAGAAGCGAGATGTGGTTGATGTCACCCACTCGCGAGGCAGCTTTAATCAGCGTCTGCAAGGCAACTTGGTTATCAATAAAATGAATAACATCACACCCCCGAAAGAACTGGGGAGCTGACATGGCCAATAAAGGCACTGCAACAAGTTCAAGGACATTGATGTATGTCTGGCGCTCTCGCCAGAAATGCATGACATGTTCAGGCACGTCAACGCTAGCAACGAAATGTTGACCATCGAACACTATGTACATGCCGAGGCGGCATGCACTTGCACGTGGGGCCTCGGTGCTAGCATCAGTGTAAATCACTACCGGCACCTGGGGGCGTGGGAACACGCGGACTGTACGAGCCGGCATGTGCCTGAGCACGAGCCAGTAGCGCATGCTCAAGCTGAGGGCCTCAGTGATGTCATCGGTCTGCTCCCAGTACTGGCGGGCTACAAAAGCTGACAACGCCCCACTCAGGGGTTTGCCCATGAATGTGCCCTCAAGCCAATTGAACAAACCGCGCAACTTAGCTGCGTCAGCAGGTGTGACACGGTTAGCATCACTAAGCTGCTGGAGCAAGCACGTTGCTTTAGTCTTTGTGGATGGAGCCGCTGACAAGTGAACGACGTGTCTACGGGCCATTTCTGTGGCATCTGTCATGAGCCCCAAAAATATCGCACAGAGAGAGAAGCGCTGTCGCTTCGGATGTCCCAACTTCACCCCAAATAACGACATCGTACGAACGAAGATGGTCTTGGTGCAACTGGCCAAAGACGAACACTCAAACTGAACAGTATCGTCAAAGTAGTGGCCACACACCAAAAACAAGACCCTACGCAACGTTGCAGTCAGCACTTGCGGGGCCCTGTTAAACTGAACCACAGCACTGGCAAGCCCGAAAGGGAGGCCGTAAAGCTGTGAATACACTCGCTGCTTCGTGTGAGGGTGCACAAATGTAACCACTGACACAGCAGCGTGCGCCGCACAAGCGTGCAGCTGCCTATAACCTTTCCACATGTCATCTGTTCCCATGGCTATGTGCAGCCATGGCACCATCCGGAAAAGATCATGAGGTGAGGTCTCTGGCTGCACCTCACGGAGCAGTTGACGTGCAGTCTGCGCCCAAAATTGGAGCACAGCCGCTGGGAAGTCTGCGTGCTGATTTACGATGGTTTCAACAAGCTGTGAGCACTCGTTGCGGCGCCCAGCTTTCCCATCATCAATGGGCCTATCTTTGTCATGCTGGTGGATGACATGACGCTTCAAGGGTCGCCAAGCTCCCTTCCCAGACAAATTGTCAAAGAAAGCTCTGTCCCTAAATGGGCCGGCTAAGCCAAGGGACTGCTCTTTCAATGTCTCTTGGAGGATCACGTCCGCGCGAGGGTGGACGCGGAGATCCTTCTCAAGGCCATCCACGTAGCGCTGCGCGTCCTGGCCCAAAAGGGGAACGGCAGGCTGTGGAGGCGAGGGAATTGGACGAAAAATATGGGATTTGGGAATATCACCCACGAGCTCGAAACCCTGAACTAATTTCATGAGGAGCTCCCGGTCAGGCCACTTCAAAATGGATATGACTGCAGCAAACATAGCAGGGCGAAAACCGTCCACATGATGCACGGGTCTACTAGCAAGTAGGTGCGCATCAAGGGACAGGAGGGCCCTATCTAGTTTACGCAAATGGCCGAAAGCGACGTCTCTGTAACGAGCTACTTGCAAGCCATACTGGCAGGCACTTTGGATGGCAAACTGCAGGTCCTGTTCAAGCCTCGGCGATTGCCCAAACGGGTGCTGCAATGACAACGCAGTCACCAGATGTTCCTGTGCCGAAATCTGTCTATCAATAGGCACGTCTGAAGCAAAGTCCTGCTTTCTCTGGCTTGCTGATCTTGCGGGGTCATGCGTACGCAAGACTTCCCACTCAAAACCCCGCTTAAGAGGGCGCCCTTCGGACAAACACCAGTTGTCATAAACTAGGAACGGCTCGATGTCTAGGGATGAAGATTTCTCCCACGTGCTCTGCAGTAAGCTAGCAGGCACCCCTACAAGAGGCAGCATGCTTAGCGTGTCCTCAAACCATGGCTGAAGGGCCCTCCACCAAGGAAGTCTGAAGATGCTGCCAAGGCTCCCAGGGAATGGACCATGCAGGCTCCGGCTGAAGTGGCAAGTTCGAAAGCAGCGCAGACAAACACATGGCTAAAGCTGGCACATGAACTGCGGTTGACAAAAGGCTCACTCGCTGGCGATGACTGAAATGGCTAAGCAGAGCTGTATACCCTCGAGGATAGCCCATAAGAGCCTCGAGATCGTCAGCGTCAACGCAACAGTTAGTCTCAGCTGCAGACGCTCCTCCAAGCTGTCGCAGAGCGTGAAGAAGCTCAGAAGGCTGATAAGACTGAACCGACTGCAGCTCGTGGTGCAGACTGAGCCGTCCCTCAGCGTACGTTGGGACCAAAGCTGCTGGAGCCTTGCAAGCCGGACCACGAACGACCAACCAGTCTGGGCAGTCCTGTCCATGCCATCTGACGACATGCATGTTGGAATTCAAGGTTCCCCTCTCGTGAAAATGAAGGCCGGGCAGCTCAGCGTGAAACTTACTGCTGTCCAAGCCCCACATTGGAGCAGAGGCTTGAGCTGATTTCGGGAAGAGATGCATGCCAAAGAATCACGTATGCACCGTTCCCTGCCACTCCAAAACATACATACAGGCTGGAATGCAAGCACCCAACCTGAGGTCATAACCCGTCCTGCACAGTTTCCCTCTTTGGTTTTCCAGATATGTAGCGATAGGTAGAAGAGCAATCAGAACGATAATACATAACACAACAATTATGATACAATGTGATATAAGATAATCCGGTCTGTGTATACACACACACACACACGCAGACGCACACGCATACCCACACGCTCATAAACACAATCACAAAGACAAACAGAAAACACAACACACACAGGCACAGGCACGAAGCCTTAAGGGCCCCAAGCCCCTTTCATGCGCCTGCCGCTCTCGGGTGTGACAGGTTGGCGACCAAGGACTGCAAGGCAGCCACCTCACCAGGCTTTAGGTGGTGGTTTCGGGGTTTGACGACAAGCCTGCGGATTCGTAGCAGCCTTGTTCAGGCACTAAGCCCAAAACTCTGAAAGCCCTGTGCTGCTGGGGTTTAGGGTTCAGGACCCCATAGTTTAATGTCGGTAGCTGGTTCATGAGCTGGAAGCCATGGGGTGTCAGGAAGAGCTGTTGGCCGAACAAGGTTTAGGGTAGAAGGCTGTAACTGTATAGGGTCTATAGGGGTTTATACGGATCTAGGATGAGGGTTGAGGATTCTTGTCACGAAGCAATGTGAAACGACCACAGCGAGCCCGACGACTGCACGCCAACCCCAAACCGAGAAGCCAACCCCTAGAATCTGAATCAACGCAAGAAATCCTAAAAACTTGAGTCCTTGTACCCTTAACCCTGAACCCCAATCTTACCGTACAAGAACCCTGAACCCCGAACCCCAATCTTCCCGTGCGAGTAACATGGTCACTGCTGCTGCAGCCTCCGCCGCCAGCTGCCCCTGCAGTGCAGTCGCATCCTCGGGAGCTGCAATGCTCTCTTGGCTTTGGGGTTTCAGGGTGAGCTTTAGGGGAAGGGGGGTGTACGGCCGATTATAGGGCTTAGGGCTTTAGGGCTTTAGGGCTTTTGGGCTTTAGGGCTCTAGGGCTCTAGGGCTTTAGGGCTTTAGGGCTTTAGGGCTTTATAGGGCTCCTCAGAAAAAAATTGAATCAGGCGGGTTTGGGCGCGGTTTCGGAGGATCTGAGGATCATCCGGGAGTTTGTGGGGGCTTTGGAACTTTGGAGGGCTCTCCCATATCCGATTCATGTGGCCTGCCACGTATCGGGGCAAGACCTGGCAAGAGCCCTTGTGGAACCCGCGGCTTCCGAATGAACTCTTGTACAATACACCGTTGGAACCGTGATAAGGTTACAACAAAAAACATGGTTTTAATGGCACGCTGGGATCTGCAAAAGGAACAGTAAAGCACAGTTCCTAACGCGGCTAACTGGGCTCGAGGCCTCCGGAACCTCGTCTTGCACGAGGCCCAACCTGGCAAAGGAGGGCGTCAATGGGGTCCACTGAATCGCGGCCCCCTTGCAAGAGGGGCACATGTACCCCTATTCAGACAAATGCGCACGCACCCCGAGATTCTCTTGTAACGACTCCTGTTGGCACGGGTTTCGGTTGAAGCCTCCTGCGCTGCGGTGTTGGCTGCGAGCTCACGCGCCGTTGCTCCACGAGCACCTGGCACAAACTTCGACAGGTCCACAGCGTGCGCTACCCCACCTGCACTACAAGGAAGCCCCTTGCCTGAAGGTTGGCCAGTGGCTGGTCATCTTCAGGCGTGTTGATCTCTTCATCGTCCGTGACTGTAACAGCCTTCAACGCAACAACGAGGATGAGATTGGAACTACCCGAGCTGGTCGAAATCATTTAGCATAGACTGCTTTTCGTGGGCTTTGAATGTCTTCCTTTCAAGAGTATCAAGGTACCAGTGTCTTGATAGGCTCGTCGAGTTGTTCGGACGACTGGACCCCGATCAACCTACCGTAAGACAGAACTACTGGGAACCCCAAAGCCTTCAATCGACAGAGTTCTGTCCCTGCAGGTGCCAAAACGCCTAAACTCCAAATGACCCGAATCCAAAACCCTGAAACACCCTCAACTCCCCTATCAACCTTAAACAATCCTACAAACCAACAACCCTCGGCCCTGCACCTTCCTGGTAAGGGTCCCATTCGATTAGAAATGGCGATGTTGGGACTACAAATCCCAAGCCCTAAACTTAAAAAACACGAACCCTACACCTCAAACCCAAACCCCCCCACACCCTAAGCCGCTATTTTTAGGCTCCGGTAAGCCCAAGCCCTTGGCCGCTTCCGCGCGGGAGCCGGGCGAGGGAGGATCAGCCACCTCAAAAGGAAGTTACATGGTTCCTGAGTGTGGTGCCTTAGGGTTCTGAGGTATGGGCCCTCGGGTTTTATAGCCCACGAAAAGGTTTTCGGTGATTTACGGTTTGCGGGTTTAAGGGTTTTTGACTTTAGGGCCCTAGCATAGGTTTAGGGCTTCATGGGATTGCGGGGTTAAGGCTTTTTAGAGTTGTCTTAGGGTTTTGTTTTGTTTTTTGAGTGGGCTTCTTGGGCAATTTGCATTGTCTGTATGAAGGGGGGGCATGAGGAGAGACTATTGGACGCTACTTCGGCTCCTGTGTTCATCTGATCACTCCAGGGACCCCCAAGACGGCGGGGGGGGGGGGCCTTGTGGGCATGCCTCCCTTAGACTAGGGTTTGTAAGGTGGAGGGTGCAGGGTCCTTCGGAACTGATGCTAGTCACCCCCACAGCAACCTTTCAAGGATTTCAGTCGATGCCCCTTTTCATGACATGTAAGAAATAGGGACCCCTTGTGTATTGTGTACCAAAAATGCTGTAATCCTTCTGTAGACCCCCCCCTCCACCCCCTGCTGTCGGGAAACCCCCCCCAGGTGACGGTTCAACCGGTCACCACTGGGCCTCTGGCCGACCGCAGGGTTGCTGGTGAGGGGTCGCGCTCTCTTTGTGCGGGCCCTTGCTGCCCAACTCGGTGTGAGTTGGTGGTGCTAGTTCTAAGATGTTCTAAGATTATAAGGCTTAGGGTGAACGGATGAGGTTTCTTTGGGTCTGTGCTTGTGCAGACTGCGCAGGGAGAGGAAAACGTGACAACAGCGGACACCACAGTTTTTGGAAGAAGTGTTTTCTGAGCGGCACCCGCCATGAACGAAGAAACCCGATTCACAGGCAGGCCATGGCGTGTAAGGTTTGAAGGCTAAAGGATTTTAGTGTGCCTGTCCTATGATCTTGACTCACTGTCACAGGCATGCTCCCAGAGTCCTGCAGGCGCTGCATGGCCAAAGTCCTGGGTGCGCCAGGCGGGCTCGGAACTCCGGCACGAGGAGCCCAAGCTCGGAACACACAAAGCCGGTTCAAGGAGCCCGAGACCTACCCAACCTTTCAGCCCTCTTCCTCCGAACGCTCGGCGGTCACTCCTTCTAGCCTAGAACTCGCAGTCGAACCACCACCCTAAACCCGGACCCTAGACCTCTAGACCCTATACCCCCAAATCCTGTAATGCCTGGAACCCCAAGAGAGAGGCCCTTAAGCCCCACGGCAACCCTTGAACCGAGGCCCAAGTGTCCAGGAGGCAGTTATGGGGCCCGGTCTGGAACCACCTCTGACCTTCGCTTTGGCTTATTGCTTTTGGGTGCTTCAGGGCTTCGGGCTAATTTCAGGGTACTTGGGCCTGTTTGGGGGCTTCAGGGTATCTAAGGAGAAGTGACCATATGAATTTAGTACCTTTTCCACAAGCTAGCCCAGGCACGTATAACCTTCTCCAGAAAGCCAATAATAATATGATAAAGGTTGAACGAAGTGAAACGAGTGAGCACAGTGCGTGAATTATATTACAAGCGTGCTCACTCTGTTCACACCTTTAATCCTAATAATGCACTTTCCGGGCCTTTAAGAGATTCTATATTCGCCCGGGGTATTCTATTATTAGTGCGGGCTAAATGATCTCTTCGTACGCCCGCGTGGTATTAATATTATTGTTCTCTCTTCTAGGGCTTATAGGTGGTGCTGAAGGAGTTCGGGCCAATGGAGGGGGGCGCTTCAGAGCGGGAGTTCTAGGCGGTTTTGGTTTCGGGTTTCAGGACACCTGACTCGAAGGCTTCAGCGCAGTTACGTGAAGGGCATCGGGATGTTTTCAGTTTGGGGCTTAGGATGGTTTGGGCTTATACAAGGCTTGGGGCATTGAACCCTGATGAACGGAACACACATCCTGGACGCTGGACAAATTTCACGCAGAGCCCGCGGCCGGAGTCGGTGAGCTGCGGGCTGGCAAAGGCCTTCCTTCGAAGCAGGTCCAGCTGGGGAATTCAGAAGCCCTCCAAGAGTTCAGGGCTTGGGTTCATGGGGTCCAGATCAAGTCCGGCCCAGAATGCGGCTCTAGGGGACTTTTAGACTTTTCGCACAGTCAGTACGTCGCGCGCCCCGCCTGTTCTCTGGGCCAATCACGATCTCCAGACGCACCAGGCCGTGATGAATGGCATAATCCAGAACGCGGTGCCTGCACCATCCGAAGCATGAGCCCTTCCTACAACATCCAAAGACCACTCGAGCTACAAATCGAAGAAGCCGGAAGAAGCACCCTTTCACCCCCCGTTTTTACAATCGGCACTCTGTGGCTCCATGGACCATCGCTTGAAGGGCTGAGCGGCCAGTCATCATCCGTTCTGCGGCTTCGCCCGGAACTCTTCCTGGACACAGGGTCCGAAGATGCTCAACCTTCAGCCCTAGGTCCTTCAGCCCTAGGTCTTTGGGTTGCGACAACTTTTTGGACAACAATTGCGGCACGTAAATAGAAAGGGCACCATTGGGGGGCCTTAACCTCCTTCCGAGATTCGCGGTCCCCTTGCTCACAGTGAGGCCTAACAGGGCCCTGCTCACCCAATATCCCGATCCCTTCAAGCCTGCGCTCTTCGGCCCTTGTAGACTTGAACCCTTCATCCCAAAAACGTTATGCCCAACCTCCAATGGCCAAGCCCCAAACCCCATATAATCTGGACCCCAAAATCCCTTCGAACCTAAACCCCCCTAAACCCTAAACCCTATAAACCCTAAACCCTAAACCCCAAACCCGAAACCAGCGCCTGAGGGCTGTCACAGCAGCCCAGCGGCCGCCGCGGCCGGCCCCGGCGAGGAAGCGCAGGAGGAGCCTTGTCTCCAGCATTTCTTTGAGGGCTTTGGGGGTTTAATATAGAGGTCGGAATAGTTAGTCATCATCTTCCCCTATGGCCCTTGTATAACTTATACCATATAATGAACCCCCAAAACCCTATTCTAACTATTTGGGCGTGTTCTAAACGTGAGAGCTTCTGCATGGCCGCGGGCATGGCCTTCTTGGGACAGTTAGCTCTAGAAGCAATCTAAACACTGACACCCTAATGACTGCAAGTCAGATAAAGTCAGGTTCTGCATGACGAAGCGGCTAAGGGTGTGGACGTCGGATTTTTGACTGCACTGACGCCTGTGCTTACGCCAGACACCTTCTTGGCTGAGGTGCTTTGAATTTGGCTCTTTGGTCCCGGGTTGGGTCCAGGATACTATGCACAAGCTTTCCCAAACATTTGCTAGCTGATTCCAGCTACCACAGCAGGGCTGAGTTCGAGGTTTGCCTAGCGTGCCCCAGTGTAAGTGTACCCTATGGCCAGGTTCCCCTACTTCTTGAGCTGAGTCAGCAGAAAGAGAGGGAAAGGGCAAGATCAGAACTCGATCTCCATGGTGAAATCGTAGTTGATGGTTGGGACCACACTGGATATGAACTTGAGGAAGACAAACAATGCCTGAGATGCTTGACTCCCTGTTAGGATTTTGGGTTTGGGGCTTCCCACCTACTTGTTGATCTACAGCTATGTGGCTAGCTCGGATTCTGCTTTCTAGAGAAAGGTTGTAGAGAAACAAAACCCTGACAAGGGACCAGGTCGTGCCTGGGGGTCAACCCCTGCTCGATCCAGTCCTGAATCACCTTCTTCATGACTTGCGCATGCTGGCAGGGGTGGATGGACACCGTTGGCGTGCCCGTCAGAGGATGAGGGTCCACGGTGACCGTTTTGGACTTGTAGTCGCTGAGGACGTCTTCATAAACCTCCTCGGGTTTCAGAGGATCCCCCCGCTCGTTGTAGCCAAACAGCCAGAGTCGGGGTGTTCGGTAGTACTTGTCGTAGGTGATGGACAAGTCCTCCCGAAGAAAAGTTGAGGTGAGGTGGGTTCGCAGGTTTCGCTGTGACTTGAACGCCAAACCCAAGCCGATGTTAAAGCTGTTGCAGTAGAAGCTGTGGTTGACGCGTGAGTTCCAGAAATCTCATGGTAGCCCCAGACTCTGCTAGATCCCAACACCGGGCAACTATGCGGTACTGAGAACCCTATTTCTAACTACCCCCCAAGACTACGGGTAAGTATACTTAAACTTTATTTGGGGGGATACTTAGAACTCCACTTGGAGGTTCATGGTACGTATAACCCAACGATAACTGCACTTTTGACCCACCTATAAGCCCCTTAAGTGCACCAACGTGGTTGCAATTGGGTGATTATTCCCGTACCATGAACCTCCAAGTACTTCTACTAAACCCTAAACCCTAAACCCTAAACCCTAAACCCTAAACCCTAAACCCATGATCCAAGGCACGTAGGTGCGCGTCTTCACGATGTTTGCGTCAGGGGCCTCAGCCACCACCACGCCTCCGGAGGGCGCCGCGTAGCCAGCGGCTGGGTAGTCGTCCTGCCAGGGTTTAGGGTTGAGGGTTTGGGGTTTTGGGTTTAGGGTTCGGGGTTTAGGGTTTAGGGTTTGGGGTTTAGGATTTAGGGTTTGGGGTTTAGGGTTTTGGGGTTTATAAGGGCCCACGATCCAGATCTTCAAGTTTAGAGGGCTTTTGCCCATTCTTGACGTCGCACCCATTTTGGATACCTGTGGCAATGCCGCCCCATAGATTTAGGGGGTACCCAAACAGGGACCATAATTTAGAGAACCGATTGTCTCTAGGTTTGCGGAGGTTAGAAACTATTTACTGTTTAGGGTTTAGGGTCTTCAAGAGGGTTCATATTTCCTTTATCATGTTAAGCATTGTGAGGGGGCATGAAAGGCCCATTACCTTTGTTTTAAGTGTTAAACAACAGCTCCAAGTTACTGAGGAGATTACGATGTGGACGCTGGACCCCGATGCTGGGAATCCGCGTCTTTTCGTGAGAGAGCAGAGCGCATACTGTATATGATCAACAAGGGCTTCGGGTTGAGGGTTTAGGGTTTGGGTTCCTTAGCTTAGACGCCTACCTCCTGTAGCTGCTGGTCGAGGTCCGAGAAGTCTGGCAGTGTGGACGCCGCCGCGCCACCTCGAAGCCACAGGCAGCCAGCTTGGGCTTGAGGATTCCCAACGCCATCCTAGTATCCTAAGCATCGACAACCCCTCAACACTCGAAGCTCTAAAGCCCCTCACAACCATGGCAGAACCTTAACCCCCATCGCCTAAAAAACCCTGCAGAACAATTCCGAAGCATATGGGCATTTCCCAAAACTCGAGGTAGAACCCTCATGTGCCCCAACATCTTCTCATCATCCCCTTAATAAGGGCCCTACTAGTACAATTTTGAGGAAAATCCCCCTACCGGGGGCAGCCTCCCAAGAAGTCATCGTCGGCGTTGAAGACGATGCCTTTCCCCTCCGCCTTGCTGGCTCCTGGTTCTCAGAGGAGTGTAGAACCTTTGTTTAGGTTGATCCCTATAAGTTCCTATAGATGGGACCCTCTTGAACTAACAAGGGGCAACAGGCAAATAGTGATTACATCTCCCTATGTACATACATACATATATATATACACACACATATACCGCGAGGTGGCTTTCAACGGGAGAACTGCCCACAGCAGGGCAACTCATATGCGGCAGCCTGGCTTTCAGCTGAGGTTGAGGGTCTAGGATGCGATGGCTGAGGTTGTGTTTGGGCTTCAGGGTGGCTTGAACAAAGCCGTGTTTTTTTTAAGACCCGGATGTCGTCCTTCGGAAGGGCCTAGGTCGTCGACGTCGTGGAGCTCCTTGTTCTCGGCTCCTGCGGGACGTCCATGAGCCGACCCGTTCCCTGCTGCAGAAACAACCCAAGCATCAGCATCTAAACAGCATACTTGAGCCCGAAACCCGGCCTGAGGACATCTCCGGCGGCAGAAGCCAGTCATCCTGCAGGCATGGGCGACTCTCCCAAAGCCCGGGCCCAACCCAAACTGTGACCCCCTTAAAAGCCTTGAAAAATTCTGAAAAGCCCTGAAACCCTCCTCCAACCCAAACGCTGAGCCACAACACGACCGCAGACCAGAACCCCCCCCCCGCCCCAAAGGCCTCAGTTGTCGTCTGGTCCAAAGCAAAGTCGAGAGCCTGAGCTGAACTCGGGCGCCGTCTGACCGGCTCTTGCACGTGACCTTGTAAATTTAAGGGTTTAGGGTTTACGTGTTTTGTTTAAGGGGCTTGTACATGAGCTGAGAAAAAGCCATCGAAAAAGTGAATCATGGCACCACTTGGGGGGCCTCCGTCTTATCGCTGGCCTGATTGAATCCTCGCCTTCGACCCGGGGTTCCAGTCTAGGGCCTAGGGTCGAGGGCCTAGGGTCTAGGGTTTAGGGTTTAGGGTTGTAAGGATCGGGGAATTAGGGTCTACGGTTTAGAGATGTCAAGATAGGGGCCAACTCTACTGGGAAGCAGGAGTGGGGGTAGCTTGTACCGCATTAGTTTTGTGTCTACGGCCCGGAACCTGAAAACTATGGAAGGTTGCTAAATACTAGGAGAAGCTCGGCCTCTTCAGGTATATAAATAAATAAATAAATAAATTAAAAAAAAAATATATATATATATATTCATTTATATATAATACATATATATATACACAATATAAATAATATATATATATATATGGTCACCCCCCCCCCCCCCATGATCCACACCTATGGTTTTCCGGTCTTCGTCTTTGTCTGATTTTCTGCTTTTTCCTCGGAAAAATGCAGTAAAAACTGTACTGGAATACAAAAAGCTCTTTTATATGATCCCCTATAAAAACACTAGTGTTTTTGTGTGTACATTTTGCTTCTGAAATGTGTGTCTTGTGGCTCCATAAAGTTTTAGAAGGGCAGCCATTTAGAATTTGAAGGCTTTTGAGGGTTTAGGGGCTTTTTGAAAATTTAGATGATCTGTGGAAGGCACCGGGGCTTCCCCAGACCATTTCAAATTTTAGAAATCCTTAAAATACTTTGTTTTTTTGAACGGGCCGCCCCTTTAAGATTTTAAGGGCTTTAAGGTATTTAAGCCATTCCAAATTTTCAGGATTTAAAAGGCGTTAAAGCCTTTAAAAACCTGAAAGCTTTTATCCCTAAAAATTCTAGAATACCTTAACATTGTAAAAGGGCAGCCGTTCAAAATTATGGAAGTTACTTGATTTTAGAATTGAACATCAAATCCTTAAACTTTAAAAAGGACAGCCATTTACAGCTGCAAGAATTTCAGGGTTTTAAGGGTTTGCAAAAACTTACATGGTCTGGGGAAGTCTGGGGAAGGCATCGGGGCTTCTCCAGACCATTGACAACTTTAAAAACCCTTAATTTCCTAAAAGGGCAGCCACTAAAATGCTTAAGCATTTTAAGGTTTTTCAAAGGCCTTAAAACCTTGAAAATCCTGAGAAGGTTTAAGCAGAATTTTAATGATTTTTATAAGATGTTAAGGGTTTTAAAAGTTCAGATGGTCTGGGGAAGCCCCGGTGCCCTCTCCAGACCATTTAATTTGTTTTTTTTTTGAAAAATGGTCTGGGGAGGCCCTGTGCCTTCCCCAGATCATTTAAACTTGAAAAAAACCCTTGAAACCCTTAACCCTAAAAACCAAACCCGAAACCCTTCACACTAAACCCTAACCACTCAGCACCAGACCCTAAACACTAACCCTACAAAACTTAACACTAAGCCGTTAGCACAAACCCCAAACACCTAACACGAAACCAACGCTACACCCTAAACACTAAACCCTAAACATTATACACTAAACCCTACACACTAAACCCTGAACACTAAACCCCAAACCCTAAACATAAGGATTTTTAAAGTTGTCAATGGTCTGGGGAAGCCCCGGTGCCTTCCCCAGATCATTTACAATTTGTAAAAACCCTTAACACCCTTAACCCTAAAAACCAAACGCGAAACCCTTAACACCAAACACTAAACACTCAGCACTAGACCCCAAACACTTACCCTTAAAAACTTAACACGAAGCCCTTAGCACAAACCCCAAACACTTAACACGAAACCCTAAACGCTTAACCATAAACTCTAAACACTACACCCTAAAAACTAAACCCCAAAGCATTACACACTAAACCCTACACACCAAACCTTAAACCCTAAACAGTAAACCCCAATGCCGGAAGCTCAAGCCCTACTAAATCTAAACCTGAAACCAAGAACCCGTCGGGGATTCAGATGCTAATTGTTTGGATTTTAGAGTTTAGGGCTTTATTTGGTTTAGGGTTTTAGCCAAGCTGCTTGACCCTATCCCTAAACCTAAACCCTAGACCAAAAATTTAACACTCAAACCCTAAACACAAAACACTATAACCCTGAAACCTACACACTAAACCCTAAACACAAAACACTAAACCCTAAACCCGAAACAACACATCCTGAACCCTAAACCCTAAACACTAAACCCTAAACCCCAAACAAAAAACATGGGGGTTTCAGTCCTTTAGGGGTTTTAAAACTTCATCATTATGAGGTTTAGTCTTGTAGACATTGCCCAAGTCGCTTAACCCTAAACCCTAATAAGTAAACCCTAAACCTTGCAAACCAAAACCTAAACACTAGACCCTAAACACTAAACCCTAACCCTAAACACTAACCAATAAACACTAAACCGTAATCCCTAAACGTGCATATGGAGAACATGGGCCCCGGACTCCAGTTTCCAGATTTCCAGAAAAATTTGGAGTACCCGGGCCCCGGACTCCAGACTCCAGATTTCCAAAGGAATTCTGGAGTACCCGGGCCCCGGACTCCAGATTTCCAGAAAAAATCTGGAGTACCCGGCCCCGGACTCCAGACTCCAGATTTCCAGAAAAAATCTGGAGTACCCGGGCCCCGGACTCCAGACTCCAGATTTCCAGGAAAAAATCTGGAGTACCCGGGCCCCAGACTCCAGACTCCAGATTTCCAGAAAAAATCTGGAGTACCGGGGCCCCGGACTCCAGACTCCAGATTTCCAGAAAAAATCTGGAGTACCCGCGGCCCCAGACTCCAGATTTCCAGAAAAAATCTGGAGTACGCGGGGGCCCCAGACTCCAGACTCCAGATTTCCAGAAAAAATCTGGAGTACCCGCGGCCTCAGACTCCAGATTACAGACTCCAGAATCTGGAGTCCAGGGTCCCGGTACTCCAGATTTTTTCTGGAAATCTGGAGTCTGGAGTCTGGTGGTACTCCAGATTTTTTCTGGAAATCTGGAGTCTGGAGTCTGGAGGTACTCCAGATTTTTTCTGGAAATCTGGAGTCTGGAGTCTGGGGGTACTCCAAATATTTTCTGGAAATCTGGAGTCTGGAGTCCCCCCCTCCCAAAACCAGCCTTCCCGAGGCCAAATGTGTGGATCATGGGGGGGGGGCGAGCATATATATATATATATATATATATATATATGTAAGGGTCTGGTTTTGGGCTGAAGGGTAGGCAATGTTCCCAATCCTGCCCAGAAGCGCGGACCCTATCCCGGCAGGGCACGTTCCTTGCAAGGGGCGTTGACAGGCTTTCTGAGTATTGCGAGCCCTCAGTGACTTTCAAAAGCTCCCCAAGCCTAAGCCCTGAGCCCCGAAACTGCTCAAAGGTTCACCCCACTAGCAAACTGCGGCTCATGTTGGGTATTCTCCAAGCCATGGCGCTGCTTCTTGCTGCTTAGGAGGCTTCGATCCCCGCGTTTCCCTCGTCCATGGTCACAGGCTCCCACCCTATCCGCAACCCGTGAGCCTGAACAAATCGTGAAAATGAACTCGGACATGAAATCGCGCGCCTGGTGATCAGGTACTGCTGCTCCTGTAGGGCCATGGAGGGACGACAGGCTACACCATGAAATCCACACACGCCGTTACAGACATCTTCGAGCTCCCTATATTCCTTGTAAGTGATTGAAAGGTCCCTAAAAAATCGATTTGTCAACGAGGGACTTGTTGAACGAGAGACGGAAAGAAGAAAACCCAGATGAGAGAAAGAGAGAGATAAGAGAGAGCGAGAGAGGGCGACAGAGAGCGAGAGAGAGGAGAAGAGAACAATAAGAGAGGGGAAGGAAAGATAGATGGGAGAGAGAGAGAGAGCGAGATATGAGGGACATCAGAAACAGATAAGGGAGAGAACCAGAGCGGGGTAAGGAGAAAGAGATATTGATAGTTGCAGAGAGAGAAGGAGAGAGCGCGAGCGAGAAAGAAAGAGACAGAGAGAGAGAAAGGAAAGAGAAAGGGTTGCACAGAGAGTTCAGATTTCAAACAGATAAGAGAAAGAGAGAGATGAACAAATTTACGGGGATATAAGAGGGAAACAAAAGAAAGATAAGAAAAAGACACGAGAGACAGATGAGAGAGAGGTCAGAGAGCGATAAGAGCGAGACCCGAGGGAGATACGATCAGAGGAGGAGAATAGAGAGAGAGAGAGAGAGCGAGAGAGAGAGAGAGAGATAAAGATAGAGCGGGACAGAGCGAGAGCAAGAGCGAGAGAGAGAGAGAGAGGACAGAGAAGAGAGAAGAAATAAGCCAGAAGACAGGAGACAAAAGAGAAGACAGAAGAGAAGAGAGGAGAGAGAGAGAGAGACAGAGAGCGAGAGAGAGCGAGAGAGAAAGAGAGATGAGAGTGTGATGAGAGAGCGGTGAGAGACGAGAAGCTGAGAAAGAGAGATGAGAAGGAGCTAAGAGAGATATATGAGAGAGAGCAGAGAGAGACATGAGAGAGAGAGAGAGAGACAAAGGAAAGAGCGGGAGAGAGAGAGAGAGCGCGAGAGAAGACAGAGATAATAAAGGAGCGAGAGAGAGGGAAAGAACAACAAAGCTCCCTCGTCATACACTTTCAAATATTTCTGGCCAAGCGTTGTCCCCTCCCTCTCTATATATGTATATATATATATATATAACTTATACAACTGTTTTTCTTAAGGGCTAGGGGACTGGGGCCCCCTTCGGGCAGGTTTGCCGCCCTTGTTCCGGGTGTAGTACAGCGCGAAGCAACGACCAGCGGAAACAAAAGCCTCACCTCCTGAGCAGAGACCTATGAGCCCTCAACCCCAACCGTAAAATGGGACCCGAATTCAAAATCAAAATCAAGCCCGCACATACCCCTTAACAAAAACCTTGCATGTAAGGGCCCTAACTTAGAACCCAGCTGCGCATCTTCGGGCCTGTGGGAGGTAGCTCGCTCTCAGCGATGCCTCGCCAGACTCCCATCGCCAGGTCGGGAACTTGAACGTTAACCTTGGGGTTGCGGGGTTTAGGGTTTAGGGCTTAGGGCTTAGGGTTTAGGGTTTAGGGTTTAGGGTTTAGGGGCGGACCTCTTCTATTGGGGTCTGGGGGCCCGTCACACCATGCAAGGATGTTTTGGTGGGGGGGGGGGGAGCAGGGCTGGGCATTTCCTCCAAACAGCTCTACACGTCTCCAGATACCCCTACATGAACATTGAAGCTAGACCCTACATGCCTTCAAACAAGAACAAACAAGCAGCGACTGCGACACGAAACAAACCCCAAAGGGCGGACTAAACCCTAAACCCTAAACCCTAAACCCTAAATACTAAACCCTAAACCCTAAACCCAAAACCCAATAACCCTAAACCCTAAATCCTCTAAACCCTAAAACCCTAAACCCTAAAACCCTCAAAAGTTGGCAAAGCGGCTGGTCCCCTGCCTCCACGAACTCCTGAAGGTGGGTTTTGAGGTTGAGGATTCAAGAGATCTGGGGACGGGCTTTAGGGGCTGAATTGAATAAACCTAAACCCTAAACCCTTTGGGGTTCTAAGGGTTTGGGGTTTACAGGGTTTTGGGTTTACGGTTCAGGTTCAGGGTTTTTGGGCTTTAAGGGGTCTTGCCAGGGTCTGTAGGGAGTTTGGGGTCTGCAGGGTGCCTGGAAGTCGGTATTTGTGCGTTCAAGTTCATGTAGTTGGAATATGCAGTCAGAGTGGAAGTGTGATTCCACTTCATTTCAGTAGGATACATGAAGGAGATAGATATCGCATGAGCATGAGAGTCCTCGCCTGGTCCCGCATGCTCAAAACCCTAAACTCACCCTGAACCACAGGTGGGATATTGGGGGCGCCGGTTCAGAAAACTCTTCGGGTTACCCCTATTGAACATGGTCACCCGCAACTATGCGAAGTTCGTGGTCCGGGATGCTGATTTGGAGAACAAAGTTGTGTTATCTGACAAAGAAGCTGCAGGATTGTTTCTTTGGTCTCGGCTGAGGCAAAGTCGTCAGGTCACTACTACTACCACTACTACCAGTACTATACCAGACCCCGTTCCCGTTTATAGAGGGTAAGCAAAAACCCCGAAATTGCTTTTTTTTTTTGGGGGGGGGGGGGGCCAGAGACAAAGCGACTGCAACATTAAGCCATAAACTCTCTACGATTGAAACTACAAATAGGCCCAATCCCAACCCTCTACCCTTCAAACTACCGCAGGCCCATGGTATTGCCTAAATACCCTTCGCGTCCTCTGGGGTCAGCGTCCCACTCTCCACGAACTTCGACTCGCCTAAGACGAGGTTGCCCAGCGACCAAACAGTCAAGTTTTGCAGGCTTTAAGGCTTTCTGGGTTTAGTGGAGGGAACCGAGCCCTGAGAAAGGGCATACAGGGTACCACGAGAAGAGTGTAGCGCAAAGGTGCTTTCATGGCCCCCTTAGAATGCAGAGCATAACATATCCGGATTGTTGATTCGCGAAATCGCACGGTGAGTAGACTGGCTATATCAAGCGATGCCATCAGGGGCCGGATGGCAAGCTACTTTCTGTCCAGTTCGCCATTCCAACTCAGCCCACTTTAGCTTCATTGAGTCGCAGGGCCCTGAATCTTTGTACCCCTGAAACCTAAGCCCAAAACCCAAAATGCTTCACCGACCCAAATCCCAAGCCCAAACCAACCCCCAAAACCCCCAAAGCCCCCACAACCCCAAGCTCCAAACCACCAACTGAGAGCTCACGGAAACTTACCCAAAGAGGTTTCTGAAGATTTGGAACGAACACGAGCAAGCCAGCCGGTCACAGCCGAATGCACTTGAACAACGCCACACGCACCCCCGCAGCACCAAGATCCTGCACCCCTCAACCCCCTGGACCTGGACCCCAACCTGTACACCCTGTACACCCTGTACACCCTGTACACCCTGTACACCCTGTACACCCTGTACACCCTGTACACCCTGTACACCCTGTACACCCTGTACACCCTGTACACCCTGTACACCCTGTACACCCTGTACACCCTAAACCCTAAAACCCTAAACTGACCCCCAGCAAGTCCTCAACCAACAGCTGCCGCAGGTCACCGCCGGCTGTGGTGAAGGCGTTGACCGTACTGCGCAGTGCATCGCCCAGGCGGTGCTTGGCGATGCTCAGCTGCTCCATCTGGGCTTGGGATACAAGAAAGGCTTTGTAGCGTGGGATCCCCTTATACTGACAGTCCTTAATGGGATCATCTTACCCTCAATTAAAATCCTCATCAAGGACTGTTAGTATAAGGGGGGCACATCCAACCTAAGGTGTTGAGGCTTAGGGCTGTGCCAAAGCTCAGACTAAGAGGTGGCCCAGGCTCGGGGTCACGTTCGGGCATGTTTGGTTCCAGAGGATCTGGGCTTCGGCTTTAGGTCCCCAAGCCCTCAGCAAACCCCTAAAAACCCGCAAATCAAGTGGGAGCTACAGGTTTTGGGGGGGGGGGGGGGGGGTTGGCGAATCAGGGATCCTAGTGTGCAAGGCCTTCGTACCCCAAGCTAAGCTTACTTGTTGTTGATCTAGGGTGGTTAACTACAGGTTGAAAGGTTTCACAGGTTCGCCTGCGGCTTTATGTGCCTAGTGGGCGCCAACGCAAAGATGTTCAGTTGCAAGACGGCTTCTATTGCTGTCGGGCCACAGCCATTCGCCTGGCTTTGGTCAGCGTCGCTTTGAGCCAAATTTGACTTCTGCGAAGACATCGAAAGTGGTTCAATCTGCAGGCTCTTGTAAGGATTGGGCACGCAAGGCTTGGGTATTTCGGGTGTTGTTAGGCTTGCGGCTGAATGGCGATACGGCCATGAAATGCAAACAAGCAGCTGGAGTTCTTCGCCTGAAACAGCGTAGCAGGGCCAGCTCGGTTTGCAGGATCAGGATTCAAGGGTTGAGGGCTTGGGCTAGGGGGATGTTTTCAATTCTGGAGTCACCACGTTGCCAGACAGTGTTGATCTGCAGGGCCTTGCCCCTCAATCATATTGATACTAACGACCGACCTGAACACCGCACCTGAGCTCCAAAAAGAACGGAGAACGCTAAGGCCTCAACTCAAGCAAACCTGACAGTTCAAAGGCTCGCACTGGCATCTTGGCAGCCCGACAAAGCCGCGTCCTCGGGGTTCTTGGGGCTTAGAAGCTTCGTAAGGCTAGTCTGCCCCGCGCAAACCCTAAGCTACTAAAGCCCCAAATCAATAAACAAAAGCCTGCTCTGCAAAAACTCTTTCCTCCAAAGCCCCGAACCTCAGCTGAAAGCCTGAGCCCCTTTCCCCGCCACACCCTCAACCTTGAAACCGACTTTCACTAAACCGTTTCAGAAGAAAAGAAAGTGGCCACAGATACCCCCCCCCCCCCGCAAAGCCTAAAATTAAAAAACCTGCTTCGGAGGCTAGACAACGGAAAAAAAACAAAAAAACAAAAAATCTAAGCTCATATACACTCTAAATTCAAACCCTCAAACCCTCCTGCTCTCACACTCTGTGTGCCCTACCAGGTTGCAGCAGTTGTCGCAGCCTCAGCAACGTCGGGGAGTTTAGACCGACCCGTTTTAGGGTTGGGGAAGCCAAATCAGCCCCCAACTCCCGAAACCTAAAGACCCGAAGCCCCCCCCCCCCCCCCCCCCGACAAAAAAAAAAAAAAAAAAAATCGAGAGATGCTCCCCCCCCCCCCCCCCCCCAATAACAAAAAATGAACAATTATATGAACATCGCTTCCTCCTCCCCGCACGCCTCCTGGGGGCCCGGGCGGCCGCAGCAAAGCTTCCCGGCGCTGAGGGCGCAGAAGCCCGGTGTCCCGTGGCTGGGTGGTGCCTGGCCTGCGGGAATCAGAGCTCTACTTGAAAGGTCATGAGTCACCGTAAGTGGGGGTTCTATGTAGGGTAACTGAAATTGCAACTGGTTCTAGCCTTATTCAGGGTACTTACAAGCCTACTTACCCGTGAACCTTCAAGTGCAGGAGGTTGTTGGGGGTACTTGGGGTGGGTAATAAGGCTCACTCAGGGGGCTCATGGAATATGTTGAAGGGCTTACAAGGCTTATAGGCTTTTTGGGGTCTGAAGCGTTAGGGGATTACATCGCAAAAGCCCTGAGACCTGTGCAGGAAGGCGTGCTCAGGACTGACCCTCCCCAAGTGTCAGAGGATTGTGGGTCGAATTTTGTTGCTTTAACGGGTGATTGGATTTAGGGCCTAAAACTTCGGGTTTAGGTTTAGGGCTCCCAGGGCCGAATGTCCACTTGGGGGCTCCGAGCGGTCGAGCAACTCGAGCAGATCTGCTGGAAGGCGTCTGGCGCATTGGGCTCCTCCGCGCCAAGTTTCTACCCTATAAATCTGGGTAGCACACCCTACCGCCACCTTGTCAGCTCTCTAGCTCCTGGTCAATTGAAATAAATCACCAACAGATGTAGCCCTAGTAAGAGCCATCATCGCAGCTCGTCGTCGTCGTCATCGTCGTCGTCCTCGTCGTCGTCCTCGTCGTCGTCGTCGTCGTCGTCGTCGTCGTCGTCGTCGTCGTCGTTGTGGCGGTGGTGGTCGTCGTAGTCGTAGTAGTCGTAGTAGTCGTCGTCGTAGTAGTAGCAGTAGTAGCAGTAGGAGCACTACTCCGGAGTAGCAGCAGGTCGCAGGTAGCAGGTAGCAGGTCGTCGTCGTCGTCGTCATCGTCGTCGTAATAATATTGATTGTGCTAGTTGCCACTAGCAGTACGCAGGAGTAGTGAGCAGTAGTAAGCAGTTGCGAGCAATGTGGTATACTAGTACAACTACTAGCACTACTGGTCGGTCATATTACTAGTGATTACTAGTGCTAGTACTGACGTTACGAGGAATAGCAATATATAGTAGGACTAGTCAGCAATATCATGATCGAAATGCCTATATGCTAGGGCTCCTCACCCAGGTACTCCAGAAGCTGTGCCCGCCGGCACTTCCGGCGGTTCCGACCTGAGGGTACCATTCACCCTGGGTATTTTAAGCCGTTGAGTTGGTCGTCGGCGACATGCACGTCTATTGGAGTAAAAATGATTTTAATCGAAAGTCAACATCGGATTCCTGCTGTATTCCAGTTACCCTTGAGGCCCTCGAGACCTATTATGAGTTTAGGGCTTAGGCTGTTTTAGGTTTCAAGGTTACCTTGAGGCTACTCTGGTTGTCGGGTTCAAGGTTTAGGCTTTTGGATTTAGAAACAGCAGCGCGGAAAGGCTCAGGGTCCAAGCCAGGGGTTCAAACCTCCTTGTGGTCCCGTATGGCGATTTTTAATTCACCGAGCCGCAATAGAAGAACGAGCTCTGGTAGCGCATGAGGCTCCTTGTCGCGAGTGCCCCAAAAAACAAAGGCTATCAATTCTAAGGTGTCTGACTGTCTTGGGGCTTAGATTTGGAGCTTGTAAGTCTACAGGGCTGTCCAGTGGGTCCAATTTCTTGGGCACAGGGGCCTTCCTTGGACGTTGCCTGTGGACTGGACCACACTTCCCTGCCATGCCATCTCGGGGTGTGGGTATAACGGCTGACAGTTGCGAAACCCGCTGATGACAAAAAAAACAAAACCCGCAAAACCCGAAGCGATCCTGTGCAGCGCTGGGGTAAGCACCAAGCCATCCTCGCGATACGTCTTCGTTTTGGTTAGTTGTGGTTTAGGTCGGAGGGCTTTATGCAGAGTCTTTACGTTGGCGTTTAGGTTTGGGCGGAAGTTGTGGACAGCTCGTGCCCGAAGACATGAGCATCGCAGGAGCAAGCGACCTTTGAAGTGAAGACCGCATGTTTCCACCAATGCTTTATGATTTCAAGATGCTCCAGGGCTTCCTTCCCTTTCGCCCTGAGGGCCTGGGGGTTTGGGGATTTGGGTCCTCCAGGAGTGGAGGTGGGGGGTGTCGGAAAAGCACCTGTCCTCCATCTGCGTTCCTGACAGAGGACTTTAAATAACCTCCAAAGCCAGAAGGAGAGCCAAGTAAGCAGCAAGTTTGCCCCCTCCCCCCCCATCACCCAGTCCTGGCCAAGGAGCACCTACCCATGCAGCTTTCGGGGCGGTTCGGACTCGTGGAGATTTGGTTGTTGGGCTGAGGGCTTGGAGCTCTGCACTCTGCCGTGGACAGAACAGCTGGAGGTCTAGTCGACAGGACTCAGGGCATCCATCTGTTCATTTATGTCTCAGACGACGAGACATGCCGGCTTGTCTCACCTGCTCGTTCTGCCGCCGGTCGTTCTTGGTGAAGAGCACGATGCAGGCGCCAGGCATGGAATCTCGCCCGGCTCGTCCAGATTCCTATCTGCTGGCTATTGAAAAAAAAACGCGTCTCGCAAGAAACAAATCCTGGACCCGAAGCCCCGCCTGCATGTACGCCTCCAGGCTCTTCGGCATGCCGAAGTGAAGTACTCGGCCTGCATGCTGCAGTTTGCAGGTAGAGAGAAAGCGAGAGAGAGAGAGAGAGAGAGAGAGAGAGACCAAAAATGAAACGTGATGGAAATGGTACGCGTGCACGCGTGCGCGGGTGTTGTGCACTCTTCCGACGCCATGTACCCCCATGAGCAGAACTCGTATACCTTAGACGATCTCAAAACTCTACTTGCGCCTCATGCGCCTTCAACCCAATGCGACCACGCCACGCACATCTGGCTTGTCGATGCCCATACCGAAGGCCACGGTTGCAGCCACAGCCTCGCGAAATCGCAGGTTCAGATCAATATAAAGAGTTTAAATCTAGGGTGTAAGGGGTTGTAATTGTTTGGGTTGGAGGGCTTCGCAAGGACACAATGGAGATCCGCTTTCGTCATTTATGCCTCAGTGAGCAAAAGCTTGAGCACTAATATGCAAGCCAAACCCCAAGCGCTCTAAGAAATTTGCCCTTCTGCTGCTCTGCACTCAAAACCCTAAACTGCCTAAACCTGAAACCCCAAACCCTCTAACTAGTAGAAAATCATAAACAATCTCTCCATGCACATCCGGATGGCCTGTAGCTCATTGCGGGTGAACTGGTCCTCTGCTTGCTATTGGCTTGAGGGATCTTCAGAGTCTTATGGGGGGGTAGGGTTTAGGGTAGTGGTTTGGGGTTGAGGGTTACCAAACCCTAAACCCTAAACCCTAAACCCTAAACCCTGGGGCTCGGGTTCAGGGAGGTTGTTCTACATTCATTAGGTCCCTTCCAGGCGTCCCTTTTTCCAGATTGTATGTTCTTAAAGCCGAACAAAGGCGGTTCAAATTCAGAACACCTCCATGATAGAGTTTGTGCACTAGCTAGGAGGAACTTGTTTCCGGGGTTCCTGCTCTTTTTCCTCCTCTCCCTCTCTCTCTCTGTCTGTCTATCGTTCTCACTCTCTCTCTCTCGCCCTCTCGCTCGCTCGCTCTCTCTTGTTTCCTTCTTTATTTCGTTATTATTCTGTATTTCTGTATTTCTTTCCTCTCTCTCCCTCTCTCTCTGTTCTTCTTCTTCTTCTCCTTCTTCTTCTTCTTCTGATTCTTCTTCTTCCTCTGCCTCTTCCACTCTCTCTCTCTCCCTCTCTCTCTCGGGTTACAAACTTAGGGGTTGTGCAGTATGCGCTGGGCTGATGTTTGGCTTCGGAACCTGAACTTGTCTAAACCAGGCTCAGCAGCGTGGACCTAAGCTTAAACCTCAACCGGATACACGCGAATAAAAGCCCCTGGCAACCCTCACTAGCCAACCCCCCCCCCCCCCCCCGCCCTTGAACTTGCATGTTTCAGTCAGACGGCCTGCACAGCCCAGCGCTTGGCCGGAGGGTGGCCAGCGTGGAAGGAGGCAGCCAACACACCGCCTGCCGCTTTAGGGGTTTATTACGATTAGGGCTTAGGGACGACGACTCTCCGAACCCAGTGCATCTCAGCGCAGTTGAAAAACGCACGGCCCCCGTCCAAGGCTTCGGGGTCCGTGGAGCTACGGCTGCCAGGGAACAACACAGCGACGTTTTCCTCGATATGTTCCGGTTCCTACTGTGCCACAAAGTGCTTGAAATGCGGGGCCGGTGGGCACCCTCTAAGATCATTCCTTGGACAGACCACCGCTTCCACGTAGAATACATGATGCGTAAGAAAGGACTCTGTTGCTTCTCTCCGTGGCAGTCTGTTCAGGCTTGCGCGCCAGCCACTTGCTTGTCAGCCACAAAGGGATGACAGCTTGCAACGATGCCAAGATGAAAGAAAAGCAGATAAAACAAAAGCTGAGGGGCGCCAGCTTCGCACTTCCGAAAAGCCAAGTTTCCACAGGCACATGCGGTCCGACCCTGCTACGAGCTCCGAAGCATCGTCTATGTACTATGAAGGCATTTCATCCAGCTTCCTTTCCACCCTCAGAACATCCCATTCCAAGAAATTCCCACAACGCAGTACTGCAAGGTTTTGTGGCCGCTGGGATCCGTTGTGCCACTAACTGCCTGCCGGACCTGCGTGGCGCACGAACAAAGGACAATTGCGGGTGGGTAGTTTCTGCTGATATAAGACTCCTATCAACACTATAGGCTTCGGGATTATACAGACTCTGCTATGGGAAACTACCAAGCGAAACTGTCCTGGAAGCAACAACCCAGGTTTGTTGAAATTGATTCGCATCACTTGACAATCTTCAGAAGCAAGTGTGTCAAGTATAGACTCGCATTACTTGCCTGGGCTTGCTGCTCAGCAGCATGCGAAGCTCTGCTTGCGTCATGCTGCTCATATAAAGACAAAAAAAAACTCACGCCTTCTCCTGAGCTTCCGGAAAACTCAAGAACAGGGGAATGAGGCTGCTTCGTCGACTTTCAACAAACCCAGGTCCTGAACCGTACACTAACACAGCCATAATTTCACCAGAAGCTCACGGAAGCATGGATGTTCACCATTGCGGAGGATAATGGTTTCAGCAATATGTGTTCAGACTGTTCCCTCTCTCAACTGGGCGAGAGCACATGAGCTTTGGTTTCTATTCGATGATGAAAACCGTGGAAACATATTTTCCTTCCGCGGAACCTTTCCGCGCCTCGAAAAGTAGCTTCCGCGGGGCATGTTCTTAAAACTTCTTAAAGCTTCATCAATTCCTTCCGCGGACCCTGGAACCATTTTCGCGTGCATTCGTACAGTTCCTTCCGCGCAGTACGTTTGTAGCCTTAGGCATGTGTCCCGTGAAGTTCCAGAACGACAGTCGATGTTGAAACTGAACAAGCACATACATGGTGAAGGGAAGTCTGCGGCTCATAATGTTGCACTGTCTTTAGTAGGGCCCCCCCCCCCCAGGGCCTCAAGCCTTACTGCGTAAGCCCCTAACCCAAAACACAAACCCTTAAAATTAAAAAAAATGTCCGGAAACAAATTGTGATAAGAACGGGTGTCGCCATCTGGTTCATGGTACTCTAAACCGGCCAGGCGCCTGGCCCCGAGGGTCGATGCTCATCGGCTGTTTGGGGCTGAAAGGTTCATAAGCTCAGGATGCTGAAGACGGAGCTTCCGCGAGCTTCCGCGCAAAGGTGCTTCCGCGAACTCTTCCGCGTGCTTCCGCAGCCACAGCGCGGAGCTCATTCTGAGCACAAAATTGGATCCAAAATATGCTTCCGTATACTAAACTATCTCTCAAGAAGCGCCTTAAAAAACCGCAGCTCACATGATACTTACTACGTAATGTTCCTCACTCACGAGGCTCTTCTCAGGCTCTGCTGTCAGGCGGCCCAGCGAATTGCCTTCGAAGGCGCTGAAGCTCACCCTGCAGTCGAGCGCGGAAGGCTGGCTCGAAACGCTGCGTGAACATGTTTCCGAGCATGGACGCCACCGACATTGCAGCGACCTTGTCCTGAAGCCGGGTGCCGATGGTGGGTTCGGAGTCCCCGGCCTCTGGGATGTAGTTGTGCAGCTCACCCTCGATCATGTCCAAGAGCCCGCGGATTTGTAAAGCAAGCTCGGGAACTTGCTCCATCTTTTGCCGCAGGCGACCGCGAAGCAAGAGCAACATAGAGTGCGCGCTCTTGCGGCTGAGCTTCTCGCGATTGTGCTTCGAGATGGCATGCTGCTTCGGACCATGGAAGTGGTGACAGTACTTGCACGCCATTCCATGCGGGCAGTGTCCCAAAGCAAGCAAGAGACACGGACGCCGGCAGAAGTGCGGGTGACCAAGGCTTCCAGCCACATCTTCATCCGAGAAAGCCTCTTCGGCGGCCTCGAGGGTTTTTGGGGCCTCCTCGGCGAGAGTAAGCGCTGCGTCCCTTGAGCTCTCAGTGCTCTCGGCGCTTTCAGTGCTCTCGGCCCCGAAGGCAACGCGGGACATGCTCGCCTCACGCAGCAAGCCCGCCAGGTAGTCGTCCTCGACGGACTGGAACACGCGCGGAGAACTCTGCAGCCCCGACAAATTTCCTGGCATGCTGGCGGAACGCCTCACCGCCGGCACGTGCTCCTCGACATCGATGAATGTGAACTTGGACTTCAGGTTCATCTCGCTGAGCTGGGCTTGCGCAACCATGGCCAAAGCAAGCGAACAAGAGCTATCAGTTGGACGGTTGGAAGTCCGTTCACGACAAGCGATGCTGACGAGCACCCAGCACGCAGGCTTGAGCCGAGAAGGGCACCCCAACATGAGCTGCCTCTGGCATTCTTTGCCATGATCTGGCCGCAACAAAGCGCAGTTGAAAGGCGCACGACAAAGTCAAAGCTTCGGAGGTCACTTGAACTGGGCGCTAAGCGGCGACCTTTTGCTCGAGATAGTGCCGGTTCCGACTGCGCCAAAAAAGTGCTTGAAATGAGGGGCCTGTGGGCACCCTCGATTTGGATCATTCCTTGGACAAACCACCGCTTCCTGTGAGAATTTCGCAGTTTGTCCAGGTTTGCCTGCCAGCCACAAAGGGATGACAGTTTGTGGCGATGCCAAGCATCTAGACAAAGCTGTAAAGCGAAAGCTACATGCTGAAAGACACCGTTTTCGCAGTTCCGAAAGGCTAAGTTTCCACATACACACGGTCCGACCTTGCTACAAGTTCCGAAACATTATCTATAGGACCAGGAACTATTTCGGGCTTCCTCTCCACCCTCAGAACACCCCATTCCAAGCAATCACCACAAACACGCTGCCGCAAGGTCTTGTGGCCGCTGTGATCCGTTGTGCCACTAACTGCCTGCCGGATCTGCGTGGCGCGGGAAAAGTCTCAGGGTTGCAACAAGCAGCCCTTGAAATTGAGCCGCAGCACTTGACATGTCCGGAGGCAAGTAGAAGAAGAACATACCCTCGCGTTGCTCGCATTGGCTTGCTGTCCGGCAGCTTACCAAGTTCTGCTGGCGTCATGCAGGATCATGCTCATAAAGATTATATAAAAAAACTCACGCCTCTGAGCTTCCGCAAAAAAACCAGGAACAGAAGGATGAGTCTGCTTCGTCGGGCTTCAACTTTCAACTATAGGGCCAAGAGCTAAGACGGAGTTACGGCTCATGACCTGGCTTTGTGCGCTCCTGCACCAGCCAGCCATGATTCACCAGAAGCTCATGGAAGCATGGATGTTCACCATTGCGGAGGATTATAATGCATTCAGTAGTGCGTTCAGACAATTCCTTCTCTCAACTGGGCGAGAGCACATGATGCTGATGTTCCTCACGCACGACGCTGTTCTCAGGCTGTGCTGTCAGGCGGCCCAGCGAATTGCCTTCGAAGGCGCTGAAGCTCACCCTGCAGTCGAGCGCGGAAGGCTGGCTCGAAACGCTGCGTGAACATGTTTCCGAGCATGGACGCCACCGACATTGCAGCGACCTTGTCCTGAAGCCGGGTGCCGATGGTGGGTTCGGAGTCCCCGGCCTCTGGGATGTAGTTGTGCAGCTCACCCTCGATCATGTCCAAGAGCCCGCGGATTTGTAAAGCAAGCTCGGGAACTTGCTCCATCTTTTGCCGCAGGCTACCGCGAAGCAAGAGCAACATAGAGTGCGCGCTCTTGCGGCTGAGCTTCTCGCGATTGTGCTTCGAGATGGCATGCTGCTTCGGACCATGGAAGTGGTGACAGCACTTGCACGCCATTCCATGCGGGCAGTGTCCCAAAGCAAGCAAGAGACACGGACGCCGGCAGAAGTGCGGGTGACCAAGGCTTCCGGCCACATCTTCATCCGAGAAAGCCTCTTCAGCGGCCTCGAGGGTTTTTGGGGCCTCCTCGGCGAGAGTAAGCGCTGCGTCCCTTGAGCTCTCAGTGCTCTCGGCGCTTTCAGTGCTCTCGGCCCCGAAGGCAACGCGGGACATGCTCGCCTCACGCAGCAAGCCCGCCAGGTAGTCGTCCTCGACGGACTCGAACACGCGCGGAGAACTCTGCAGCCCCGACAAATTTCCTGGCATGCTGGCGGAACGCCTCACCGCTGGCACGTGCTCCTCGACATCGATGAATGTGAACTTGGACTTCAGGTTCATCTCGCTGAGCTGGGCTTGCGCAACCATGGCCAAAGCAAGCGAGCAAGAGCTATCAGTTGGACGGTTGGAAGTCCTTTCACGACAAGCGATGCTGACGAGCACCCAGCAGCCAGCTCGCACGCTTGAGCCGAGAAGGGCACCCCAAGATGTGCGGCGTCATGGATCATGATCTGGCCATCTTTGACATGATCTGGCCGCAAGGCGCAGTTGAAAGCGAGGCTTCGGGGGTCACGGGAGCTGGGGCTGGCAGGGTGCGAAGCGGCGACCTTTTCCTCGAGATGGTTCCGGTTCCGACTGTCACAGTGCCACAAAGTGCTTGAAATGAGGGGCCGGTAGGCACCCTCTAAGACCATTTTCTGGGACAGACCACCGCTTCATGGCTTCGTGTGAGAATTTTATGAGAGGTGCAAGGAAGGATCCTGTTGGTTCTCTCAGCCGCAGTCTGTCCAGGCTTGTCTGCCGGCCACAAAGGGATGACAGCTTTCAGCGATGCCAAGCATCTAGTAGAGCATTTAAAGCAAAAGCTAAAGGGCTGCCAGATTCGCACTTCCGAAAGGCCAAGTTTCCACATACACATGGTCCACATGGTCCGACCCTGCTACGAGCTCCAAAGCATCTAGGAAAGGCTTCCTCTCCAAGCAATTACCACAAACACGGTGCCGCAAGGTCTTGTGGCCGCTGTGATCCGTTGTGCCACTAACTGCCTGCCGGATCTGCGTGGCGCGGGGAAAAGCCTCAGGGTTGCAACAAGAAGCCCTTTAAACTGAGCCGCAGACCTTGACATGTCCGGAAGCAATTGTTTGTAAAACGTAAACTCTCTTTGCTGGCATTGGCTTGCTGTCCGACAGCTTGCCAAGTTCTGCTGGGAACCAGCGCGCTTCATGCTGATAAAGATTATATAAATACTCACGCCTCCTCCTGAGCTTCCGGAAAAACCAGGAAACAGAAGGATGAGGCTCGTCGAGTTTCAACTAGGGCCAGAGCTAAGACGGAGTTACGGCTCATGACCTGAAGCTCACGGAAGCATATGTGCACCACTGGGATTATGCATTCAGCAATATACAATTCCTTCTCTCCACTGGGCGAGAGCACATGATCCTAATGATCCTCACTCACCAGGCTCTTCTCGATCAGGCTCTGCTGTCAGGCGGCCCAGCGCTTTGCCTTCGAAGGCGCTGAAGCTCACCCTGCAGTCGAGCGCGGAAGGCTGGCTCGAAACGCTGCGTGAACATGTTTCCGAGCATGGACGCCACCGACATTGCAGCGACCTTGTCCTGAAGCCGGGTGCCGATGGTGGGTTCGGAGTCCCCGGCCTCTGGGATGTAGTTGTGCAGCTCACCCTCGATCATGTCCAAGAGCCCGCGGATTTGTAAAGCAAGCTCGGGAACTTGCTCCATCTTTTGCCGCAGGCTACCGCGAAGCAAGAGCAACATAGAGTGCGCGCTCTTGCGGCTGAGCTTCTCGCGATTGTGCTTCGAGATGGCATGCTGCTTCGGACCATGGAAGTGGTGACAGTACTTGCACGCCATTCCATGCGGGCAGTGTCCCCAAGCAAGCAAGAGACACGGACGCCGGCAGAAGTGCGGGTGACCAAGGCTTCCAGCCACATCTTCATCCGAGAAAGCCTCTTCGGCGGCCTCGAGGGTTTTTGGGGCCTCCTCGGCGAGAGTAAGCGCTGCGTCCCTTGAGCTCTCAGTGCTCTCGGCGCTTTCAGTGCTCTCCGCCTCGAAGGCAACGAGGGAAATGCTCGCCTCACGCAGCAAGCCTGCCAGGTACTCGTCCTCGAAGGCCTCGAACACGCGCGAAGAACTCTGCAGCCCCGACAAATTTCCTGGCATGCTGGCGGAACGCCTCACCGCTGGCACGTGCTCCTCGACATCGATGAATGTGAACTTGGACTTCAGGTTCATCTCGCTGAGCTGGGCAACCATGGCCAAAGCAAGCGAACAAGAACTATCAGTTGGACGGTTGGAAGTCCTTTCACGACAACGAGCACCCAGCACGCATGCTTGAGCCGAGAAGGGCACCCCAACATCTGCGTCATGGAGGTCTCTCTGGCAACGCTTGCCACATTGACATGGTCAGGCCAGCAAAACCATACACAACTCCACGCACGCAGAAATGGTGCAGAAACGTGCAGAAGAGCTTTGGATGCCCGCTGCATGGATGAACCGGAAGAGTCGAGAGTGCGCAAGGGGGGCTCGCAGCCCTAAGCACAGGTTCAATGCTTGGATTCTGTCGCGGAAGAAGCCTCTAAACCCCGCAGAAGCCAACGAAGCTTGCGGGGTCTGCCTCTGCAGACTGCACAATTGGTGGAGCATGCAGGGGGGGGGGGGTGTGGAAAAGGAGCCCGGAAGCCAGGCACAGAAGTATGCATGTAAAAGACAGACACGTATCTATATAATATACTCACTTTTTTTGTTGCATGAGAAGGCCAGAATGGTCGCCTCTCAAATCACTCCTATCCCCACGAGCTCTTTTGACGTCTGCCTGGAGGTCGACGGTCCGCTCGCACCTCCATTCCAACAGTTCCAAGCCCCTCCTCTGGTGTCCAAAGCGGCAAGGTGGCCCTTCGCATGGACGCAGCGGCATCTGTGTAGCCAGGATGTGGGGGGGGAGAGTGATGCAGCTTAAGTGCAGACCGTGTCCGAATCGTCATCGCACAGAGCCATCGATGTGCTTCTGTGGGTCACAGCAAGGCATCGCTCGGAGCATTCCAAACGTCTGACCCGGCCTCAGCAACTGATCACTGCTTGCAAACAGCAAGCAAACTTCAAAGAGTCGGCGTATGAAAAGCTAGCCCCCCCCCCCAAAAAAAAAAAAAAAACAAACACCTACCCTAAAACACCTTCCGATCCTCAGCTGCCCCCATGACGGATGAGCCCCTAAGGTCTTAAAGTCTCAAAGTCTCGTCGCACCACCCCCCGGCCACAAGTTACCCTTGCACAGCAAGACGAGCATTAAGGGGAGTCTTTACCCCAAGGGGGAGCCGATTGAACCGTTTCGTTATTCCAATTCCACCGTACTTATAAGCCCTCAACTCACGACCCCTCAAACCTTAAACACTAAATACTCCCATTCATACCTTAACACACCTATGGGAGTCAGAGGCAAGTGGCGCTCTTGCGAGACCACAGACCCAGGGCCAGTGCCAGCGCAGGGACGCCCCTTTCAGGCTTGAGGGCTTGAGAGTTTTGGAGTTCATTTCCGGATTCAAGGATCTCTTCAGTGGTTTTCAGATTTCGGGTTCAGCTACGGTTTGGTTTCGGCCGTATACAACCCGGAGATACCCTTACGGGATTCTTCGGGTACCCCTGGCAGCCAAGGTCAGACCTAGGCCGTAACTAGCCCAGAAAGCAAAATGCTAAAGCCTCCCAAACCCTAGATGTGCACCCTGTGCACCTACTCAGAACAGTGTCATCAAAAGTTGGACGGCCTCAGCCTGAAGCCACTGCAAGGGTAACTTGGGATTTAGTCGTAGAAGGTGGGTAGGGGGTACAGCTGAGGGAGTGCAACCTAAGCCCAAAGACTGATAGGTTGCCGAACTTCACAAGGGGCCTAGGCACCGGCGGTTTCGGGTAAGTTCCAAGACAAGCAGCGTGCAAAGCGCGAGCCAGCCCTGGCTGCTCGCAGTGGAGGCGGGTACCTACACAGCGGTGACACGCTTGGGGACCAAACGACCCTAAAATTGGGATCATGTTCCCTGCACTACTATACTCGCTATTCCATAAACCCTGTGCTTGGCATATGCATCTGTGGAGCTATTTTGGACAAACTTGCAGAAGTGACTGAATGCTCGCACAGGATTTTGCGCCAAGCCGCCAAGCCGTTTCCCCCACACAAGGGTGGCAGGTTTGAAGCCCGCCACTGACTGTGAAACCCAGGGCTTGTTATACTCAACTGCTACACAGACCCCGGTACCAGGATGCAAAATCTTCGAACATGAAAGCGTTCGTCGGCCGTTGTAAGCGTTCACTCGTCGATCTTCGGCGCGAGGTAGAACTTCATGTGGCCCTTGTCCTCAGTCTCGAGGTCATACTGCACCAACAGCGGCGCATCAGGGGCAAAGCCCAAGGTGACGGAGCCACAGAGTGGCGATGCCTTTGAGAAGTTCACCAAGTAGCGCAGGGCAAAGGCAGCGGTCACCGGCTCGTGCACGGTAAGGGACACCTTTTCCTCTGGCTTCTCCGTCTCCCGCGGCTTCAGAAGGACGTTGCCACTGCCGATGTCGCCTGACCTACAGGGTGCTTTTCCCACATCTGGCGCACCACCCCGTCTCTTGGAATGCTATGAATGCGCTGATCATGTGCCAAACAAAACATTCTGGATCTGAGCACGAACTGCATTCACTTACAGCATGGTTTGCGTCCCACGATGAAGACACATGAAAACTATGCATTTGCCATGCTGCCCGAAAAGAATTGGGGCCAACACCTTTTGACTGACTGCCTGACTGGGATGTTGAGTTCGAAAATTCAGGTTCTAAGTCCCGGACACGACGAACTTTAGCCCATCTTTGTCACCTGTCAAATGCAAGGTCTCCCCAAACTCCTTGAGGTCCCTGCAGATCTTTTGAAACTCTGCGGAGGGCATCTTCGCAACTACCTTGTAGTGTTGCTCGGGGATCTCCATGTGCTCGTTCTCAATCTGGAACAGCTTCAAGTCGAACTCTGAAATACGATCATCCGAGCCCTCGCACTGAAAGTTGACAACGTCCGTGTCACCCTTGTGGCGGATCTTCAACGTGTCGCTTGGGCCGGTCATTTTCAAAATCTTAGTCAAGGAGTCCACGTTCATGCCAAGCGACACCGGCCGGTCGCACTTGAACTCCGTGAAGGCCGACTCACGAAGCCTTGGTAGCCGGGGAGTTACATTGGAGTAAGGGTGCGCTGCTTGGCGTTAGCTACTCCTTTTCCCTCGAGTGGCGCGGGCGGCGCCCGCGCCCCACGCCTGCGGCCCGGACCACGCGTTTCTTTTCGAAGCCTGCGCTCATCTTGGGCGAAAATCGCAGCCTCGCCTAGACGCGGGCATGGCCGCACTCGCCACGAAACTGTCGTCGCTTTTGGTTGTCTGGGCTCTCTCACTGTTTGGGGTCTACGCTGGCATAGCAAGGGAACCCGGACCCAGAAGAGGGTACCATCTACCGAGGGGCATCAGCGACACCAGCGCCACGTGGGAGCTGTCCATGCTCTGAACTTGCATGCCCTTCTCTGAGCAGTCGAAGTTCACCTCCTTGCAAAGGTCTTTCATGGCCTCCGCCACCTTCTTGAAAAGCCCGGCCTGCTGCAACTGGGCGTCCAGGACCATGGCCATGCTTGTTGCTGCTGGGGGGGGGGGGATGCCAGAAGACAAATGGGCCAACTGTGAGATCCTCGAGGCTGCGGATCTCCACCATGCCCTACCGGTCCTACAGCTACTCCCGGATATGTCAGGCCCATCAGTGGCTTGAAACAGACCAGAAAACCCCCCAGTTCCCGCCTCGGCCAAAGCTCTGAGGTGCGTCCTAGCCCCGTGGACATCTGCACAACCTGTCTCCAGGCAATGCTGGATCGCCTGGTCAAAGAACTGCACTTCGTACCTGCTTTTCTCGATCAGGTGCTACTGCGATCTGGAACCATGTACATTCATATGACTGAAGCTGCCATGGATCGCGAGTCTCGGACTGTCAGGGCACTTCATCGCGGTGTCGTAATGGAACTGAGCTCGCGCAAGCCACTCATCGGACAAGCCATGTGTGGCATACTGCCTCACGAGGCTGCTTGCTTTTGCCACAGGTGGCCTGAACCCTTGTTTTGCAGCTTATCGCGTCAGCACCCTGAGAACCCCTTAGGCCCCTGTAAACTTTTAAACAAGAAGCGTTGCTTGACTGGGCCGTGGCTCTCAAGGAATCCTTCCATCTTCAGCGTGATCGCATGGTTGCTCGGAGCGGCGTACCTCGTGGCACGGCCAGCTCAGCATGTCGCTCAAACAGAGAGCGGCAAAGGCTTCGCGGAGGATACAACAAAGGTCCCTCTGCCAACTGTCGGGCAAGCCGCTGTTCGATAAACTTTTTGTAGGGGTTCTCCACGGAGATGTGCTTGGTACGATTCAGCGTGGCGAAAAGCCAATCATAAAGCCGCTGGCACGGCAGCACGGATGCATATCCCATGATCATGTCATCCCCCCAAGCAGACTGGAGGATGAAGGAGGTGTAGGCGATCGTAGTCGCCTTGGAGCTGGCTTCAGGATGTCTCAAAGGTTGCAGCACTGGAGTCCTCTTAGCTCGATGGGAACTCTGGGAGCCTCTGGGCCGCTCACGGAGGCCTCTTCTTCGAAAGTGCTCTCCCTGAGCTCACTGTTGGCCTTCTTGCCGTGCTCGTGCAGAAAGCCCACCTCTGCCCCGCGACTTTGAGTGCTAAGCGGCATAAAACTTCCTAGCAACACTTTTTAGGGTACCCGGGCTTTCTTGGGCTTAAAGTTCGGAAAACCCCCCTAAACCCCCGAGTTTCTCCCAGCCAAGCAGCCGACTGGTTCAGCAGCCAGGCGAGCTCCTCCGTGCTGGCTGCCTCCATACCCAAGGGGGGTTTAGGGGTTTTTAGGGGCTTAGGGGCTTAGGGGTTCAGGGGTTCAGGGGTTTAGGGGTTTAGGGGCTTAGGGGTTTGGGGGTTAGGGGGTTAGGGGTTTAGGGGTCCCTACACTAAAGCCGCACAGGATTCACTGGTGCGGGGTTCTCCTTCTGAGCTGTTGTTGCAACAGGCACTGGGAGTGCAACCATCCCTCAGCCGCGCACGAGCAACCCTGTGTGCCTTCAGGCGCAAAATGTCTCTCTCCCAGCTCAATCTGCCACCACCTGGACCTACACACTCTCTCGTTGACCTCTTGCCGTCCCGGGCCCACAACGCCCTAAGCAGCCCCCAAGTATCCCCTCCCCATCCCTCCCTCCTCATACCCTGCACCCTCCAAAGCCCTCAACCCCCGAACACTAGCAAGCTCCCTACACCCTGAACACCCTCAAGCCCTTCTCAAACCCCCAAAACTCGAAACCATCCTACACCTACGATTCCCCAAACCCCTTACACCCCCTAAACAGGCCCTTGTGTAGTCCAGAATTCTGGAAGCCCTAAACCTTCCTACCCTTCATAAGCATAACCAGCAAAAGAACCCACGCCTTGGCGCCAAGAATACCGAAGGCGCGGGCATACTTGGAGAGGTAGAGGTTGTCCTGGGCCCTGGGATGCACCCTAAGCCCAAAAATGCCCGAAACTGGGTTCAAGGTTTAGGTGCATCACGGGGTTGCTTCAGCTGTTTAGAGGTTTTGTGAAAGGGGTGGGGGGGGGGGGGGGCAAGAGTGCATAAATCCCACATTTGGTGCCTTGCATGAATCGGAGGGAAAGCAAGTTAGGCCTCAGAAATTGTCAATCATCCAGCACACGAATGATGTTTTTTGGGGGCTTTCGAGGGCATTCGGGTTTATGAATGTGGTATAGGGTTTAGGGTTTAGGTTTAGGGTTTAGGGTTTAGGGTTTAGGGTTCCGGGTGCTTGTTTAAGGCGTGCTCCATCTCAGGGCTTCGAAGCTGTTTAGTCTTCAGGGGCTGCTGCCAGAGCTCTCCCAAACCCTAGTGTAGGGGCCGTCATAATTAGAATAGGGTTTTGGGGGTTTATTATAATAATTACAAAGGGACCATAAGGGAATACTGTTAGTAATTTTTCCGACCCCTACATTAAGCCCGGTTCAGGGGGGCGTTGTAATTGAGGATTCGGAGTCCTCGAGATGCTTGCAGTGATGCCAGTCGAACCGTGTGTCATAACCAAATAAGTAAGCGAAAATGTTAAACAAAGCAAATGAATGAATGCACAAAGACATATGTAGACAATGTATTGTCTGGGGGGGTAATACTGGTAACTCCAAGGTCGCGCAGAACTAACTACACGAGAAGCACTCATCCTCATCGAGCAATCGTAAACGTAGCAGTCGGTGGTCGTCGTAATAATGACCAGTTTGGTAGTACAACAGGAACAGCACCATCGGGCTTTGGAAATATACAGACATCCTCCCCCCCCCCCCCCCCCCCCCCGCCAGTACAGCCTTGACTTGCCCGGAGCCTAGATGACTCTAAAGCCTCTACACTCTAAACCCTGAGACCCTATAGGGCTCTCAGGGCACTGAGGGTTCAGGGGATACAGACTGACGGGTTCTTGTTGCCGCCCGGGGTGCAGGTAGTAGTCAAAGGCCGCTTGAGGCAGGGAGCCGTCAACCATCTGGGTGATGAAGCGGCCATGCAGGCTCTGATTGGCATACTTGAGGGCACCCTCAAATAAGCGATCGCCCAAGCTGGCCTCCGGCGCGGAGATCCCTCTCAGGCCCTCTGTGACTTCTTGTGCGTCCTCTAAACCCTCTCTTTGACCAAACACGAGCCAGGCCAAACTCTGACCTCAACATCTACACAACCGGGGGTTTACGATACTAGGGGTACCTGATGAGGGTCCTTTTTATATAAGAAATCCTACTACTTGGGGGTCTATATTCAGGGTCCCTTATGATGGTAAAACCCCATAGAATCTACACCTTGACACATCTGCCAATCATCACGACTTGGCCCGAATCCTGTGCTTCTGCTACACACGAGGAACCCGGATTGAATATTGATTGTGTAGTCAAGGCGGATGTCCCAAAAACATGGCTACAGACGGCAGCTTGTTGTTGGGACATGTTGTTGAGATATGACAGTGGCTCAACAAGAAATTCCGAAGTGCCATTGTATATCGTGAGCCCAAGCCCAAACGCTTGGACTCATTACAAGATATTACAAGTATCTTCAGGGCCTCCGCCGTCGCGGATGCCAGCGCCAGGCCAAGTACCTCGAAAAAATCCGCACAACCTGAGACTCACCTCTTATAACCCCCGCTTTGGGGGACCATCCTCCGACTTTCAGCTACGGCTGCTTCGGCATCCTCCACCGAAGACCTCCCCCCAACCAAAAGACCCTCAATGATGTCTAAGTTTGTCCGATTTTGTCCTGTGCGATTACGCCGCTCCAGCGAAAGAAGGGGGCAACTGTCTACAGCCGCCAACGGCGTCCTCTATAACTGAAGATCCCCTACACCACAAACCCTTCACCCTAAAGCCCTTGACCATGGTCAGGTCCCAGCCACCACAGAAATGCCTCTGCCGGCCGTGGAGATCGCCATGGCAGGCTATAAACTCAAACTCACGACTCTGTCGCGCTTTGGCTGCGGGTTCTGTGGGTCTTGAAGGCGGCCTGCGCAAATGCCACCTTCAAGAACCCCAAAGCAACTTGTACTTGCGAACAGCCTTTGCAACAGGAGTCTTAGCATCACAAACTTAGGGTTCTCTGTGCGGAGACACGCTGTGCAAGTTAGGTGGCGGTGGCCTCTGCTCAGAAGCTCGGCAACATCGTCCGCATCCTGCTTCCTTGCAGAGCAAAGTGGAGCTACCGCAGGACCCAAGCTGACTCTCCAGTCTCCTCTATGCAGCTGTGACATCACCTACCTAAGGAAAGGAGATGAGGGCATTGCGAACTGCTTAGTAACGCTTAGCTGACCACCAGCTGCAGCCAGCTCCTTTTTCTCCAAAGCCATCGTCTCGCAGTCTGAGAAAACCAATCAATGCGGCGCGAGGCCATCCGGATGCCAGCTTCTATACACCCCTTAGAACCTTAAGAAATAATATTTTTAGTACATCCTCTTGGGTTTTATATAGATAAAAATGAAAAATAACTTTCAAGGGGGGTATAGGCTTCTGTGTTGGCATCTTAGCTCTGGCCCTTCATTTGCGACATCAGAGGGACGAGGAGTGCTTTCAGCTCACCCACCTCGACGTCGCCCGAACCGTCGGCGTCCGCATGCTGGAAGATGGCTTTCAGGTGTTCTGCGGCAGGAGGAGCTTGACCAGTTTCGGCAGAGGCATCCTGGATGATCTGACCGAACTCTTCCATCGAGAGGTGGTCACTCTTGTCCACGTCGTAAATTCGGAATGCCTTGTGAACGTGATGCTCCAAGTCTTCAGCGTCGAACTTCCGCACCAGGGCACCCAACATTGTGGCGGCGCCGGCGCTGGGCTTCGTAGTCTCACGGCCGACAAGGATGCCCACCACAAAGGTCACAAGCAGCGCCACGCCCAGGCCCGCCCAACGCATGCGGCTCACACGCGATGGCGCCGACCCGAGCATGCTCCTGCTCGGAGCGCTGCTCCTCGACGTCGCTTGCGGTTGCCATGTATTGCGGAGATCAAGACCGGAGATGACCGAAGCAAGCTGAAGCCAAGCTGAAGCCACTCAACGGGAAACTCAACTTGCCTTGGTCAGAGTATAGCCGCAGCATTGGTCGCAGTAGTAGCGGTAGTATCAGCACTAGTAGCCTAGGTAGCAAGGCTTTGCCCTCGACACATCTCGACTAAACATCCACTGCAAGACTGTGTAGGAGTACCCAAGCTGACTGTCTCCTCCATGTAGCCTAAAGCAAAAAACTACTGTCCATCCATCCTACACCACCCAAAAACTGATGCGACCATTTAACGTTCAACGGCCAAAGCAAGACGTGATCCAGTCAGTTCGAAGGGCGCAGTGGCCCTGTTTGCAAGACTCTCTGTGCCCAAGTCATGCCGGACCCGCCTGCGGCAGTAGATCACAGTTGGCGAGTATGGGCTCGGTTGCGCAGTATCAAGTGGCCTGGAAGCAATGTTTTGGCACGCGAACCATGTCAGAACTTCCGGCGTCCGATGCATTCCGCAAAGGTGACAAGGGACTTCACTGCACTCAACTTCCCATGACCGGCAAGCCTCGACCGACGAAAGGCAACGGCATCGTCGCTAGCATCCTGCCACGGGCGGTATTTAGTCGAACAGTGCCGGAATTGTAGTGTACGCACAGGGCACATCTCAAAAGTCCCATACCTCCCACTCGCCTGGGCATGGAAGAGCTCGAGAATCCGTCGTTCCATGGCAGCCTCCACAGGTTAGGTCTGACTTGCCTAAGAGGTTCGCAATTCGGCCCGGAGCAGTTTGCAAAGGCCCACCACAGGCATTGATACCTAAAATCGGCCTTCGCCTTCATGTCTTAGTACACATTGACCCAAGTCCCTCCCCTTTGGCTCTAAGCCCAAAGCCCTGAACCTTAAACCCTGTAAACCCTAAGCCCAACCCTATAAACCCCCTCTGCACATCCTTGGCCCCGCTGGACGTCGGAGATTTTCCTGTGGATGGCTGAAACCTAGGACTCCCTTCTGGAGGTTCGCCTGCAAGGAACTTTACTATAAAAGCACCCCCCGCCCCCACAACCCGACACAACACATGCTTAAAGCAGCAGCATTCCAATATTGAGTTTTCAAACTTAGTGTCTGGGGTTTGGCATGGTTTAGGGCTGATAAGGTAACCCTTGCTACGAAAGCTCGTCTGCACCTGCCTTGTTTGGGAACTCCTCAGCAGCAAAGTACAGATTCCTGAGCTTGAGACGCCAAGGCCCAGCTTGAACGATTGAAGATAATAAAACTGCTACTCCATGCCCGCAGCCAGCCATGAACAAGACTGCACGTGCCTTGTCCTAAGTAGGGCTTATAAGTTCACGGATTTCTTCTCTCTGCACCTCGCCCCCGAATGCAAACCCTGAACTACAAGCAAAATACAGCAAAAGGATTCAAGAATGGTCCGGAGTTTAGATGCACCTGCATATTATCTATGGTATGTGCGCACCAACTACCAGCTGTGCACAAAAGAAAAACAAGGCGACAGACTGCTGACGTCTGCCCATCTCACTGACAGAAAGGAGTCTGAAGATATTCGCCTCGGCTTCCCTTCCAACCCTTCCCCCCATCCCCCCCCCCCCCCCCTTGTGGGACCCCCCCCCATCGCTTGGCGGAGCTGCAAACCGATGCCGTGGGGGGGTCCGCCTGTCGGCGGCTCCTAAGAGGGAGCGCGAATTTGGCTCTCCAAATCTGGGGAACTTCCCATGTTAGTGCTTGTTTAGGGTTCCCAATGGCCGGCCCCCAAAATACCCAGATCAAGATTGCTATACATCCCCAAACAGCAAATCGAGGCCATCATCACGGGTATCTTTGGGGTCGAATTGTAAACGCTTGTGCGCGCCGCCTCGGCAGCCGGGCCGGCCCACGGACAGGAAAGGAGGAAAGAGGGTTTGCGAAAAGGCCTCAAAAAAACGGGGGGGGTCCAGGAGCCCAGGAAGGATCCAGGGGGTGTTAGAATACACTGTTCCCTCTAGAGCCCTGGCAGTATCCACTGCCTGATCTGACCAAAGCTGTCGTCACTGCTTTGGCTCAAGGTTCAAGTGCTGAAACAAGTGTGACTGATGAATTGCTCACTGCTGTGAATGTTGTGATACCTGAAAGTGTATCCCAAACTGCTCCATTGAACTTTTCATGGTAGCGGAGCACACTGGTGAGAACCAGGTGCCCGAAACTGTTTGAATGGCTTCACTAGGTTCTGCCCCTGAACTAAGAGGTCTCGGAGGTGAAGTGAAACTGTTTCCCCCACCGTCATTTGATGGGTCACTGGATAAGTATGAGGATTGGAGCTGGCAAATGAAGAAGTACATAGGACTGTACAAGCCCGAAGCAAAAGCTGCTCATGGATGCATGCGAGGTTCTAACTGAAGCTGTCACAGACGAACATGTGATCGACTGGAACCGAAGAACCGATGCGAGTCGAGACATGAAACTGATCGAGTTCAGTCGTCAACTGCTTTATCTGTTGGCACAGTTAACCGAGGGAGCTGCGAGAGCGACTGTCAGACAAGAAGACACTGAGAATGGCTTCGAGGTATGGCGAAGACTGCATCAGCAGTTTTCACTGCCTAACCGGTCCCAAGGACTGAATCTCCTCACCGAGATTCTGGATTTCAAACTGAGGCCTGACAACTTCGAAAATGATCTGGCTGATTTCATTGTACTGAAGAATCGCCATGAGAAGGCGACTGGTGCCTTGGTTCAGGATGATTTACTGATCACGTTGTTCATTCGCAAGACGCAAGGAGCACTGCAACAGCATCTCAGACTGAATGTCTCGCAGATACACACATGGAAAGATTTACTGGCAACGATTCAGTCATACTACAAGAGTAGGCACTTAGTTTCAAGTACTGCAGGTACTGCAAGGAATGATGGTCCAGTGCCGATGGATATCGGAGCACTGAAAGGTTGGTATGAAGGAAACTGGAAAGGAAAAGGAAAGAAAGGAAACTGGAAAGGAAAAGGAAAGGGCAAAGGCAAAGGAAAGAAAGGTTTCGGAACTGCGAAAGGATGGAAAGGAAAAGGAAGTGACAAAGGAAACTGGAAAGGAAAAGGAAAAGGAAAGAGCAAAGGAAAAAGGAAAAGGAAAAGGAAAAGGAAATGGAAACGGATGTTTTATTTGTGGCTCGCAGGGCCACTGGAGCAAAGAATGCCCTCAAGCGAAAAATGTAGGAGCTGTCACTGAAGAATGGAATGAAGAAGAATGGAACGAAGAAGAGTGGAACGCCGACTGGAATGAGTACGAATGGTATGTTGGCGCAATAGGTGAGTATGAAGACTGGTGCTCATGGGATGAAGGCTGGTATGATGACTGGTCTGAAGGATCCTACTGGCAAGACGAATGGCAAGGACACTGGCATGAGCCAGCGCAGAGTTCCACAGCTGCGACAACTGCAGCGTCGACGGTCACGGTGACTGAGGTCACTGATGCTAAGGAGCCTGCTGGCACAGCTGCCGCTGTGTTCACTGAGGAACCCACCGAAGTGGATTCTCCGCGAGTTTCGAGGACTGCTGGGAGTTCTCGCACTGCTAGACCTGGCATTGTTCGCAATTTGTTCATAGCCTCACTGTTCTTGATAGCGACAATGACCACTGGTCAACCTGTACTTCCGAATGAGTTACCCCGAAATGTTTCATCAGAAACTGCAGTTGAGCAGACAACAACACCTGTAGACAAGCTCACTGAGTTTCATCTGCAAGCTGGTGTAACTGACAGAAGCTGGATCTTGTTTGATTCTGGTGCTTCTGCTCACTGTTGTCCTGAGTGGTTTGCTGATGATTACCCACTGCTTCCCCTGAATGATGATGCTCCGGCACTGCGAAGTATATCGGGTAAAACCCTTGAAATACTGGGTCGAAGAATCGTTCAGCTCGACTGCAATGGTCATTCACTGTGCATCAATTTCTATGTGTGCAAGTCCATACCGTTC